TGGAAAATTATTGATTTGTGCTTTTATAAAAACATTTGCATAGATACGATTTTCTACAAAATCCATTAAGCTTTTACGACAAATTTCCTTGCAAGTATTTTTTTCCAGTGCAAGTCTGACTCCATCTCACACCACAATTGGGCAATTGTGGGAAAATGGGAACAAGTTATGCTTCTAAACTTATTCACATATGTCTGTTTTTATTATTTTTTTTTTTTTTGTTAGTTTTAAGATTTGTTTTGGTGCCAAATGTGTGTGGGGGCGGCGATATGCAAGATTTGATTTTGACTTCTCATGCACAATGGATACTCGGTCGTTTGCGAAACATTCAAAATTTAATTAACTTCATTTATTTGCCCTCAAATTTGACACATTTCAAAAGTGAATCCGAGAGAATTTGTGACGCTGTCCCTCATGACACACGAACATGAATTTTGCGAAAGTAACAAATTGCAGGAAAGGAAATTTTGATTTAAAGGCGCAATAATACTTTTTCATTTCGACTTATGACTTCCTTTGCAAGTCGCATTGCGTTTTAGAAGGAAAAGGGGGATAAAATGAATAGTTTATTATTTAAATAGTAGTACTGTAAGTAAGCACCTTAAAATGTACCTTCTATTTTAATGTATTATTGTGCTTTAGAAAAGATTATTTTTTTCCGAATTTTCTTGATTAAACTTTTAGCAAATATGGTTGTGATGTTATTTCCATTTTTAAAGAGGATGTAAACTTCTTCGGGGAAATTTAAATTAGCGAAGGCAGTGTAATCAGCTCTTTATCTGTGAATCTGAATTCCCTGAATCCGATAAAACCCCAACTATGCATTACGGCCACCGGCAAATCGGGCTATTACTTCCCGACCATGGAAGCTGGGTTATCTGGGCAGCAGCCGGAGTGGGAACGACAATAAAGGGCTTCATAAAGATGAGCGTTTTATGCATCCTTAACTTACACTCTATTTTAATTGCCGCGCGATCCTCGGAGCCTCTTTCTCCTTACTCCAGTGCCAGGTTAAGCTGCAGTCTCAGTCCCGCCGATCGCATGTGCAATTAAACAATCTGTGGGCAGGGAATGGAGCGGTATTGCGGGGTATTGCGGGGTATTGAGGAGCAGAAGGGTTTGCTGGCAAAAGCAAATTTACGTCCGCTGTCAAGAGGCAGCGACGTAGCGTATTTAATATTTTTCAGCGTGCTTTACCTTTTCATGTTGTGTCATCATCAGCATCAGCATCAGCATTCGCCACTGCGCGAGCGTCACTGCAAAAGATACAGATACTCACTGGCACAAACTGGCGATCCTGTTCCTTCACAAATTTGTACGCTCAACTACAAACTAAAAAGTCTTAAAGTCTTAAAAGCATTTGCGGCCAAAAAGGCAGCGGCGAAGGCAGAAAGTAAACACAATAAAGGCATAAAAATTGCGAGTGAGCAAAACAAATAAAAATCGAGCAGAGCGAATAAGACGCGAAACAAAATGCTGACCACTGTTCATGGGCGGAGGGGGAGGGGGATGCGGTTTGGGGGGATGGAGATCCACTCTACGGGGGGAGCACGTTGTTTTGTATCTGTGCTGCTCATTTGCACTTGGAATACAAAAGATACATTTTCGTAAGACCATTTTGACATGACAAGATAACGACAAGCAATCCGACCGAGCGACTCACCAGCCGGAGCCTCTGAAGGTTGAGAGGGGTTGCCCCAGCCAGGGGACACCCTGTACCGCTCATTGGCTCCTGACCATCCCAACCATCCCGACCATCCCCTCCATCCCGACCTTTGGCTGAGTGTTTCGTATTTTAATTTTCATTACGGCCACCTCGGCTTACCCTCTCTACACTCATAAAAATACTCCACCTTTAATAAATGAAGTAATTTTATTCTTAAAGTGCTTAGAATGGGGCTGCAATTAGAGTAAATAATAATTTTAGATATATTTTTTGGTCCAAAGTATTTGAGTTTAACTTAAACAATGTATTTTTAAGATAAATTGAATTCTACAACTTTAAGTCACCATAGCTCTACTTTTTATTTTGGTGTTAATTGGATTTGGTTTGGATTTACCATGATTTTTTCTGGGTGTATTGATACCTTAATAAATCACCCAAATATAAAACAATAATATTTAAAATAAACATTAAAATGCTAAATCCTTCAAAAAAAAATCTTGGTTGGTTTCTACCAATTTCTTGAATTGAAAACTGCCATCAAAAATGTACAAAAATGATAGTTGGCATAAATTTAAAATGAAGTCCAAGTCGAACTTTGTTCCTAAATTGGTTACCCTTATTTTTGTCAGTGCTCTTTGCACTCTCCGCCGCCACCTTTTATCCACTAAAGGTTCTTGAGAAGCTGCGCCAGCGACGACAGCAGCGAAGTTCGCGCAGGCAGCGCAAAAGTGAGTATTTCCAAGAAATTGCAAATTATTTTTGAGCCGAGCGCCTGCGCCTGTTCCTCGCACCGCCAGTCCCCTGGTCGCGGTCCCAACTCCTGGAGCTGGAGCCTGGGGCGGCGGCTCAAGACGAGCGAGGTCCCGTCTCAGTGCCCAGTGCCTCGGCAGAAGCCGCCGCCAAAATGAGTTAGCATCCCAAAACCCAAAACCCAACCGGCTGGCTCTCGTGTCTGAGGACCCTTCGCTCCCCCAATCCACTGGCACTTCTGCCCATTGCCCATTGACACTGTCGTCCCGCTACCCTCTGATCCTCTGGTGACCATCCATGTCCAGGTCCAGCCATCTCGACCATCGAGTGCCCCATCTCCATGCCCCATCCCGAACTCCTTTTCGCTGCCTCCATAAAGTCGTGTTTATGCCTTCTCATAAACATTTTTATTTTAATGATTTTTATTATTGCGCACATTCGTTACTTTTTATACATCCCCGACGAGGATCACTTCTGGGGACCTCGCTGGCGTATCGAATTTGATTCGGCCGTCTTGTCCCCACAATTGAGTCCTGATCGTCGCCGGCTAAGTAGTTGCGCCTGTACCTGCTGCCCACCTATACAAACACCCGTAAATTTATATGTTTACTTATCCCCGAACAAAAATACACATTCCTCTGATATAGTTGGTGGTCATTAAGTGAAGGATTTTTCCCTTTTGTAAACATCCAATGGCGAAACTCTAATGCGGTATAACGCAAGCTGAATTTCAAATGCAATCAAAATGCATCTTAAAAATTGAATGTAATCAATGTATGCCTTTAAGACTTAAGACCAAATTGAAAAACTTTAGACTAAAATCTTTAAGTAACGAATTCCGAAATTCTATATTTAGCCACTTAAAGAACTTAGTTATAAGATTTTAATTTAATTTTATGATATTAGAGCATTTGTTCATTACATTTAATGAATGACAATTGATTTCGAAAAATCTTTTCGAAACTTAAAAACTGTCAATGTTCATTTATTAAAGCTTCGAGTATTGAACAACATTTATTTGGAACAAATTTTTATTAAATCCCGTAAATAAAACCATTTTCCTAATTTAAATGAATTAAGGCACTTAATTTCTTGAGATTTTTTTTAATGAAAGTCAAATTAACTTGAATCCTTTATTCGATGGAATAATTTGGTCCTCTCATTGACGGACAACGGATAGAGGACACCGGACATCGGGACATGTCTTTCATGTGGCAGGGATCGGGATAAGTTGATGGCTGAGCTGGGACAGTCGCCGCATTTGCAACCAATAAAAATTAATTTACGTTCGATTGCAAGGCTTTCGCGCTTGGAACGAGAGCGCCGCCGCCGCCGCCGCCTCCGTTGATGACACATAAAATGCCACATTTACGGCCCCTTAAGACTTGCCTCGGTCGCTTTACTTTAAGCCAACATAAAAATGTTCACTTCGAAAAATGGCGACTTTAGGGGAAAGGGGTAAAAGGAAATACAAGCCATCGCAACCTTTCAAAGTCGCTCTCTCGGATTGCGCACTACTTGCCTAAAACCCTAAGACTAAAACCGAGAGTAACCGCCATTGACGCAGTTGGCCATTTGGATCTTATGCCCCCCCCCCGGTCTTCACCACTCCCCTCCCGATGGTCGGCTGATCTTGAAACCTTTCCAGGAATCGGAAACTGGGTTCGACCGCACACCGCCTGACTGCTGCTAATATCGCTCCTTTGGGACTGCCTGCAGCCCGGCACTTCCACCTTGAACCTCATTGCTTTGATGTTTGGCTGCCCGTTCGCCTGCCAGAAATTAATATGCGAATCGTTACTGATACGAATTCGCAAAAAAAAAACAAAACAGTCTTAAGGTCGGAGATCCTCTTTTAGCTAAGTATTATTATTATATAATGCTAAGACCAATTCATTTCAGCAGCAATGTTTTCTTTATTCAGTTTGATTCGTATTTAAACTGTTGAAACTAATCTTTTGCAGACTTAAAGTTGATGTAGGTCTGTTGAAATAACAGCGTTAGTCCCGATTCGACATACATTTTGCAAGGAAATAGTCTTATTTGCAACCTCAAGAGCTTAATAAAACTTTAAGACCTTGAAGTTTCTGGAAAAAATAATAATTTCTATCAGGGGTGTCACAAAAATATCTTCTAAAGACGCTTGACGTCCGGAACTTAATTTATAAAATACGAATGCGCACTGGTAATAAAAGAATAGTAAATCCAATACTTTTGCAGTTGGTTTTTTGGTATTTTAAATAAAAATAATAATTAAACATTTAAAAATTTTAGATTTGACTATTTTTGAAACTGATTTTCAAATCTGAAAACGTATTTTGAATTTAAACCATATTTGAATTAAATAAAATGAATTAAAATCAATTAGAAACTATTTTAAGGGTAATATGTTTCATTATTTAAAAAATATTACCGTTAAATCATGCATTTTAATATTCATTGTTTTTAATATTATGATTTCATTTTTAATTTATATAAATTATGTATAGCTATTTACCTTACAATTTTTAATAAAACCAATAATAATGTGCAGTGGCGAAACAAATTATTGTCACAAGCATATTAAATTAAAAAACCGCTTTTCTTAAGCCAATATGTTTATTAATAATATTAAACATTATTGGGAAATCTTATAATTGTTTAATGAATTTCATCACTAGCTTTCTATCTCGTTAAATGATTTGGTTTGGCAAATACATTTGCAAGTCAGGAGCAAAATTAACAATGCCTATTACGAAATGCATAATTTATTTGGGGTAACAATGTCGCAGATGTTTAGTTTAGTTATTTCTAGGGCGCTACGTAGTTGTCTTAAGCGTTTTTGGTTGAACTGGAGTGTCCTTCGGTAACAGCTAGCGGCGACTGTTCTCCTCCAGCCGGGCCACCGTGCGTCGCAGCTCGAGGAGCTCCGCTTGCAGCCGATCCACAGAGTCTGCGGGCAATCCACTGGCAGCTGGTTGAGCGACGGGAGGAACTAGAGCTGAAGGATTCCCCACGGAGGTGGGGACTGCGCGAAACGGGACGGCTCCCTCCACGCTGGCAATGGAGAAGTCCGGATGGATTTGGGGAGTGGTAACATGGCCTCCGCCCCCGACAGTGGCTCCAGGCGTAGAGATAGAGGCCACAGGACGTGCTAGTGCTGGCGAAGAATGGGCTGTAATGGACGAGGCTGGAGGGCCGCGGTGGTTGGCTATCAGCTTCTGCAGCTTGGTCACGGCACTCTCGCGCTGCGATTCCAGCAGCAGACGCATGGCCTCCTGGTCACCGGATCTGGCCTTCTCCAGCGAGTCGGAGCCCTCGTCGATGAGCACATAGTTGATGACGTGCGCATGGGTACCGGGCTTAATGCGGTAAACGGGCTGACCACCATCGCCACCGGTGGCCTGCGAAAGGGCCGGAATGTCGCCCATCTTGGCCATTTCGCCGCCCACTTGGAAGATCGATGTGTGTCCGTTGACCACCAGCGGCTTGGGCATTATGTACGGCGAGGAGATGAACTGGGAGCACTTCCGCTTGGTCTTGTCCACCACGGTGGCCACTTTGCAGCCGGCGGTGCTGCAGGCGCGCAGTGGAAGAAAGGCATCCCCGCCAGAAGCCGCATTTGTCGCCTGTGCGGAAGTGCTCTGATGCATTTTCGGGCCAAACAGTCGGTATTCTCCGAGTCGCAATTTGTGATGTTTGCTCTTTGGCAATTCGCCTATTCTATTTAGCTTTTCCTCTTATTTTATTGTTTTAAATTTGCCCTTTTACGAAAATCGGCGTCGTCTTGTTTTTTTTTTTTTTTGGTTTGAAGTGTGAACGTGTGCTCTAGGCGTTAGTGCATTGTGAACTCCTCTTTGGCTTAGCTCAGAAAAATACCGGAAAATACCAGCGCGCCAGTGCGCATGTCGATAGACCGATAAGTTTAGGGCGCTCAGTTTCAAAATTAGTTAAGGAAACAAAATGTAGCTCTTTGCTTATATTTTTATTTCGTTTAACCTAAGTTTTTTGGAGTTTTTCGTTACGTTTTCATGTGGTTTGTGCCTTTTTTATTTATTTTAATAGATACCTGTTTAATAATTTGGCTTAATAAAAAGAAAGTTAATTCTCATTGCAAAGTTAAGCAAATGTAGATAATTGCAAGCAAGTCTATTAAAATAGGCACATATTTTAAAAAACAGTTAAATAATATATCTAACTCGAATTTTAACGTTGACAGTAGTAAGCTTTTGTCTATAATACTATCAACTATAATTATTGTTTGCTCGCGTTTTTCGATTCAAAAAATGTTCTGTATTTTGATTATACCTAAAATGTCATTGAAAATGGTTAAGTATACATCAAGTCGCAATAAGCCAATAAAAACCATCTTAAATGAAAAACTTTTGAGTGGAAGAACGCCATTTGTATGAAGCCCTGAAGACTTCTAGGGGCCTGGTTATAAATGAATAAAAATCAATTGAAATCAGTCAAGTTTTATGCATAAAGCAGAGGGGTATAATGAGGCATTTGCATATATAATCGGGGTGAGAGGATTCAGGTGTCTGGTAAATCAGTGCGTGGGTGCAACGACCACCGCGGTGACCTCGAAACGGGGCAAATGGAGCTGGACGACGGGTCGGATGATGGGTGGAGTGCAGTGGAGTAAGGTATGGTGAAGTGGAGAGGAGTGGCGGAGTTGCACCCGCTTCATTTACATTCCAAGTACTTTTAAAGCGGACGCGGACGAAACGCGGGTCGTTAAAAGATGCTGCTCGGACATCGGGCAGCGGGTTTTAGTACTGGAACTGCGAGCGGACAGTTCCTACAGCCGCCAGCTTCTTTAATTTCCACTCGTCAATCATCCATCTTGGCGATCTTGGCCGGCACTCAGAGTTGCAGCCTCATTGTTGGCTCAAATGAAATAATTACTTTAGCACACAGCGACTGACTGACTCCGTCTGGTGGAACTGGACTCGGCCCTTCGTGCATCTGCATCTTAGTCATGGCCAATATATCGAGTCGCATTAACCACGACAACAACTGCATTCACATTCGCAGTCGCAGTCGCAGTCAGCGAGGGCAGTGCAATAAAATCCTCCAACACGTTTCGTCCCGAGTCCGGGAATAATAAGAAATGAAATGCCATTTATTAAGCATTAATAAGTGCAAGCATCCACGTCCATCCATCCTCCATCCTCCATCCTCCATCCTCGATCTCCATCTCCATCTCCAAGTTTGCCAAGTGCGCGAGGAGCACTCCCATCTGACTCAGCATGCGATGGCCGAAGCGATGCCTGTGGGCATCCAAGCCTCAACCTCAACGTCTCCTGCCTGCTTCGCATTCCTTCCACTTGGTTAGTGTTATGATAACATGCAGCCTCCATTTTGGACATAAAATCGCGTCAGGAAGCGCCGGAAAATCAATCCAGGAGGTGCCAGGATCAAGCTCTATTTTGCCTACGCAACACTGAAATAAACGGAATAGTACAAATAGTTCATTATTTAAATAATAAATTATAAAATTAAATACAATTAAATTGAATGATTTTATAGTAAAATATTTTAGTAAGTGAGAAAAATATTATAAATAAAAAAGATCCTATTTGATTAAAATGCATAAAAGTGTATTGTTCTTATAATTAAAATACTTAAAACCGCAATTAATGAAAACCATGGCGAAAAATTAATTGAGAACCAAATATAAGGATTTACCACGTTTTTTTCAACCAGTAAAACAAATCTGGAATGCAAGTCTATCTTAATAAAAGTGGGTAATTCTCTAATACAATTTCAAGTTAGTTATTATTAGTTAAGAAATCTTCAGAATTCAGATATATTTTTTTACTGATCAAATATATTTAAAACAGAAAGAAATTAGACTATGAAATATGTATAGAATCGACTCTGTTTTCTAGCACTTATACATTTTTTCAATCTTAAGAATTTAGGAAATATTTTAATTTAAGCCTTTAAATAAATTACAACATGGTGGCATTCAAAATAATAATTTTTTAATACCTTAGCAAAAAGTATCCTAAATATGAGCATTTTCGAAGAGACATTTTGAAATCGGGGTAATCAATATTAACTGAATCCATTATAAAAAAAACTTGTATTCGATTATAAATTTTGGCACAAAACAGAAACATAAAAGAGTATGACATTTTTGATTGATGAAATATAGTAAATATAAGTACTTGTTGATTTATATAACAAAATTATCACGAAATCCACATTTATGGTCTTTGCAAGTTGTGCTTTGGAAAGCACTACACCAATATTTAACGAACATTGTGTGTGTTCATCCAGAACGACTATGTGTTTTTTGATATACCCGTGACTAATCAGAATTCAAGCCGAGTACCTGAGGCCTTCGAAATAAAAACACAGCGAAACAGCGAAAACTGCACACAAAGGACCGTCGGCACCTGCAGGGTTAACTTAATTAAATTCCATTGCGTTTTGGCGCAGAAATGTGAGCAACATGATGCAATTATGAATTATAAAATTAATATAAAGCGCACTTAACATGCAGGACCGACAACGGCAGCGGAAATATTTCGCCGAATCCAGCCCACAGACCCAGGGTCCAAAGCCCAACCGCAGAATTCCCCCCAAATGCCCTGCAAATGAGCCTCCTTAATTCTCCTCCGACGGAGCTTGTTGGGTGTGTACCCTAAAATCTTAATTGCAGGGAACGCACAAAGTGCAGGAACTGGGGAGCTCAAAGTGCGGGTACGAGAACAGGGTCATTGAAAGGCTACAAATATCATTCGCATACAATTTTGAAAGTGTTTCTCTTGTATTGGATTTTACTCTAATGTTATTAGTTATATCTTATATTTCTTTGCAATTACTTATTCCATTTGCAATTTAAATAATTCAATTTGAAAAAAAAATATTTTTGTGCAATTGTTTCATTGCCTTAGTTTGGTAATTGGTTATTGGAATTATAAAACATCAAACAAAAAATATATATAAATCTTTTTAACTTAACGTATTGTTGTGTAAAGGAAGATTATGGATAAACTCAATAGGATTGAACAATTGTTAAAGCCTCTTTTTGAACTACCTAACTAACATTCACGTTTTAGTTACTAATTAAAAAAACATATAGTCCTTGTATCTTAAAAAAAATATAGATTATATAAGAACCTAGGAGTTAAAAATTATAATATTGATTTTTTGAAGTCTGCTTTTAATTGTATTATTATTTGACCAATATATTGAAGTCTTATCTCTAACTTGCCTGATTATTTCGCTACCTTTTTTAATACAATTGCGGACTAAGTAATGGAATTATTGAAAAAAATGGTTCCTGGACCCCAACTGAACCTGTGCACTTGGACCCTCGTCAAGGCTGATCGATTCGGACAGTTCGCATTGGCGGACTGCCAGGTTTTCGCCGAGTCATGCCACTTTACACGGAATTTAGCGTAATGGGATGGTATTAGTGCTCGTGTGGGTGTGGGTGGGGTGTGGCGGGTCAATGAACCCTGCCCACATTAACTGGCACTCTCCACCGCAGGTGACAACCCTGTGCAATTGCCAATATCCACGAGATACAGACACCGAAAAAGGCGCACCAGCATCATCATCTAATGGCATGTGAACATGTCTGGGACTTGTCTGCCACGCCAAACAAGTTGCATCCCTCTTCCTTTTACTTTTGCCTTATCTTGGCCCAACTTATTTCCAAGTTTTGTCGAAGAGTTGTTCAAAAAAAATTGAATTCCACGACTGCGCCGGCCAACACATGACATCCATTTCGGCAGTAACAGTAGCAGCAACAGCAATAACAATAAGAACGACCAGCACGAGAGGTTCGACAAGCCCTTATGACACTGCCTTTATTCTTGTAAAAATTTATTAAATTAAAGATATATGTAGCTAAGATATATGTGAAAGCTTATGATGTTTTTCTATTGGTTTCCTTTTGCAAACTTTTTATTATAACAATTAAACAAGATTCAACTGATTAAACATTGTTCAAAACAGAGAGAATTTTAATTTGTATAAATGTTTTAATCTGGACAAAGCTCTTGAAACTAAGAAATTTTCTTATCAGATAAAAAATGAAGTACTAAAAACCCTTAACGTTTGGAATACCAAACTTCAAAAAACTTTTTGTGCAGGGGGGTCACAAATATCTCTTTTTGGGACGTATAATTTTAAATTTAAAGAGTTTTTAAGCAGTTTCAGAATCGTTATCAAATTTGCTAAGATTTTGGAAACAAATTGATTTGATTTTTAATCTGTGTGTTCCTGTGTCATCGATATTTTTATTTTTGGTTGTATTTTGGTGGGAATAGATTTCTGAGATAACCGTTCAAAGGTGTGATTTTAAAGCGACTTTAGGTTGAAAAACTTACCTAGTGTGCTAATAGCATAATACCAAAAAAATTTTCCGAGGCTGCTCTGTACTTGAGCCTGATCAAGTGAACAGCGGGCTTTGGCTGCTGCTGCTAGGACTTTGGACGGACTGTGGACGTTTTGCTGTTGCTGTTGTTGTTTTCGTCGTCTGGCAGACTGGATTCAGACGCAGCAACAACAACAACCACAGACGGAGGTACAGCGGACAGCGGACAGTGGACAGCGGACAACACTTCCAGCAGCGCAAACTCGAACTGCGCAGTGCGCATGTGCAGCGTAGCTGTTAGACCCACACACAGATACGGGTACAGATACATATACAGATACAGATACATTTGCAGATACAGATACAGATACTCACACTTGCACTTGCGTTTGCGTTTGGACCGCGGACAGTGGGAAAAGAAGCGATCGCGAAAAGGAGACACGCCAGCGAAACGGGCAAATGTTTCAGTTAACCTTGACTTTGAAATTCTCATTGCGAAAGCCGAGGAATGTACGCAAACATAGCCACATAAATGTTTATAGTGATCGCGGCTCTCCATGTTTATATGTACATATGTATATTCGATTTCCTGTTCAGCCAGCCATTTGGTTACTTAATGACCACCTCATCTCTTACCATTGCAGATGTAACTAAGCCAAACGTCTTCGAACTGATCCCAGTAGCTAGAGGATCGCCACCAAATAGAGGGGAAAAGGCATCGCTTTGTAGTTCAACTCCATTTGTACGCCGTGAGAATTGCGGAACCAACAGGTAATTAAGTGCATTACATATCTTACTTATGTTAAATATTGCAAGAAAAGTATAGTAAGCTTTGGCTGAAAGAATTTTAAAGTTTCAAATCGAATGAACTTTGGAACAATTATTAAGGAGTGTAAATTACTTACGTAATTTCACTTTTTTTTACAATTTAAATACTTTTTTTTCATAAGATAATCACCCATTATGACAAGGATTTTTTTTTCAAGTTTTGAAACATTTTCGTTTGTATTTCCAACTACTACATAATAAAAAATAAATTGATAACTTTATTGTATTTGAAATGTTATATTTTTAAAATCTTGATTAACTCATTGTTTAATCGGATTACTGAGATTTATTTATTTTAGTCAAATGTTCAATATCCAAAACGTTTTTTGTAAAATATAATACAAATATTACACCAAGACCAAGACTTCTTTAAATTAATAGTCATTTCTAAAAATTCTTTGTCTTATTCCTATACAAACTGCTATTTTGAGAAGGCTTTCCTGCAGTGGCCTCGTTTCGATGAGCTTAAAAGCATTTTACTGTCAATGAATAAAGTTTTAGTAAATAAATGGTATCGAATTGTGTTCGTGACCCACAAGCCATCCGAACATCCTTGTGCGGAGCATCCGGACACCGTGCACCCGGCAACTATTATAGTTGGCCCCATTAATCGCATTCAATGCGACTATATCCTGGGAGTAGGCACCATCCTCTTCCACTTCCCCTTCCTCTTCCCCTTCCGCTGGCCCATTGAAATCCGCGTTGAATGGAATTTGAAAATCGATAAATGGCAATGGCGACGGAAATTGCTGTTGCATGGCGGTTGACACCGTGTTAATGGGCCACTTATAACGGCATTGTTAGCGCTGGTTTGGTTGCACACGGATCTCAATTGGTGCCCCCCTGACGGCTCCCTTATCCCCCGGTGTTGGCCTTGTTAGTCCGCCTGCCGGATCCTTTGCAGCTGCCACTGTTTTTGGCCAAAGACGCGACACGTGCCCCAAACCAAAGGCATGAATTATAGAGACCAAGCACCTTGGCGTTCCGCTGCCTGAAAGGTGTTCGCCGGGGCTGCCGCTAATTAAATTTAATTTAAAACAAAGCTCGGCATTTCGTCAACGTTTGCGAGTGGAGGACCAGGATCCCTCTTGCCATCTCAAAACTGACGACTGCTGTTGGCGGTGGCGAGGAAACAGAGGCTTAAATTACCACAGGCTCAGAGTGGCAACACATTGGGCTTTCTTTCTTCTCTTTTTTTTATGGCCGATCAAATTAGACGCAGTAAAAAGTATTAGGCTGCAGCCCAGCGACTGCTATACCAATCCTTAAAACACTGTGAAAATAACAGCACATATATTATTATGAACTTGGTCTAAAAGTACTTTACCTAGAGAAAAGTGTTTAACTTTGTATATTAATAACAATAACAACAGGATTTGGATTCTTTGGTTCTTGGAAAATAAAAACAAAATATAGAAAAACTTGAGTGCCTTTTTGCCAGTACTTAAAAAATTATAAATAAAATAAGGAATAAATAACATAAAAAGCTATACCATTGATATAATTTCATTTTGCGTATAGTTAAAAACTTTAAATTTCATAAAACGGGTAATTTTGGTGAAGTTTTTATACATTTTGATTCTTTAGATTTTCTCTTGGTATAATTCAAATATTAGAATAAGATATCCGGCATTTGATTGGTTAAAATAGGACAATGACTCTCTGTCATTCTCTTACTAATTTTTTTAGAGGGAATATTTTGTCAGTGCATGAACAAGGATGACGCCCGTGGGCCAAGGAGCTTGGTGATCCGGCGCCGGACCTTCCGCTAAGTACCGAGACATGTTATTGGCTTGTCTGTTTTTTGCCCTCGGTGTTTGTGTGTACGCACATGTGTGCGTACGTTCTGGATCCTCCTCCTGCTCAGCCGCAGGACCAGATCGAGGAGCCCAGGCAGGAGCAGCTGGGCCAGACTTAGTCGCTGTCTAAGCGAAGGCAGGTGGCTCGAGCCAATGCCGATTAAAACCACCGAACTCCGGTCATTGTCTAAAAAAAATTTGAAAAGAACACAAAGGAGCAGTAGTCAATAGCAAAAAAAAAAAAAGGAGGGTAAAGGGAAAAGGAAAAGGAACTGAAGATTAAATAAATAAGTTAGTAAATAAACCAAAATCGGTCTCTAATATTCATTGGTCATTTACTCAGTCAATAACCAATTAAAAAACCTACCTAAGCTACAACCCAAGGCCATTGAATAATAAATAATCCCCCAGCGCATGAAGTTGCATGAAGCACCTTCAATTGGAGTTCCAGTTAAGATGTATATCTTGGGGCCATGTCTGGATCGGCCAGGTATTTGTTTACCGTTAGAGGGGGGCAATCAAAACGGCTATGCCCCGAATTTTCGGCAGCGGGGCACTAACAACCAACCTACATCCAGTCCCAAAACGAAGGTGCCCCACTTTGAAGGCCAGCGGCAGGCGATCGATCGCCACAAAGCCTATGATTAAAATTTAGGTCCCTCACTCTCCGATCTTAAACTCGTACGTATGTAGTATGCGGTGCATGTGCGTAATTGCCCGTCCCAATCCAGCGTTCGCTATCCTTCTCAAATTAAAGTTAACTCCTCCCTTCGTTGGGGGGGGAAAGTTACCTGCGGCCGACGTTAGATCCAAAACAATATCAAATTTAAAGGGGGCTTTCGATTCTTCAGGCAGTCGCATGTGAAACGGTTTGTTTTGATCAAATTGTATAACTATAGTCACAACATTAAGCACTAAAAAATTAAATAATTAGGAAACAGCAAACAATCTTATAGCTATTTTAAAGCCAATTATTCGATTTCATTTTCTTTATACTGAATTTTATATATTGCTTCAGAAAACTTGAATTTATTATCATTTGCATATTCGTTTTAAAAACGGAGTTGCAATTTATGCACTCTCTAAACAAATTTACGATATTATTCTTTGACTCAATTAGGATTTTCATAATAACTGGACGCAGGTCAAATACGAGTTATGACTTCAAAGTAGCATAAATTGGCAACACAAATTTACATTTGTTGCTCAATTGTGGTAAAGAATATTACACAGGCAAAAAAGGATCCTTTTAATTCTAATATTAAAACAAATAAGTATTAAACATTATATAATAATAACTTTCTTATACAATATGACCTTCAACTAATTATATTTATTTAAATATTTTATTTAATTGGAAACTTTAATTTAACCAAATAATTTGTTGAACTTTAGAATCTTAATAAAATCTTATTGTATTCAAAAGATAAAATTATGTGAAGGGAAAACAGGAGATTGGAGAGTTCTCTATAAGAAACGATAAGCAAGAGACTTCAGGAAAGTCTCCAAAATATGATTACGTTGGTTGCTGCATTCGCTAAGACGACTGATCTGTTCTGTGAACCGCCGATAGGCGTCGCCACAGTACTGACTGGCTAACCGTGAAAACTTTCTCTTTCCGGGAAATCCTTCCCCATACCTACCTACCTACCTAAGCTAAGATAACATATAATTTCTTAATTAAAATATGTGGCTTTAATTCCCAAAAATATCAATAATCCATTTTCCCTATGTATAATGCACTTTAAGAATGTTAGTTTTGAACTTTAAGCGAAATCATCATCTAAAATAATAGGTCAATAAAAAGCAAAATCCATAAAATTAAATTTCGCATAGCACTTCGAAACAATTATTTAATTGTTTTGTGATTTACGCTCTAAAGCGGGACAGACTGCATGGAGACAGTTAATTTTTGGCCATAATAGGTGTCAATTGTTTGCAAGACCGCTAAACCTCAATTGCTACTAGTTCTCACCCAGTTTAACGATTTTGCTATGTGCTGGCACTGCAGTTTATGGAGCGTACATAAAAAATGCAGAGTTTTAGTTTGGCACACGCATGACCCTATAAGAATGCCTCTGTCAGTTGGTAGAGTATCAGTTGTAAAACAGAGAATTCAACATGAAGATCGTTGCTTTGATCGTCTCTGCACTTGTGGCCTTTGCCGGTGCTTCCTGCCCGAACTCTGGATACTCGGCTCCTGGCTATCCGGCTCCTCCCTGCCCCACCAACTATCTGTTCAGCTGCCAACCCAACTTGGCTCCAGCACCTTGTGCCCAGCAGTCTGCCAGCTACGGATCCTCCGGTGCCTACACGGAGCAGGTTCCCCTCTACGTGAACAACCCTAACCGGGAGCAGGTGCAGCAGTTCCAGCAGAGGATCGGAATGGCCGCCCTCATGGAGGAGCTGCGCGGCTTGAACCAGGGAATCCAGGGTCAACAGTACTAGTGGCTGGTTAACTTGAGGACATTCGCTGGTCAGGACACAGTGTAAACTGTGAATTGAATTTAAACACCATTGTAAATAAACCGATTTGAAAGCATATGCCTGTTTGTTTTTCCTTTGTCCTTAGAATGGTAAAAAAAATGAATATTTCTAAAAGAAAATCAATCGGATATCTTTTTTATACAAAATGTATATTTTTGTTTTATTTGTTTGTAAAAAATGAATTGAAAACTTATCTGATTTTTTTTTGGTTTTTTTCTGCTACTTTTTTTAAATTCTTTAAGAATCTGTGAGATATGGTATATTAATAGCATGTAATGGAGCCGAATTAAATCGCCAATTGTTATTAAATGCCATTATAATGCCGCCCTGAATATTCATTTAAAAATTTAAATTTAAAACATAAAAAAATGACCAAAAAGGTTCCAAAACTAAATTTGTAATATTGTTATTTTTGGCCACAGATTCCTTAAAAATCACACTTAAGTACAGCAATACGTAAATTTCTCTGCCAAAGAATTGTCACCTCGTCGTGTGTATTTATATTGTTACTGCAGCCGTCATTAAACAGATTATTGAAAACCATTTCCCGAGCAGTTCACCTCTTGAATTTCCCATTACTAAATGAGTCTCTGCGATCTGCCGTGGATTCTCTCTCGGGCATGGGCATTTTTTTGTCAATGGATGGCGGTGGTGCGGGTGCCAAAATATTGTCAGTCGAAATTGCTGTCTAGTGCGGTCGGTCGCTTGTTTCTCGACTCTCGTCTCCGCCGCAATCCGCTCTGATCTGCTCCACATTGGCTGGCCAAAGCAGTCGCAAGTGGATCGCGCCTTCGGATCGCCTATATAGCCCCCGAATTCGTGCACATTTTCCAGCACAAACGGCCATTGCAGGATGGCGTTGCCTGCCGCAATCAAATCGCTGCCATGTGTCGGACTCTGAATTCGCCCCATTGTGACCCAATTCGATATGAGTCTTGGCCGTTTTACGATTAGTGGCCATAAGGCCTAAGTGTTTGTTTATTTTGCTGCGCGACCGCTAAGAGCGATTCCAAAAATGATTGCATAATTGACTTGGGGAGGGACAATTCGCGCGAGATTCCTTTCAATTTGTATTCCTAATTCCGTTTGTGATTCCAACTGTCCGCCATGAAGAAGCTGCATCTGGGGGCCAAGCACAAGGGCAAGTCCTACAAGCCCTTCAGGAATAAGAACCGTCGGGTGAGTTAAACTGAAAGATCAGCTTGCTAGACCGCCCCCTCCCATATAAACCCCCTTATTTTAATGTCGCGGCCCTGCCCCCGGGCCCGGGCGGAATCCGTATATTTTTATCCACTCGATCGCTCGCAGTCTGCTCGCCCAGCTTGTCAGGCCGTTCGCGACCAATTAAATACATGCACACGGAGTGCCTACAGTGCGTATCGTCACGAAGTGGCAACCAGGCGGATGAGCGATAACCGTACCGTTACTCATACGCCTAGGATAATTGCTAACCCGATTTTAAAAAGTCATACGTCTTTTTATTTTTAAATTTAATTTTTCTGTCAAATACTTAATTATTTTAAAAGCTAATAACGTCACATTTTTTAAATACCTTAATTAAAAAAATTAAAGATGAGGGAAGCTTTAAAATTATAATATCAGTGTTAAAAGGTATTAAACATTTTGTCATGTTGATTTTAACATAAGGATTTATATTTTTGAACTTAATATAATTTACTGAATTATCTTCATTAGCATTATTAGAAAACGTAACTTTTTATTTTTAAATCATTAAATTTAATGTTAATGAAATTTCAGAAACTAGCAATTCTATAAAAATAGATACATTTGATAGGCTATTATTATTCTCCCATATTCATTTTTTTATTCTACATTTCTGATATTCATGAATATTTGTAATACTTCTTGGGTTTTTTAATCAGAGTACCCACTGTATTTCAATGACTTTTCGTGTAGTTTTTTATGCTCTCTTAGTTCTCTCACAGACAATTTGGGGGCCATAGAGGCTATCACTCGCCTTACTCATCTTTTAAATCTGCAAGGCATGCTCGTAAGCCCAGTCAATGTTGATATTTTTGCGGCACTCATAAACCACTTTACAAGTACTCTTGGGTTCCCCTTCTTTTTTACATATAGAGCACATTACATTACAACCCAACACAGATACTAGAGAAAATAAAATGTATTTCAAAGTTCATTAAATTAATAATTTATTAAAACGTTTTATTATTTAATAGTTTGATTTGCAGACGACATAAGTAAATTTCACCTTTAAAAAAGAAATATAGAATCTTAATCAATGTAATGATTCCCCTAGAATGTTATAAGCTACACAAATTAATCTGTGATGCCTAACTTGCAATTTTATCGTCACAGAATATAACTATGTATATTGCGGGAAAACCCAACTTCCTTCTAATGCATATATTGCAATTCCAATCGTTGTTATTTAAGCCATCTAAAAACGCTGACAGCGATGCAATGCCAAACGGCAGGTGGGGTGTAATTCGCTGACGAGCGGTCATCGACAGAGTCGGAAAAGTGGGGAGCAATCGGGCTGACCATGAAAATATTCGTCAAGGGGCTGTGGGAGGGCAATTGCACTGGAATCCAGAAGCAGAGCGTTGACCCACCCGCAGAAAAAACTAGCAAACAAAGGGGTGTGGATGGGTGGTAGTGGGTGGCGCTGTGGTATCGATGGCAACCAAAGTTCATTACTAGTTGTTGGGCACTTTGCCCATTGCGCGAAGTTTGATGGCGCTTTCGAGCAATAGTCGAAAGGTAAACAAAGAATCGACCGAAGAACCATAACCTCCAACCCCTACCCCGCATTCGCAATTAAAGGGGGATCCCCTTTGTTTTTGGAATCGGCTTTTGGGAAATACATATGTAAACGCGAATTGGGACCATCGCCCGCGACCTTCTCCGTTAACGGTTAAATGGGGAGAGCCCGATAATGGGAATGAGCAGAAAGCAGTGAAAGCCGACGCCTGCGCCGAGCGAAAGTGGAGAATTGGCTCCTGCGCATGCTCCCTCTCTCATTCGCTCTCTCCACCCCACCGAACTGTCAATCTCGCTCCACTCGTCTGGAAGTAATATCGCTCTCTCTCCTCCTCGCTCTCTCGCCTCCTGTCACTTTGAGTGAGGAAATGGAAAACGGAATGTTTACGTTATGGGCACAGTGTGATTGGAATTTCGCAAAATCCACAAAGTTAATTAATAAACAATTTTTTTATTTATTAACACTATCTATTCGACTTCCATCCCCAAAATATATTAATATGTATGGACATAAGTAATACAAGTAATTTCTGTAGCACTCCCAATAAACTACAACGGTATTTAGGTATTGGACTGGATCAGTTTCTAACTTTAACTAAATTAATAGCAAACAAGAAAGGAAGCAAATTTCGGCAAGCCGGAGTTCATATACCCTTGCAGCTATTGCAAAAATTAAATGTTCTTGAAAACACTTAAACTTTAATTTATTTGCGTATATTATTATTACCGTTACTACAAATGCATTATTTAACCTCCAGTAAGCAGGAGATAATAGATTACAGCCTGAATTTCTTTGCTATAGGCTATATTCAGAATTTAAGAACACAAAAGGTTTTTTTTTTTAAAAACGTTTGATCGCCCTGTCCAAAGGCTTTCTAAATAGAGTACGCCAAGTTAATAAATAATGGCAAGGAAACACCACCTAAACGTGTCATAGTGAATCCAAAAATTCAGCAATATCTCAAACATTGTTGCACTTACATCTTAATCATATTTATGTATGAGTGGCCAGCGACCAACAGCTGTAACCCTTTTGGGAGCGTTTGGCGCTCGCGGCCGATTGTAGGTGTTGCCAACAGGTGGACGCACCGCCACCCCCTTTTGCACCCCCTCGCCACCGGAAAAGTGCTGGGTCTATCGATTTTCCAGGCATACCGCTGACCAGCAATGACAGCGCGCTCATCTCGATGGAGATTTTGGGTGGAAAATCTTACCCCTTGCAGCACAAACAACTCCAGTCGCACAGTGGGACGAGTCTGCAGCATGTGCACTTGAAAACCGAATTTGTTTACATTCGTGGTTGGTGTGTGTGTGTGCGGGAATGTCCAAATACATACATATGTATATATAGACGAGTGGAGCATTTACGCACTGGAAGCGGATGAGAAAACTCTACACGATTTTCCCAGAGCGGAGCGGACTTTTCGCCTTCCACATACAGAAACAATTCAGTTTGCGTGCGGAGTAGAACCGTTTGAATGTCGGAAAGGCGAGGGTCCCAATCGAATCGAAATCAAAGGATGTGGATCGAGTGAAATCCTGTAAAAGATAGTCCACGAATTGGAACAGGATTTACATAGCTAGTGAAAGGGTTCAAAAACTGAAGGATTCGGCTAGTTTTCACAGGAATAAAACACCGCCACGCTCAACGGAAATCAGTTTTCGCGACCTATTCGCCTGTTAATCCCCCTTCTCCGCCCGAGTTTTCCAGTAAATTTTGTGTGCATATACTAGAAAAAGTGATGTGAGCAGAGAACCGCGACCCGACGCCACTGACATAAATTCCTATTTTTAACTTTCCTGGGGCAAATACCCGCTGATGCGGAATCAATTCTGATTCGACAGCCAGATGAAAATTGGGCTGAAATTAAGGCAAGAAAAGGCTGCGGAAATCCCTTCCAGTTAACAATTTAAAGTTATTTCGCCTGTGGCTTCCAGACCGTTTGACAATCGCCTCTCTCTCTCTCTCGATTTCTGTCGCTATCCCCCTCATCGCCGACTTTCTCACTCGCACACTTGCTAACGGTGTTTTTGTGTCAGTGTCAAAATCGAATTCCGCCTAACCCGATGATTACAGTCGTTAACCATAGGATATTGCCAATTTCAATGCTAATTATATGCAAAAGTGCAATAATTAAATTTTTGTGTCCTGCCAAAAAACAAATTGAAAGTGGAGTATGAGATAGAAATTTTGTAAATGCCTGAGCATTCAAAATAGTGTGCTTTTATAGTATTTTTACAACATACATAGTGGTGATTGCAATCTAAGTCGTTCACAGTGGTTTCATAACGTGTTAAGTGTGCAGAACGCAGTTTTTCCTCCGAATAACTACGAAAATAACCCCCCGAAACACTTGTGTTGCCAACTCTAAGCTCGCCGAAAGCTAATAGTAAAAATAGTCTTGGAACATACATACGTTACCATTGCCAGCTCAACGTCTTACCAGCCACCAGCCAACACCACCACAACCACCTTCGCAGCAATCATCATCATCATCATCAGCATCGCACCATCTGGTGGTGCTGGTGTTGCTGTTGTCGTCGCACCGGGTCGTCGGAAACATCGGCAAGATATCTTCGTTCGAAGAAGACTACCGGGCTGACAGGCCCATGGTGCAGCGCGCCTCTTCCTCGGATGCACCCTCCGTTCAGGGTGGCCAACATCGAGAATCTCGATTTGGCCTTGGATACCCCTCCTACCAGAGTGGATACAACAAACTATTCACACAGGTGCTGCAAAACATCCATGGGATAAAAACTAGTCTCAATTATATCATACTTTATGTGTAAATTATTTTTAAGCAACAACATTTTTAATTTAATTACTTTAATACATTTGTAGATGAAAATTTAAAGATTGGGATATAGGTTCTTAATCAATTTACATTTTTTCGTTGTTAGTGACCATTGCAAAACAAAAATACGGTCGAACGTACATTAGGGTGGACCAAAAGCCTTTCTCTTATCGTTTAATATTTACGAAAAGAAAAAAAAGGAAGTCAAAATTCTGATATCAAATCAGTTTGTTTTTGTTAGAACTTTTAAAGGTTTTTTTTTTCAAATAAAAAAAGGGCATTGCAGTTTTTGAATAACTAAGGACCAATTTCTAGTTTGTATGTTTTAAGTTAAAGTAAAATTGTGTGCCAAACCTGAAATAGTAGTCAAACTTTTCTGTGACATTTCCGTTTGGCCGACCGACAAATTTTAACAGTTGAGGCAGAATAATCTTGTTACAACTTAACATGACATTCAGGAATTGGGCCATTTTCACTAAACTGTAGTTTTTGGCGACTTTTTGTTAAAATGTTGTTATAAACTGACGAGTAAGTTCCAAAGTTTTATATCATTTTCATGACATGAATAAATGGGAATGGGAACAAGTTTTCCATAATGAATTTTGCACTGCGGATCATATTTGCTTTAAAAATTTAAATACAGAAGATCTATACCTATATAAAAATACTCAGTGTTCTCCATGGCCAATATATTGCCCATGTGCTTGCCACCAACTGTTGCTTTATGTGCGGCAACAAGAAATAATCAAAATCGTACATAGGGCGCTGCATTGTTTGGCCACTTGGGTTGGGTTGGGCTGGGCTGGGCTTTTGGCAAAAGGCCAATTTAATTTGTTTTGATTTTCAGATGGCAAGGCACATTTATTCGTCTATAATGCAGCCCTACTTAGTCAGACCCGTTTTTTACCAGCCCCTTTTTCTTGCCTTTTTTTATAGGGTTCTGCCGACTCAAACTACTCACAACCGTCATCCGATCTGTCGCTAGACGAGGAAAAGGAATCGCTTCGGCGAGAAAAGGAACGTCAGGCCTTAAGCCAGTTGGATAAAGCGAGGGTGAGTAGTTACTTTATTGTCAATCTTGAAATAAATCGCCATAAAAAACAAGAAATGCATTGAAAAGGTTACTGGACTATTGGGTTATTAATCTTGTAATTGACCTTAGTCCAATTTTCGGTAATAACTGGGTTCCATTTTATTTTCAAAATAAGATTTCGAGTTTAATTACAATTAATTGTATAAATAAAACAAAATCGATCACCTTTTCAAGGGATATACATTTAAATATTTTAAGCCAATACAATCAATCACACATACATTTTTTTCTTTCACCATATGTTAAATGTACATATTATAAAAACAAACTATAAATTTATATTATTTTGAAGTTTCCAAAAAAACTAAATCGATGTTTTTTGGTTATTTGATTATCAGCAGATTGTTACATATTATGTATAAATATTAATACAGAGTAATTGTGCTAACTAGTTAAGTTAGCTGATATGACGTGTTAGTAAAGTAATTTTAGCTTGTGGCGATTTTATTTTGAAGATTTTGTAAAACAAATTTGTAATTAAATTATTCTAATGACAGAGCAAACCAGTGGCGTTCGCTGTGCGAACCAACGTAGCATACGATGGCGCCATCGACGACGATTCCCCGGTGCAGGGCGGCGCAGTTTCGTTCGAGATCCGGGAGTTCCTGCACATCAAAGAGAAGTACGACAATAACTGGTGGATCGGCCGGCTGGTCAAGGAGGGCTGTGATGTGGGCTTCATACCCAGCCCCGCTAAGCTAGACAACATTCGCATGCAGGTTGGATTTGCATATGCATAAGCATTTGTAGAAATTGCCATTGCTAATCTATATGTGAATCCCATTCCAGAACCAAACCAGACCCTCAAGACTGTATGGCACAAAGGGCTCGTCGAGCGGGAATCTTGGTGCGGGCGGACAAGCAGGTGCGGAGCCATCTCGAGGTAGCACACCCCCCACACCTGGTATGACACACATTTCATTCTCCTGATTTCTTTTGGGCGAGGTTTTATTTCGTATCTGTTCTATTCTGTGAATCGAATTAATTTCAATCTATATATTTTTTCGCTGTCTTCTATGTAATGTGTTTACTTTTGTAAATCGTCACAGAAGGGCCTCCTCCCGGAGGAGGCCCAGTATGTTAATGGGCATCCATAGGTCCGACAGACGGATGCCGAGAGCCCGACTCAAACTCTTGCTCTTCGATGTTTATTGTAATTGGACGCGGGTTTTATGATTTTAATTTGAAGCGAACCAAATCAGAACCTAAAAACGTGGGCCATGCTAAATTCCCGTAATTTCGTACTTTTGTGTTTGATCTGATTATATCATGCGACATCCATAAATCGAGTGCAAGTTTATGCTTAACTACAATGAGTTCACCTGGCAATCAATCCGATGCAAATCCGACCCTAGTAATGCAAACGGTCTATATATCGGCCTAGTGCTAGTCCTTCCTAGATCCCGCATGAAAAGCCGAATCCTTCAGCAGATCGGCCTAGACTGCCTGACCCCCTTCCACGATTCACCACTGTAAACACACAAAAGTACACACTTATTACCTAATATAGCAATTGCTTCGATAGCCACGACTTTCTACGTCTTAGTTTGTCTAAATCAAAGTTCCTCGTTCATGGTCTGCTTGTAAATTAGCCTAGCGAAAGTGAACACTATTAAATGCACTCAAACTCTCTTTTATCTAACACAAACGGTTGACAACACTAACAAAATGAACAACCACAACGCGACCCAAGATCCCTACAGTACAACACCGCGCAAGAAAAAAACAGGTTTGTCCACGTCTCTCATCAGATCCTCAGAAATCCATTTCAATCGCAAAATCTATCGCTAGCTCTTTCAGTGAGATTTTCAGGACACTTATTAAAATAAAAATATTAAAATCTAAATAAATCCGCAATGGGATAAAAATTTCGTTTAAACAAGTCTTAGTTAGTTAACCAGTGAATTTGGTTTTTCAAAAAATTTATTTTTCATACATAAAAAACTTTTACAGTAAGCTACCAATTGTAACTAATTGATTTTGATAAGCGTATGTCATTCTACAAACTTTTTAAGATTAGCCCTTTAATTAAACTGATTTACCAGAGCAGAGTTATTAACGAGTTTTTATATTTTAACTTTCTAATCACTTCAATACAATTTAATTTTCGTAAGTAAAAAATGAAATATATTCAGATATCAAAAACACTTTCATTCCAAAATACTTGTCATCTGTCTGTAAACCCTAAAATTGTTACTCCTAGCTCTGAAACACGCTGGTTTTTGTCGTATATAATCGCTGTTTGTAATCTGTCCAAAAGGAGTTTGAAAAATCCCACTAACTCAATCCTGTATCTAGTTGTTGATTATCAATAGAGTTGTGTAAAGTCTAAGCAAATAGAACACTTCATATTCGAGTAGAAATAAGTTAAATATCTTAGGCAGAAACCTCACCCTCGAGTTGGCATTTGAACAGCATTAAATGGTGCGTAGACCGGTAAACAAAAGAGACAAAAATTCAAATCAACTTAAATTCCGAACCGACACAGTTTCCTGGCACAAGACACACACACACACACTGAAATCCCACAGCTGGCAGAGGAAATCCCTGCGACAATTCGAAACACTATTACTGTATATATATATATATATGTTTATATATAGACTAACCCACAAGCGTGTTACGTATTTACGATAATATCTAAATTGGCCAAGCAATTCGTACTGATTGATCGCACTGGCTCGTACCAATCATAAGCTCGCTCATCCGTTGCCATTATCTCGCCCTGTTTGCCATGATACTAACGCTCAGGTGACGAATCAGATTCCATGGGACCAGGACGACATGGCAAGACCCCGGTGGCGTCCGCCAACAAGGAGAAGCGCAAGCCGTTCTTCAAGAAGCAGGAGACGGCCAGTCCCTACGACGTGGTGCCCTCGATGCGCCCGGTGGTACTAGTGGGGCCCAGTCTCAAGGGCTACGAGGTGACCGACATGATGCAGAAGGCCCTCTTCGACTTCCTCAAGCACCGCTTCGAGGGCCGCATCATCATCACGCGCGTGATGGCCGACATCTCGCTGGCCAAGCGTTCCATCATGAACAATCCCTCGAAGCGGGCCATCATGGAGCGATCCTCCAGCCGGAGCGATTGCCTCGGCAAGGTGCAGGAGGAGATCGAGCGCATCTTCGAGCTGGCACGCTCGCTTCAGCTGGTCGTGCTCGATTGTGATACAATCAATCATCCGTCACAACTAGCGAAAACTTCATTAGCGCCAACAATAGTGTACTTAAAGATTAGTAGTAGTAAGGTAAGCTTCTCACTGGGCATAATCATCGAATTCAAATTACTGATACGTCCGTCAATTGCACAGGTTTTACAGCGTTTGATCAAATCACGTGGCAAGTCGCAGGCGAAAAACCTCTCCGTTCAAATGGTCGCCGCCGAGAAGCTAGCCCAGTGTCCACCGGATATGTTCGATGTAATCCTAGACGAGAATCAGCTGGAAGACGCCTGCGAGCACATTGCCGAGTACTTGGAGGTGAGTTTTGTTACCAACAACAATCATAAATGGCTTAAAGTTGCCCTGATTTTGTTGTACCCTGCAAGGAAACTGTAACTTCACGATATTTAAAAGCAAAAACACCTATAAATAATTGTTTTACAAATATTAAGTATACGCACAATGGGTTGTAATACGAAAAAAAAGATCGATATGGTATCGTTATCTAAAAAAGTATTTTATTACAAATGTCTCCAGTGACAGACCAATCGTATGTCTCTTAAGTTCGTATGAAAAATAAGGCGGCAAATTTATTTACGTTTTTTTTTCATTTTAAAAGTATTCTACGTACATATACCATTTGTCCCCGATAACCAATTTTAAATAAAGAAAATATCAAACCAGTTTGGCAAATCTATTTCTTAGCCATGTCACCTTTCTTAAATAAAATAATAAACGGGCCAACAAAAGCTACAACAATCTATTATCCTTTGCAGACCTACTGGAAGGCCACCCACCCGGATATTCGAGCAGTGCCGCCCATCGCCCGCCCCCTGCCGCAGGAGGCCTCGCCCTCCGCAGATCCCACGCGTCTGGGTCCGACGCCGCCAGGTAAAGGCACACCTGCCCATCCGATCGGGCTCATTTACGGTCGCATTGCCATTCTCATTTGCGCGATTCCACCAAGTCCCAGCCCATGCCCAAGAAGCTGCGAAATTTCAATCAATATCAATATCGAAATCGAAATCAGAGGTCACCCATTGTCTCACCCCCAATTCAATTCAAACGAATACAATCCGACCCATTAAACACATATTAGTATATGCATACATGGTGACTGTGAATGTATGTATGTATGCATATACCGGAAATCAGATCAGCAATAAACAATTTTCATTTGCTTCTCAACATACTCAACACAATTATACAAATACAATTCTAAAATTTGTCTTTTTCAAATTTAAATTCCCATGGCTGTACCGTTAAACCAATCGAATCTCCTTCTGGCTCTCTCTCTCCCTCCGCGTGTGGGCGTGGTGAGAGCAGTAGATGGCGAGGAGTTTATCGATGAGCAGGATCCCAGGATGGGCATTTCCGGCGGAGAGCGCGAGGGAAGTCGGGAGCGCGATCGCGATAGCAGGGAAAGGGAGCGAGAGCGCGAGAGGGAGCGGGATTACTGGGATCGGGAGTTCAACCGAGATCGCAGCTCCAAGGATCGCGAGAGGGATCTCGAGTGGGAGCGGGAGAGGGCTCGCGAGTGGGAGAGAGAGCGGGAACGAGATTGGGATAGGGAGTTCGATTGGGACCAAGGTAAATTTCTCTTATACTGTTTCTTTTCGTTTCGTTTCCTTTTTACCGATAATATATACGTAAACTCATTAAGTATCACATTTCTCTAGATCCGAGTCAGTACTTAGATAGATTTGAATTGGTCCTGTAAGGCCTACAGCTTTAGCTAGAACTACCTTGTCCCAAGATATAAGCCAGTTGCAGACGTTGTCCATTGTAGTACAACTCTTACACATTATTGTATGTACATAGACTCAGGCTTAAAGTAGCTTCGGTTCCCCTTAAATGACATACATATCGGCCCACATCTCCACCCATCGATTGTATGTAGCTACAGCTCATGGCATATTTACAACTCCCGCTTTCTAGACACCTTTTTTGTACATATCTATACAGAATCTCCGGTATCCTCAACTTTTCGTTTATTTCAATTGTTCTTTTGTGACCACACTTTACAGCATTCACAGCACGTGACATACCCGGTCCCTTTACAACAATGCTATAGATCAAAACGAGTTCAAATCCAACCACCAAGACCAACACAACTGCGACATCAACAGTACAAAGTAAAAGACAATCGATTCCGAATTGAAATCAAAATAATGAAAACCAAATCAAATGGAACAAGCAAAAGCACCCACCGACCGACATCTCCAGACGATCTCCACAAGTAAAACTCTTTGCCAAGAAACCCGGATGAGGTGTGCGCCCATGCTCGAGATAACAGATGCATAGAGCCCATAGATTGCCCACTAACGTTAGCTAAAACTAAGATTACCTCTCTGCCGTTGAGTTCTACTAACCGATTAACACTGAAAAGCACGCAATCGTAGAGCCCCCAGCGCTTCCTCAAGCATCTGACATCAATCGATCCAAACGATCCAATCGATCACCCATTCGTGCGTTTTACCGACTGAACTCTGTACTTGTTTTTAGTTACACCGGGCGTTGTGCGCCTTTAAACTGCCGCGATCTTCGCCAACCTCTTCAACTCGATTCTCACCTTCTTCCGGGTGTTTTCCTAGATCAGCTCAACTCCACCCGAATCAGCTCAGTTATAATATGTACATGTATTCCGTTGTTGTCGATCCTTATGTTTTCACCATTTCAAGTTGCAAAACCAAATCATCCAATCGTTTAGATCTGGTTTAGTGAGTACCGAATCCCCGTGATGTGTATTGCGTTACATTATTTGTGCAACTTGACCCACTCCACTTTTGGTTATCTTTATCTTTGTTACTGCCCCCTGAAATCATCCTTGTTCCCCCAAACTTACACCTTGCATAACTGACGCTAGGATTTGTTCGTTTGCTGATTTTTATTTTCCTTATTTTCAGCAAAAAAAAAAACGTTTTTGAATTACCATTTTGAATTCCTAACCAAGCGTTTTGTTTATCATTAACACTTTAGATTTAAGAGTTTATACAATTCTAATTAAAACGTAGTTTAGTACATTTTTAAAATCTCTCCATTAGAAAGTCATTTTTGTTCTTGTTAGTAAACTAGGTAATCAGGTAGCTCTCAAATTTTATAGTCTTTTAAATTTACCTTTTTTCCTAACCACTATTCATTTAAATGTACAAATGTACAATGTACAATGCACAATATCATGTCTGTTAAAAAAACTAATTTAAAATTGTCTGTGAAAAATGCATAGACAAAAAAAATGTAAAAATTTAGTCCGATTACAGAACCATTAACTTAAGTAAATCAAACAAATTTAATGATATGAAGTATTCTATCCATTTGGTAAGAATTCATTAAAGGTCAGAATTTAAAGGATTTTATTCCAAAATCAATCAGAATAAGTTTTTTAGAATAGTTCTTTAGCTTGAGATGACACAGAACACAAACACCTAATTGACCAATCTCCAGGACATGGAGACCTTTAGTCTGTTACCTCCGTTCAACTTTCGCCTATAGCCCCTTTTTCGAATGCTTTAGTTCTGGTTTTGTTTTCCGTTTTTCGTTACCCTTAAAATACCTTGTAATGATTGCAACTTTACTAACATATTGTTGTGTTGCCCGTTTTGCAGGAGGAAGCTCTTACCAGCACAGCCGCCGACAACCGACCTCGGTTCGCCATCAGGAGCGCGGTGGAGGCGTGGGAGCCGGCGGTGGAGGCGGTATCGGCGGCGGCGGCGTTGGCTACGAGCGGGACCGTGAGCGGGAACGATACGAGCGGCGCGAGCGCGACCTCATGCACTACGATCTGAACAGCGACGAGCTGCTGGACGAGCGCAACTTCGAGTATCCGGCAATGCGGAGCGGTCCCAGCGGCGCCTCCCACCACGGCCACCTGTCCCGGGGCGGACGCCTGCTGGACGATCCGGACTTTGAGCGCGAGGAGGCCCAGATGAGGATGAGCAGCTCCCGCTACGGACCCTCCACCCGGATCGACGACCCCCGGGATCTGCCGCGGGGCGCCACCGTTGTCGATCGCGATGAATACAGTCCGCACAGAGGTGGTGGGAGTAGTAGGAGAATGCTTAATGCCATGTAGGAATCGTGGATATAGGGGTGGGATCAGATCGATGCGAGAGTGCCAGGTTTGATGGAAGCACGCGACAATAGTTTTGATCTTGACATGACACACCGCCAGCCTCAGTCTCAAACTCAATCTCAATTTCAATCTCAAATTCAATTTCAAACTCAAACTCACTCTCAATCGCAGTCACATTCACATTCACAATCACAATCACAGTCCAGGGCGAGGTCCAGACCGTTGGGCCTGCCCCGTCAATCCTCCCTGCCCAGCAACAGAGCACCCGTGTCCTATCTGCCACGCCAGTCCTCCCTGGGCACCCACTGGCTGTCCTCGTCGTCGCAGAGCACCCTGGAACCGGGACACCGGTCTCGCCAAGAGCTTTATCCACTGCTGCACCAGCCGCAGTCGTATCCCCAGGCCCGATCACATTACACCCACTTGTACACAGCCGCACCCCAGCATCCCAATCAGTCGCGTTCCCAGTCCCAATCCCAATCCCAGTCCCAATCCCACGGCCACTCCCAGTATCGATACGCCGTGCAGGACACGTCCTTTGCCCATCCACCAAGAACCCTGCGCGAGGAGTTTCTCAGTCCCACCATGAGCAAGGTCGAAGCCGTCACACACGCCATCCGCAACAAGATCATCGTGGAGGAGGACGAGGAGGACATCCTGAGCACGGATCGGTTCTATTAAAGAGATTTCAGTCGCCACCCCGTGTCGATTTGGTTTGGGTAACTTTTTGGGGGGGCATACAAGCAAATGCAGCAGTGCCAAAACACACGACACATTTGTAAATGTTCCATTCGATGATCAGATCAATTTGGTAGCCACACAAACACAAACACGAAAACGAACGGAAAGAGAAACAGAAACAGAAACAGGAGCACACAAAAGTAGCTGGTTAAAGTTAAAGTGAGCGTTAAAAGCGACGGTTAAAGCAAACGTTAGAGCAAACCAAGGAAGCAGCCCAATGCCATGTGGGGCCTTATGTGTCTTAAATGCTATAGCTAAGTGTAATCAGATTTTATTTGAATAATGTGAATTTAAATTAAATGGTCTAAGCCTAAGATTTAAGCTAGTAGAACAGTTGGAAATTAAAAGTTAAGGGAGTCCGCAGCCACCCAGCAGCATTTGTTGGTCCCCCATGGGTATCGTATTTGTTATGCAATTGATTGACTAAGTACATACATAAGTGTCAGCTTTAATAATTTAGTGAATGTGTCTTAATCTAAGTCGAGCCACACACCTACACACACACACACACACACACACTCGAGCACACACTCGAGCATACACTCGAGCACACACACTCAGTTGACTGTGAACCGATTGAAATCTCTTTAATCTCAAACCGATACCTTTTTCTCGCATCCATCCTGTTTCTTCCTCTACGCAAAGTATAAATCTTGATACTTTCTTCAGTCCATCTGCTAGGCTATATTCTAATTGAAAAGATACCACTTGAAATAACAGTGCGTTTCAAAGGCAGATAATGTTAAATAAGTTAATAGGTTTTGTTTATCCTTTTTTTCTTCATCTAAAAATATATTCGGTGACTGATTAAAAAGTGTATCTTCCAGGAATTTTAGTTAGACACCTAAACCTTAACCAAACTCTAAGCATGACCGAATAGTCTAATAACTTATCATGTAAAGTGATAAGTTATTCATTTAACTTAGTGAAGCACAACGTTTTAGACCTTCGAGACTTTTCAGAAATATTTTGCTTAGCTTGAGTGAAACGCACTGCCTAGCAACCACATGCATGTCTAGAATACCTTCTTCCAACAGCAATACTTTCGACCTAGATACCTTGTCACACCATATCATGCCACACACCTGCCAAAGCGCACAGTTCGCGGTTGCAGTTCAAAGTATTTATTGGATTGCAAGCGAACAGGCCTCCAACCTGGGTCGGGATCCAAATGAGATCCAAATGCGATGACCCAGGCATAGGTATAGCGATTTAAACTACCAGTGCCTTATGAACCATCAAATCAAGTTACACAGCAGCACTCCACCCCACAAATCTTCCATTTCCATTTCCCTGCCCAATGAGATCATCCTGTTCACATGTACCACTACCATCCGCTAAAGTCGACTGCGTCAAAATTATTGTTCAAGTATTGTAAGTACCTACACGTAATGTCGAGATGAGAAACGTTGATCTGGCCCATTCCGAACGAGCACTCCTTTTACAATTCCAACCACCATGCTAAATTTGTCGATCATCAGTTGTCGAACTGAGCTAGCGCCCAACAATGATGAACCGCACTGCATTCAAATCGATCGCCACCTCGAGTAAGAGTAAGAGTTGATGAATAGCTAGTTGATCTGTAAGCACATTCACAGAGCCCATCCTACTGTCCACGGACTACAACCGAATCCCCACGGGGAGTGTGAGACTTCCGGGCGAAAATAGTTGGTAGATCGGTGTAGAGGACAGAAATAAAAGCAAAAATCTAGTACTTTTTTTATATAAGAGATACAAGGTGATATAACTAAATTTTGGAAAGCAAATTTGAACAGCGCACGACAAATACAGATACCTAAAAGAAATTGTTAGCAACATTCAGGAGGGGAAAGGCTTAGAAATTAGGCAGTCTTGAGAACACATCCAGAGGTATTTTTCAAAATTAGTTTCAAAATATATATATGGCTCTGGAGAATGTAAGCCTTTCCCGGTGCAAAAAAAAATGGATGGCGTTGGCCAAGGCACTGGAGGCGCTTCATCGAGGAACAAACAATTTAAAATAAATGGAAAGCAAAACATACGACACGCAAGCACTTCTTGTAAAAAGTGGCAAACAAACATGATCTATGTATTAGCTAAACCTAAATGAAATATTACTTTTTAATACTAGCATAAAGTTAAAAACAAAACTAGATACGCTCCTGCGCAGCCAAGGAGGGGACAAAAGGAATACTTAAGTTTAAAGGGTCAGTTGATGAGGGTGTGCATGTTAGAGTATTGCACATAATTCACAGAACTGGTAATTCAATATATGATAATGGTATATATTAAAAGGATACACACATTTATAAAGGTGCATATACATTTATACATGAATATGTATGTTCTTACTATAATTAACAAAATTTAAACCGATACAGATACATCAGCCGGCATTTTGTAAGCGTGAAAACCAAAATATAATGACAAAATAATATGGAATAAAAATAATAGATTATCCCAGATATTGTTAGACACTTTCTGGAAACGGAACTTTGCCATGAAAATTTCATCAGATCTGATAGGAATATGTTGAAGTTATTTTATAAGATGCCTTAAATTTCTCAACTCAAATTCTTTGAAAGTTTCGGAAAACAAAACTTGATAAATTCATATATTCCATTGCATAACCTTCAGCAGATGGACAAAAAGTCTCAATACATTTTTGAAAAAAAAACAGGTTTGCTTCTAATATATAGCAATTTTTTTGTAATAATCAAATCTTATTTCCGATTAAAAAACAAATGAAAGCAAAAACCAAGCAATTTAAATTTGTTGACACTCTTAAAAACTAAAAGAAACACACACACATGCAAACAAATTTTATAGCGAAAATACTGAAACTTTAAAGAGGATACGCCTATTTATAATTAAATTTAGCGGTAATAACTTCTCTACTTTTCAAGCCACCTTAATAACAAAGCAAACCTTATTTTTTAGCCAAATCCCTTTTTAAATTAAAAAGAAAATGAACAGATTGACAAGAGCACGCCTGAGAATTCCCAATTTAATATATTATGATAAATCAAAAGATCCCCACACCCCGGAGAAAAAACACGAACTAATTGTGGAAATATCAACCCAAATCCAAGTTTATATAGAATATTTTATACATGCAAAACATATACATATTGTAAAAACGAGAAACAGTAACTAAGCCTCAATCAGCAATTTCCAATAATTGTGTGTAAATAGTTTATGATATTTCAATTTGTTACCAAATAATTTTGTTACAAACTTTGTAATATTCCTTTAATTTTATGGTATGTTGGATGATCTTCTGCCATCTCCTCCGCCATGTTTGTTGTTTTTGTTTCCATTTTCCGCATTCAAATGTTGTTCACAATATGTTTTTGGAAAATACGTAGTTAAATGAAAGCTAAATTGCAAATAAAAGCAAATACAACAAAAATATTGAAAATAATTTGCACTCGTCTTATCTTTGGGGTGGTAAAAGAAAATAAACGGTAAGAAAACTACTTTAATTTATTTAACACGTAACTCGCTTTAAGAAAGGATTAGTGTTTTGATTTTAAGAAATTATTGTGTTGAAAAACATTTCCCATATCGTAAACAGCATTTCCGAGTAGGTAAATAAATAATAATCAAAAATGATTTATTTTGACAACCCGGCTGATGAAATTCATTGATGTCTTTACCCGCAGGGTCATATATGGGTTAAAATGGTTGTTTTGACGTTTCGAAAACAACTCACTCGCACTCGCTCACTCAAAAGAACAAATCGTTCCATCGTGAAAGAGAGAACTTGACTTCCATGTAGCTCTCCGCTCTCCGATCTTTCCAGTGGGTTATCAGCCAGAAAAACAACATTCGCACTGCACTGGGGAGAACATTCGAAGTCAGGTTCGATGGCCCGTCATTCCCGCTCTCAAAGTCAATTCAATTTGTTTGCTCAGTGGCGCAGATCATATTTGGCGGAATAAAGTTCGTGAAAATTAACACAATCGACCGGTTGTCCATATTGTTCAGCACCTTATTTAAACCTAAATCAAGTATGCCGCTTAATCTTAATATAAAGAAAGTGCTGGTCTGCGATGCAGTGGACAAATCCTGCGTGGAGCTGCTGGAACAGCACGGTATTAATGTAAGTTTCCCAAATTCCCTGACGAGACAAGCGATTATTTGCAAAAGCTTACACCCATACAAGTGCTTAAAAGTACAGTGCTTCCTCATATAAAGATTGTGTCATTCTGAATAAAATAAAATTTAGTTTTTAATTTAACATATCCAACACAAAATTTTTAACATTTTTTTAAAACAATAAGTCAATTAATATATATACACAACAGTCCAAATTTATAAAATTTGTGAAAAAATGTTAATAAAAATTATATTTGATTCAATATATGAATTCTGAATCAGGTTATCAAAAATTAAGTTCCTAAAAAAGCCAAACTTTAATTTTATTAAATTCAAGTTATTTAATTATTTTCTCTTACTTTAACAACAACCCGGCTTAAAAATACCTAAGCCCCACCGTATATGAGCTTGCAAGCATGTAAATGCGTTCACAAGTGAGAGAAAAGAAAATACTAGCATTTGCTTTTAATTGATTGCACAATTTAATCAACATTGTTGACCATTTGTTTTTGTATTTGACAAGGTTACCTACAAACTGAAACTCCCCATGGCGGAACTATGTGACGAAGTTAAGGTAAGTGGCTTAGGGATTACAGCACAGGTGATTAAATAAATGCGAGTGCATACATACATATGTAACAGATAACTCGATGTAATTGAAAGCTCACTAAACAATTCAAGTGCGGTTTCAAAACACGTGACATGAGGTTAAATATGGGTGCATTTCCTACATATCTATGGTAGTAATTGTGGGTGTTAAGTAATGGCCACATATCTCAAGAAGTCTGTTACTAAGCACTCCGTTGCGTAAGTTGAAAATCCACACAGTAACACAAGACACAAGATTACACACATTTGTGAACGTAAACAGAAGCATGTATACATAACTATGTATCAGACAGATTTGCATCGAACTCGGGTAAAAAGTGCATGTAATGAAAAAAGAGAGATTAAGAACAGACCGGATTTCAAGTTACTAACGACCTCTAATTTTATTTTTTTAATAGTCTTATTTACTTTATTAATGAACAAAAAATTAAAAACTTTAGAGCTTCTAAAGTCTTTTAAAGTAAAAAGTCCTGCAGAATATTTAAAATCACTTTAAATCAGCAGAACGACTGATTTTTGACTGAACTGTTTCCAAAGCAATTATTCATATAATTTTTTTAAATTTGTTTTCTGTTTCAAGAATGCAGCTTTCAATTAGAGCTACAATGTTGTTTTCGTTTATTTAAATCATTTCTCGTCTGTATGGGCACGTAGCACTAATGCATATTTGGCATTTTATTTGAATTGGAGGGAGATGTTTTTAGTCGTTGATTGCACAAAACAATTTAAAGGGTCAAAAGAAGTACTCAATAAAAAATATTTTTGCCCCTTGATAACGAGATGAACAATTTAACAAGACAAACATGTTTTTCATTTTAAACTTTGGTACCCAGTAGTCATTAAAGTATTTAAATGTCTAACTGAAATATAATTAATATTGAAATTTTAGCCTTAAAGAAAAATTAAAAACTATTAGTGCATATTTTTCTAGCGATGAAATATTATATTAGACCAACACCTGAGAAACATTTTAGCTAGACGATAAGAATGTCTAGCTAAAATGTTTCTCAGGTGTTGGTTACACATATAGCCCTAATCGAATAGTTCTTATCGAAGAAAGTGACGATCAGACGATGTTGGCTCAACATGAACTATATTTCTCCAAACTATACCAAGAAATTCTGAAATAACCAAGTAGTCCAATAAACGGAACCAGAAACCAGAAACTTTATGCCATATCGATACATTTTCCACGATAAGTAAGATATAGTAAAAGTGATGAGGGGTATCAATGTTGCTTCTAAACAAAACCAGTAATTGGAGCACTTAGGTTGGTCAACGAAATGGCTTAGGAAATTACATGGAAATTATTATGTTTACACAGTTGCTAATTATTAAATTACTCCGTTTCAGAATTACGACGCGGCCATCGTTCGCTCGGATACGAAAATAACCGCGGAAGTTTTGGCCGCCGGAGCCGGCAGTCTTAAGGTTGTTGGCCGCGCTGGGGCAGGAGTTGATAACATCGATGTTCCCGCAGCCACGGCCCACAATGTCGTTGTCCTGAAGTAAGTGCTCCGTAAGCCCATTGTGCATTGCACGGCGGGAAAGGATTGCTCGCTACACTATGCAAAAATACGAACTTTTTGTTCAAGTTAGCCTTAGGGCCACAATTTCCATTAGCTTAACATATTAGTAATTAAACATGTAAGCCTAATAGGTTATGGGTCCTATTTTAAATCTAAAAGCCAAGCAAGTTAAATAATGCAATTGGTTTACGAAAAAAGTAGTCTTCCCGCTTTTAAAAATCTGACATTGATTTCAGTGTCTGAAATAACACCCAAAATACTTCTAAATATTTTGAAAGTTTCAAAGCCATTTAGGCACCATTATGTCATTTAGGGATTTTAATTATATATAATCATTTTTAGGTTTATGACTTAATTAATTCCACTTTTTGAATTCGCGGAAACCAACTTAATAATTAATTTGAAAATATTAATTAATCTAAAAATGCAGTAAATATATTGATCAGCAGGAAGACAGGTCCTATATACTAGTTAGATATAAATTCTTGAGAATGTTCACTGCCTTATATTTTGCCCAACGAACTTTAAGTAGCGAAGTATAGTGTAAGCTTTGATGGCCCAGCGCCCAAATAATTATGCGCATTCTGAATCGCGGGATTGGCAGTCGCTATCGCATCGCATCGCAACCCTGTGAGGAGCCATGACTTGGGTCAATTGACGCCGTTTGACACGCATAATTAAGGGGACGACGAGTGTGGAGCTGGAAGAGGAGGATGGGGGTTCGGGATCAGGGTTGTGGGTTGTGGGTTGCGGGTTGGCCGCGTCAATGTCAGATGGCCCACCGCATTGCCAAGGATACGAAGTAAAGCGCGAAAATTGCCATATTTTGCTGGGATCTTTTTTTCGGCGGCATTTGCATAATGCTGTCTAGTCACAACAAACGCCACCCCTCGCCCCAAACCCCACTTTACCATTTATCCCGCCACTGTCTATCGGGGCATTTAGGGCATGTTTAACTAAACTCTCGTCTCTTTCAGCACTCCGGGTGGCAATTCTATTTCGGCCTGTGAGCTGACGTGCATCCTAATTGGCTCCCTGGCCCGTCCCGTCGTCCCCGCTGGCCAGAGCATGAAGGAGGGTCGCTGGGACAGGAAGCTATACGCCGGCACCGAGCTCTACGGCAAAACCCTGGCCGTCCTCGGACTGGGGCGCATTGGCCGCGAGGTTGCCGTTCGCATGAAGACCTGGGGCATGCGGGTGCGTTGCACTGGGTATTTACTTTACTCTACATTTTAATCGAACCCTAAGTGCTTCGCAGATTATTGGATACGATCCCATCACCACGGAGGCGGAGGCCAAGGCAGCGGGCATCGAGAAGATGACGCTGGAGGAGATCTGGCCACTGGCCGATTACATAACCGTGCACACGCCGCTAATCCCAGCCACCAGAAGTAAGTAAAGCTCTTGTGATGCATTTAAAGTGGTCAAAGTAGATGACCCTGCCTGATTTACTCTAAAGATTATATGTAGTAACAAGATTTGTTTAATAACTTTAATTTGACATGTGCTGCAAAAAGGGTGTTGCCTTTGCTACAAAGTATTTTTTTTATTAAAGATAGATATTTTAAAAGTGTTTTTTTGTAAAGTAAATATTATAAAATTGCATCCAATAATTATTGTACAACTACTAGGTATACTTACAATTTTAAATTAAAATAACTTGCCAATTAAAGAACTTACATCCATTATAATAAAATACATTTAATAAAATCCCAGTATCCAGTAATAATCAAGCTCTAATTCATCAACCCGTCATTTGCCTAGAGTACAAAATCTAAAATAAAGAAATCTTACTTAAGGATAAGCCAATAAACCTCATTTTAATGCATTTCATTAACTAGGCTTATATAAATTAAATTAAATATGCGTCCATATGTACACAATTGTCTGTTTCGCGTAACCATGGCATTTAAATCTTAGAAAATTTATGTGATCACAATTTATCACAATTAAAAAGATTAAAATAATATTTTAAAGGTGGTAAATCGCAGAGTTAAATGGTATTTATTATATCTTTCAGATCTCATTTCGACGGAGACCCTGGCGAAGTGCAAGCAGGGCGTCAAAGTGGTCAATGTGGCACGCGGTGGCATCATCGATGAGCAGGCCGTGCTGGATGGCCTTGAGAGTGGAAAAGTGGCCGGCGCTGCCTTCGACGTTTACCCCGAGGAGCCACCGAAGTCTGCGGTCACCAAGGCGCTCATCGGCCACCCTAAGGTGGTGGCCACGCCCCATTTGGGGGCCAGCACCTCGGAGGCTCAGGTTCGCGTGGCCGTGGAGGTTGCCGAGCAGTTTATCGCCCTCAACGGGACCTCGCCGAAATACACCAGCTATGCGGGCGTTATCAACAAGGATGCCCTCGCCCACTACCAGTGAAACAAATCGAATTTTCTAACCCCCAGCACATTCTAAGTTCTTTGGTCATCATTTATGAATAAGTTTACAACAGTCTTTGTAAATACAAATAAGAATGAATAAAAATCGTAAAATTATATTACACAGAACAAAGGAACCTGCTGTTTGTTTTTTTTGGAATAATCAAAACAAAACAAGCTTTTGTCGTCATATCTGCCCCTCACTTTATTACAACTAATCATGTTTTCTATTTATGGACTGATATGCAAATGCAGGAAAATGACGATCTGCTATTCTTATCATAAGCTAAAGTAAGATTAAGTTTGTTTATTTATTTTCGGATTTAATTGGTATCAAAATACAGGAGATTTAAAATTTGTTTAAATTTTGAAAGCCCCGAAACATAAAATTAAATAAGATAATAATTTTATAAGTGTAACTCTAGAAATGCACACAAAAATGTTATAGCAATATTCTTTTTTAAATTTTGAGTTTGAACAAATTTCTTTATTTAAAATAAGTTTTGGAAAACAACCAGTTTGAGTGTTTTGTGAATAAAAGCATTGACAGGATGCAGTTGTTTTATTTAAAGATTTATTTATTTAAAGTTGATAAACTAAAACAATTAGGAGTCAGGTGCCGCATTTTGTTTATTCTGTTTGTTCTGCCCCAGCCTAATGGAAAATGCAATCCAGGTGCGTTGGGGAGATTAAGAGAATACATTTAGATTTGTCGGAATCTCTAATTGCTCGTGTTGTCTTTGTTAGGTTTATTTAACAGTATAACTTTTAACAAACATTTAAACTTTTACTTATTTTACTATCTATCTGTTTAGGACAGATTTTGTCGTGCATAACAAAACATTTTAATATAAAAAGGAGAATCAAATATGAAAAGCAAATCAATTGAAAGCAAATCACAGTTATCAATGTATTAAAATAGACACATTTTACCATAAAAAACTTGCGCATGCAAATTTTTGAATTGCCAAATCGATTCCCATGACAGTGAAAAAGTTATTTGCAAAAGGCTATTGAAGAAAATGAATTGTATTAAACTGTATGTTTAAAAATACTTAAGCAATTTATGCAAACGGATAGTCATGGCAAACGGAAATTAATTTGTATATAAAAGGTGACATCGGCTTTCGAGTAAAAATACGAATTTAAGTGTCTGAAAAATGAATTATTAAGTGGGGAAAACGTATAAAGATGAATGTTCACATGTCAGGTGCTATCTTTAATTCAGCAGAAAGGCAACTGCTTCTGTCAATGCATAATTCACGGTAGAGGAAGCGACAATTCGCTTGCAAATTGTATTGTCATATGCAAACGTACGGACTCAAAGAGTAATATGAAGTGTTACGGTCCCATAATCGTCCTTCTCCACCCTGTTGACAAAGGACTAACCAGCCATAGCAACGAGAAACAGGAGACACTCCGACGAGAGCTAAAATTAAATTTTTATTTCAATCAGCTTATGTTTCGGCTCAAATGGAATCAAACTGTAAGCCAGCATTGAAATTGAACGTGGACCTTTGCAACACTTAAGAACAATGGAAAGGCGTACATTCAAACATAAAGTGAATAAGTGAATGGATACACTCCGGTATATTATCCTAGGACAGTAAAACACATTAAATGAAACTCGTTTGCCTCAAAACGTAAGTTTGTAAAACATTTAAATTGAACTTTAAAATACAAATTCAAGTTTGTTTAAATTTATTTGATAAGGGGTTCCTTTTTCAGTAAAGAAAACGTGTTAAAAAGTCTTCGAATTCAAAATAAATAATATTCAAATATATCCTTAAATTTAAATAAAATTTAGATCAGTACGACAGTTTGATAAAAAGCATTAAAATAGCCCAAAAGTATAAGATACCTAGAGCCTTAAAATTCTAAACCGTATTGTCAAGGTTATGGAGCAGCATGCGATGGGTATTGTCATTCATTTGCAAATTACCTCTTACAAGGCAATTGAAATTAAAAACTTGAGACAGGTGCCAGGAAAATGGAAATGTGATGGTAAAACGATATGTAATGCCATTTGCAGAGCCTAAAGAAAATTCAATTAGAAATCGAAACCAAATGTACAACATAATTGTACAACGCAATTAATGGCAATAGGCAAGACCTCCAAGTTATAACATTCTTTGTTGCCACATTTCTACCGGTACCTGGCAAAATGTAAACTAAAACATTTGCATTTGGATTTCCGGTTAAAAGGCTCACCCAACCGCCTTTTGGCAAGCTAAGTTCGGATTACGTCTAAAATCGCCGCCAAATTTAGCAGTTCGCTGTCCTTGAACTTGAATTTCTGCGACGCAACACGATAAAGGGTGTCCTTCATATTGAAGAAATATATTTCATTTATTTAATGCACGTTAACTGGTTTTTGTTATATATCACAGACAAATTTGTTAAAAAAAACAACGGATAGCGAATTTTATTTCGTTTTTAAGAGTAGCATTTACATCAAGCCACTTTTAAACAAGGACTTCCCCTGAAAACAAACTTAAGCTTCTCGTATAGTAGTGCTCCCACACTATAAGGCAAAGACTTCCCAAAGCCTATTACGCAATTTATCAAATCAAAAACAAAAGACAAAGCCCATAATTGACTGTCAGATTAAATGCATGAGGAAGTATTATTGCCTAGATGGGTATCGGGAACACGGTAAACAATGTGCTCAACAGGAGGGAAGCTAAGCGACGTGACGTGACATGACCGAAACCCGAATTCCGGTGCTCTGGCAAGTCATCATTGGGATCACTCTAAACTTGAAACGAATGATGAATGATTTTTGGCTGACAACAGGAACAAATAAACAAAGTCCTCAGCATCCTGTTCGACTGACCAACGGCAACTGGGCGAAATGCCCGTGCTGACCCAGCCGCCCACTTGTACCGTTTTTGATCCGCAGGCTGTGATGATTTTGTCATTCATAGACCACTTAGATTTGGCGCGTCCTTCCCACGCACTGCTCCTTTACCGAACCGGAACCGAAACGAATCCTGCCGAAGGACACGAAGGCTATAAAAGCAGGAGCCACTGCCAAAACGAATCCAGTCTGCGACAGACTACGGGCGTGTTAAAGTGCCGGATCGGAGTACGGAAAAGCGGAGCAACAAGTTGGAATTCAGACTCTGACATACGCGCACCTGTTGGGATTAAGGCCATGGGGATTGACTAAACAAATGACCATCGTTCGTTGGGGCAGCTGCAACTCACAGGACTTTCAGGATCATGTGAATATCCCTGGCCATTAAGTGCTCCGCAGTCAGTGCTCCGTAGTCGGGTTGTCAAATTGTCAGTGGGCCGTGTCGGTGTCAGTGTCAGTTTCGTGCAAATAAAACTTTATTGCCTTTGAGGATGCCACGCTTTTGCGCCTCCACCGCTGCATTCTCCAGCATCCTTGTCCTTCTCGGCTGCCAGTGGAGCAGTGGCAATCCCTTGGCCTCCATGCGTCGACTGTCGGACACAATAAATATTGGATTCCTGGCTGAATACTCCCAGATGCGGGTGAGCAAACGGGGATCGCGCTTTAAAGTTCCAATAGAATTATCAAACATAATTGTAAACTGCTGTCTTGGATAATTATGCGTGTGCATGCATAAAACATCAACCTGTCACATTTGCAATTCAAATGCCAATCTCTTTGTGGGCCACAAGGCAACGCTTCCTGACCCAAAAATATCCAGAAATTTATGGCTCATCATTATGATTGAGGGACGATTGAGCTGCCACAATCGAACACATCATGTCTCCCCTGAGCCATTTCACCACAATACTCTAACAATGACGGCGGCGTTAAGTAGTTAGAGTTAGGATGTCTCAAGACAAGATATCTCAAATAAAATGTAGTAATTTTTCCGGGAACCGTATTCATTATAAGTGATTGCGGCATTCTTGGAAGAGATTTTTTTGCTAGCTTATTAAGAAAATCAGCCCAAACCAAAAACGCCCATTTAAAACAAAAAGTTTTTAAATATAAAATAATAAAAAAAAATGGTTAATTGAAAATTGGGTTGGGAATGAAGTTCTAATGCCAATGATGTTTCGTTATACCAATCAATTAAATTAAAACAAAGGAAAATGATAAATAAATTGTAACTAAATCGAAGTTCAACAAAATATAATATCAGGGTATTTTCTCATTGGACTCGTTATCTTGTTTTGATTTTCATATGTTTATTAAAGATGATTGACAGCGGTCATCTCGTGTGTGACATGGCAAAAATAATAAAGGAGACACATAAATATTTTTTTTACCCTTGATAGGGCAGTAATCCGTTAAAATCTACTTTACTTTATCTTATTCTGAATTTAATTGGGACCGTGAAAAATAGGATACGACTGGCTTATATTTATTTGACTGACTGCAAAACGATGTAAAAAGCTTAAAAGCAAATCCGTCAAGTGTCCTTCTTCGCATCGTAATATGACCAAAGCCAAACAACTCCCAGTTTTTGTGGCGTTTCTTTTTGGGTTTGCGAGATATACATAAATAAACGTGGATCATCGAAATATATTCAGTTTTTTTTAAGCTGACAAGGGTTTTGATAGCCCCACATTGAAATTATATTAAAAGAGTTATTACATTTATTTTATTGTTCTCTTTTTTACTAGCAACTCGTAACTTTATTGATATTTTGGCAAAGGTACTTAATTAACTTTGTTAATCTGAGAATCAATTTTTTTTGGCATTGCACATTGGCAAAAAGTCAACTTATATCACCAATATTCTCTTTTATTTGCATTTAAAATTTTTGTTTTGTGGAACATTTTGTTTTTTCCATACGGCCGCTTATGCTTGCTTGAATTTCCCTTCAATGTAATATAAACGAAACAGGCAAAACAAAAATATTTATCAGTGAAGATGTCAATACCATTCCTTTTTAATTGCTTTCCGTAAAGGAGGAAAGGGTTGTCTGTTTCTTTTTACAGGTATAAAATGGTTATTTGTAATAAGCAAAAACACTCTAAAACGGGGTTGCTCAAATGGAATAAAAGCAATATAATTACGCAAAGCAAGGAAAACAATTGAAATCAAAAGGTTTATTAATTGTTGTCGTAAAAGAAATTCGTTTTGGCATCATTAAAATAGCTTAAGATGAAGCAACACAATTTCTCTGTCTGCCTTTTAAGCCCTTTAAAATGGTTTGTTATTGGTTAAGGCGTAATACCTTTACAGCACAGGACTTACAAAGAGATTTTTATTTAACTTTCAAATTTAATTACACTATAAAATTTATTTGAAGTCGCCTTATTTTTATTTGATTAATTTTGCAATTTAAGGTTGCAAGGTTCAGTTTCAAAGCCCAGGAACTATAACGACAATTTTTGCTCACGGTTTTTTGGATGGTTGGCGCTTCCCTTCGCCTTAATTAAAACCAGGGTTCTGTTACACAGAAGGGTGTTTTATTATATCAACTTCAAGGAAAAATATTTAAAAATGGTTTAACGTTTACATGTCTACTTTGATTGCAACCATAAGCTTAAACCTCAACTCAACAACTTTTTCCTGTTACTATGACAGCATCACCCTTAATTCGTGTACGACATTTTATTTTTCTTTGCCAAGTAGAATGTAAGAGTAAGCCATCTACTACAAATAATATTCGAAAGGTAATTGCCACATGTAATTAGTTACATTTCGATGATTTTTTTTGATAATTAACAAAAGCTTTACAACGCAGGGTACAGAATTGGTTTTATTGGTTTTCCCATTGCCATTTGCTGCTTTCCGCCCAATGACAACTGTCTAAGTGGATTTTTACCATCAATCCCAAAACATTTAATGTTTTCTCCCAGACATTAAAAAAACATTTAATAATTTTTTTATCACAGATCTGGTCTTTAAAGCCAAATGTTCAATCGAAACACGACTTGAATGAGTGAAGTAAAGTAATTCTAAATTCTGACCCGTATCAAAACCACTTCCATGTGTCTGAATCATTTCCCGCCTACGTTAATTTCGCAGCATGGATTTTAAAACACATCATGGTGCTCAAGCTGAATTAAGTAGGCCTATGACAGATTAATTAAAAAATTCGAAATGAAAAAAGCGATGAATTTAATAACGTTTTAATTCCTTTTTTTAAGGGATAATGGAATCCAGTGTATGCAATTAAGAAGAAAAGAAATCTATAAACACTTTGTACAAGTGCTTTAAATCACGTTTAAATACAGATTTCAATGGTTACTTTCCTGCTTTTCCCGCCACAAAGTGATTTCATTAACTTTTCAGTTGTGTTATTCTTGCGATATTGGTTGCGATTTGTCATAATTTTATGCTTTGCTTATTGGCAAGCGCAGTCAACCATCAAAAAGCATAATTTGATGCTGTTTAAATATTTAAATTTGTTTTCATTGGAAATGTCAGGAGACAACCACAAATTAATAAGCAACTTAATTGATTTTATTACAGTATTTATGTTATTTCCATTTGGTTCACCAACTTTTATTATCAAAACTACCAATACTAATGCTTGATTAAGAAGATTTATTTATTTTTTAATTTTATTTTTTATTTATTGATTTATTTATATATTTTCATGATTGAGTAAAACCATGTCATATGGCACAAAAAGGCTAACCAGAATTTGTATGCCTTATGTAAGTAGAAAAAATATAAACAAATTTAAAATGATTTTCGATTTAATGATTTGAAACCCATCAAGACGAATTCCTCTCCTCTTCACAACATTATTTTTACTTAAATGGATTCTTATAGTTATTGTTTAATCTAGAATGTCAATTTATTCTTGATTTCAAAGAAAGACAATTTTTAGACAATGTTTTTGTAGGTTGTTTTTTTCCCAGTGAACCATGTTTTGCCTATGGCAATTTGATGAACGCAAAACTAGTGCATTATTAAAAATTGTTCCATTATTTGATATATTTTTTCAAGCAACACTTTTGTTTACTGTTTGGCCTAGTTGACTTGAAAAAAATTAATTTAAATAAATTTAAATATAAACTAAAGTTGATCCACAAAATGCGTGATTATATTCCTAAATTTATACGTTCGCATTGCTGTTTCTGGGTATTCACGGTGCTGCAACTGACCTTGATGCTGTCGATGTTGGAGATTAAAATCCAAATTGACCAATCGCCGGAACTTCAGCGACCTCTGACCCGCGTTTACCTGGTGGTCAAGCTGAGTGAGTTGGCCTGCAGTCCACTGCTCTCCGGATTTGCCATGGGTGCCATGCACTACGGGTACGGTCTGATATACCTCCGCACCAAAGGGCCTCTCGGAGGATTCTTCTCCAGACTCGGGATGGCCGGCCTATCCGTTTGGCAGCAGTGCAGTCCCGTGATGCTCCTGCCCTGGTGCATGAATGTGGTCCAGGGACTATGCTCCTTCCCAATGCACCTGTGGAATTGCCTGACCAAGGAACCCTGCCTCGAGGCCGACCACTTTCTGCTGTTCGCCATCTTGGCATTCTTGTTCTGGAACAACCTGCTGATCCTGGCGGTCATTAGCTTCGTTGTGGCAGTGAAACTCAACCTCCGGATGCTGGGTGCCCGGCACATGAGAAGCGCAAATCACGAGCTGCAGGCCTATGCCCAAGCTGTCAACGAACTGCTCGGCTTTGAGATGATAGTGATGCCCGTGTGAGGGCAAATGGATTTAAATGTCAGCCACTTATTGAACGAATTGCACATGTTGTTTAAACTTCTAAATTATTGGGTTTTTTTAAACTATGGTTCTTAGTGAAAGCCTCCGTAAAAGTTTGCTTATTAATGGGGGACAAGAATAGTAATAGATAGACGTTTAAAAAAACATACTTCAAACTAAGTATTCCCCCTACAAAACAAGCAATGTTTAGATGGCGCCATATGTCGAACTGCATAGCCAACACTAAAAGCTAAGTGCGTGCAGCACCCCCACCTCCTGCTAATAGTTCTTTGGTTCAGTCTCTCTACTGCACCGATTACCGGCAGAGCAGCGGGCGAACGGCGGCAGAGGGGCGGCAGACAACTTCATTAAATAATAGCTCGATTTTTAAAATTTGTGTGTTTACCAATAGATATGACCGAAACACACACACAGAGTTCAACACCTACGGTCTATCATGTCTCCGAGTGACAGCACAACTTTCACGATTTGTTTTGAAATAAACTTGCTGAAATCTGCATGCCAAGTCCCAAATCTCTAGCTTTTAAGTTTGGTTTTAACATTTCATTGAATTTCATTGTGAGAATTCCATACTCAGTTCTAGAGTTGTTTATAGCAAGATTCTGAAGCTCTTTTCAAAGTAAATAGTTTTTAGCTATAGCATTTATTAGAGTAAGCATTTGTGAGTCCATATTGTCCTTGCAATTCATCTTCTATTGTATTGTATTTACTACATACTTTTAAACGTATTGTAAAGCCTTTTAAGCAATAAATTCTAGTTGGCTTAATTTCTATCATTAAAAATACATTTCTCATTATTTAATGTATACCACTAAAAGATGTAATTTACCAATTTTAAAGTAAAACCCCTCCAAATGTTAATTTTTGAACTTACTTGGCAGTGTTATTTTTAGTACTGAGTAAATAGAAGCGGAATATATTTTAAGTATATTTCAGTTTATCTCAGCTGCACCTCAATTTATTAGGGGAAATTCTTAATTTATTACCCACCGACAAGAAGGCAGCGAAATGAAAACATTAGTTGCTTTGCCTTGCTTTGTTTTCAGTTCCTTTAGCAATGGCATAACATGCATAAATTAAGTGCCACTATGCCGTGGGGATCTGATTCATGTTTCCTGCGTAATTATCCACTTCTCATCGCTGACTTTACATTGCCTTTCTTGCTTTACACCAGGTGACGCTGGGCGGACTGCCACTTGCCATCGAGGATGTGAACAAAAACCCAAACCTGTTGCCGGGCAAAAAGTTGGCCTTTAAACCTGTTGACATTGGCCACAAAATGAGCGCCTACCGCGTGAAGCCCCTTAGGTAAATCATTCAATTGCCCTAAAAATAAAATTTCTCCTGCATCGCTTTCACTCCGAAATTGACCCGTTCTGGGCGCTCCCGTTTCCAGGGCGATGACACAGATGCGGGAGTCGGGCGTAACCGCATTCATTGGCCCGGATGAGAGTTGCACCACGGAGGCGCTGCTGGCCTCCGCTTGGAACACTCCAATGCTTTCCTTTGTGAGTAAACGTAGACCCATTACACCAAACTGGGTCACCAGTGTGCAATTCAAGAGTCGAACACATTGGCTTTCACTTGTGACAGACCATTTTGTTACAGCTCAAGGAAGTTACTTCTACCGTAGCCCCGTAGGGATTGATCCACAGTTTATTTGCACATTGGCATAAAAAAGTGCAACAAACGCTGGTGACAAAATGTCATTTGCATACCAAATACAGACAAACTAAATTGTTGCGAAAAATAATGGCAAAGATAACGAATTTTATATTTTTCTTTATTTTTTATGACAATTACTTTTGATAATACCAATTAACTTTACTGACAATTCATATCAACATACTTATCTGCTTATCTGCTACTTATCTGTTTGATTTTGCTTTATTTAATTTAGAAATGCTCCGACTCAATTGTCTCGAACAAAAGTACATTTCACACCTTTGCACGAACATTGGCTCCGGCCTCCAAGGTAATTTCTAACAATAAATAACATAATTACAGTTGTTTTGGTAAACACAATTTTAATATCATACTCAAAGGTCTCTAAGAGTGTTATTAGTCTACTGAACGCCTTTCATTGGAATAAATTCTCTATAGTTGTCAGTTCAAAACCCATTTGGGGCTCTGATGTTGCTCGGGCCATTCAGGTAAGTCAGATGCCCTGATCATTGCAACTGATTTGAGAATCTGCCTAACAGGAACTGGCGGAAGCAAGGAACTTTACCATCAGCCATTTTAAATATATCTCTGACTATATACCGACCACCAAAACCCTTTCGCAGATAGATAAAATTATTGCGGAAACATATTCAACAACTCGAAGTAAGAATTGGTCTTGTTTTTATTGTTTTGTATAAACAGTGCGTTAAACAACTAAATTAAATTAAATAGAGTTTAATATAAAACTGTTTCAATAAAAAAAATAAACCTCTTTAACACAACCATTTTATGTAGTCATATGTATTAAATACAAAACAACAATTTATTAAATATTTAAAATTGTGTATGGTATCTGTTTTAAAAAAGAGAAGTAGCGTTAAACCATAAATTATACTCCCCCTTTAATACTCCCCCTTCAAGATTTTTGTCTAAATCCATCTTAAAGAAAAAAATATTTAACGAAACATTTTAAAATATTTTCTGTTATTAAATAAATAAATAAATATAATAAATAAAAAATAAATATGTAGGTATCTACTTCCTGTAGATGAAATAAACTGTTCAAACACGAACTGTAAAGTGCTCTGAACAATACTGTATTCCCTATTTTAATCGAATTTTCAAAACAGTCTATGTGTTCATTGGGGAGCACATAGCCATGGTGGACTTTGTGCGAGGCCTCCAAAATCGGCGGCTCCTGGAAAGCGGGGACTACATTGTGGTTTCCGTGGACGACGAGATCTACGACTCGAATCGGAGGGTTAACATTATGGAACGTAGTAAGTGCATTGTGCGGATCGGCGGTTCGGGATAGAGTTCTAATGCATGCACCATCTATTCCAGATTATTTAGACCCTTATATTAGAAAAGAAAAGAGCAAATCACTGGACAAAATCTCATTTCGTTCAGTTGTAAAAATAAGCATGACATATCCACAAAACCCCCATATTCGGTAATTTATCTGACTCTAAGTTATCTAACTGTGCGTATTTTTGTTGCGTCTTTTTAACAATTGTTACTCGATCTTTAGGAGTATGATTTTCCAAGATCACTTAGATTTTTTTCTTTTGGTCAAAGTAGTGATCACACTCATAAAAAAACGTTGATTTTCGCCTTAGATAATAGGGAAATTACCTTTTCGCTTTCAACAGAAACTTATCACCTTCGTTTTAATACTTTTTCATAATTTTATCTTTCTTGAAATTAAATTATCACCTAATAACGAAAACAAAATTAAATCATTGATTAAAAAAAGTTTTTGTTCCTGGTATTCAATTTTATTTCTCGAAGGGATTTTTTGATTTTCTTAACTATTTGTTTATCTATTTAACATGTTAGTCACTTAAAAAAAATGTTAATAATTCATATACATTCATGTATATTGTACACTTCTCTTGAAACAAGACATAATTCTAGACATTAGAAATTTATTTTTATGAGTGTGAAATTGGACATGTTTTAAAAGTATTTTCGCAACTATAATTATTTTATAAATATAAGGAACACGCGAATAATTTAAAACCTTGATATTGTTTATGCTGATTTCCCCTTAGAAACATTAAATTATTTCACGTTAATTATTTGCATGACAAATATATATTAAAAATTGTGTTTTGTAAATCAGTTCATCTATTTGTATATATTTATGTTTGCAGCGACATTTGTTCGAAAATAAAAGATTATGCCCGAAAGACTCCGTTTCTGGTGCCATATCATCAACGCGTCTTCGACAACATATCGGTATGAAAATCTGAGATTATTAAGAGCGCTCGTTTGTCTTAAATTAATTACATTCCTAATTATCTCGGTGTTTTTTTTTTTTTTGTATAGGTGCCCATATATGGTCTACATCTTTACGATAGTGTAATGATCTATGTGCGAGCCATTACAGAAGTTTTAAAACTTGGCGGTGATATTTACGATGGCAATTTGGTAATGAGTCACATTTTCAATAGGTCCTATCATTCAATACAGGGATTTGATGTGAGTACATACTTAGAGGCTTTTTACTGTGTATGAAAATCCATTTAAATATGTAAGCAGAAACACATATGAAACTCGAACATATTTATATGCTTACAAAGGTCTACATTGATGCTAATGGCGATGCTGAGGGGAATTATACAGTCATAACTCTGCAGAACGATGTGGGCAGTGGAACCTCGGGCGGATCTCTGGCCAAGATGTCCATGCAGCCAGTTGGGTTCTTTGCGTACGATAAGAACTCCCTTATACCGGTCGGTTTACTATAAGCACTTTAAATAACAATACTGAACGTTATTTATTTGAATTAACCCACAGGAGTTCCGCTACATAAAGAGTGATAGACCTATCCAGTGGCTAAATGGACGTCCTCCGCTTGCCGAACCTCTCTGTGGTTTTCATGGCGAACTGTGTCCTCGAAAGAAACTCGACTGGCGATATCTGTTAACTGGGCCATTGTGTGCCCTCGTCGTCGTGGTGGCCATGGCTCTGCTAATCAAGTATGATGAATTCTTTTTAGGCTGAGAGGGTTATATGGGTTTCAAAGGCCGACATCAAACACTTTGTTGAATTGCATTGAGTCAAGCCTTTTTTGAGTTAGTTTCTACACTTTAAAAATCAAATTTAAGAAAATTGCAAATTGACTAAGCAAGTTAATTTAAAAAAAATGTTTTTTTTTTAATAGCAAAGAAGGGTCCTGTTATCTTTAATTCTTTATAATAATTTTTTTGTTTTTTTGAGGCATTACCGCTATGAACAGACACTGGCAGGACTTTTGTGGAAGGTGGACATGAAGGAAGTTACTGTCATTAATCTCGGCGAGTATAACAACCCCAGTAATAAGAACATTGTAGGTATCGCTTTATAAAAAGCCAATAAAATAACACTAAGAAAAATAACTTAACTCAACTTATTTCTAACTTAATATGTTAGTTTCAAATCTGCCGACAAAGTATTTTAGTGGTTGGTGAACCAAACAAGAGGTCCTTCACAAACATAGGTAAGTGGCAATAGATTCGTATATACTATATAATTAATGTGTATTACCCAATGGGCAGCTCTTTTTCGGGGCAATATTGTGGCCATGAAAAAGATTCACAAAAAGAGCGTGGACATTACCCGTTCCATCCGCAAAGAATTGAAACTAATGCGAGAGGTAAGGATTGCACATTTAAGTTATACAATTAAACCAAATGTTTTTATAAAAGGTGCGGCATGAGAACATTATAAACTTTATTGGGGCCTCCACCGATCACGGATCGGTGGTCATCTTCACCACGTACTGTGCACGAGGCAGTCTGGAGGATGTTCTGGCCAACGAAGACTTGCACCTGGACCACATATTCATCTCCTCCCTGGTCTCCGACATCCTGAAGGGCATGATATACCTGCACGACTCCGAGATAATATCCCATGGCCAACTGCGATCCAGCAACTGCCTCATCGACTCCCGCTGGGTTTGCCAAATCTCCGACTTTGGACTCCACGAACTAAAAGCGGGTCAAGAAGAGCCCAACAAGTATAGCAATTTTTCCATATTTGTTGACCATATAATTTTTGTTGCTTATTGATTTTAGTGTACAATAATTTCCAGTTTATATATATTTTGATAACAACCTAGTCTATTTACAGGAGTGAATTGGAACTAAAACGTGCCCTATGCATGGCGCCAGAGCTTTTGAGGGATGTCTACCGACCTGCACGCGGCTCCCAGAAGGGAGATGTCTATTCCTTCGGGATTCTCCTCTACGAGACGATTGGCCGCAAAGGTCCTTGGGGAGACACGACCTACTCAAAAGAGGGTGAGTTAAAACAAAATTTCCTACTTAACATAAATATAGAATGCTTTTTTTTGTTTTTATTTTATACTCAAAGAAGTATTATGAAATTGTGATTTATGATTTATGATTGCGATATTTTTTGACTCACAATATTTCGCATAAACACGAATAACTTTTTTGTGCAGTTTATTAAGCTATATTTATTAAAAATATTAAAACATATTGTTTTTTAAATTTTAAAGTTAATTAAAACCTTCGTTAAAGATTTTTTATTTAAATACAAAGGTAAGCAATTTTGTAGAGGAAATGTGCTGATGGAGTTTGCAACTATCAATAAGTATAGTTAATCGTATTTAACTTTGGAGTATGTCTTAAACATTTAACTAGTTTTTTTTAAAATCTTTAATAAATATATTTGTTTGCAGAAATTATTGAGTTTGTCAAGTGTCCGGAACTGCTGCAGCACGGCGTATTTCGTCCGGCTCTTACGCACACCCACCTGGATATACCGGACTACATACGTAAGTGTTTGTGTCAGTGCTGGGACGAAGATCCGGAAGTCAGGCCCGACATCAGACTGGTGCGTATGCATCTGAAGGAACTCCAGGCTGGCTTGTACGTTCCAAAATTTATATATATATAATTATTTTAATTTAACTTTCCTAAAACCCCATCCAGAAAGCCCAATATATTTGACAATATGCTATCGATAATGGAAAAATATGCCTATAATCTTGAGGGTTTAGTTCAGGAACGAACTAATTTACTGTATGAAGAGAAAAAGAAAACAGACATGCTTCTCTATCAGATGTTGCCCAGGTAAATGAGTATAGTTAAAAACATTAAACAAATAAATACACATTTGAAAATCAATCTTCTAAAGACCTGTAGCTGAGCTCTTAAAGCGAGGGGATCCTGTAGAGGCAGAGTGCTTCGACTGTGTCACAATATTATTCAGCGACATTGTGGGTTTCACTGAACTCTGCACCACAAGCACACCATTTGAGGTGGTGGAGATGCTGAACGACTGGTACACCTGCTGCGATTCGATCATATCCAATTACGATGTCTACAAGGTTAATTACGATCCTAACAGGAAATTACGAGTGATTTAAGGGACAATCTTATTTTTAGGTTGAGACAATTGGAGATGCTTATATGGTTGTATCCGGACTGCCGCTGCAGAACGGAAATCGACATGCAGGCGAAATTGCCTCTTTGGCTCTTCATCTCTTGGAGACCGTGGGAAACCTCAAAATCAGGCACAAGCCCACCGAAACTGTCCAGCTTCGAATTGGAGTCCACTCGGGTCCTTGTGCAGCAGGAGTTGTGGGTCAGAAGGTACAGTGATGTTTATTTATCTGTATGCATAATGGTTTATTTTAAAGCTCAATATTGTTTGTTTTTATAATCTTGTATCCAATGAGTTCTATATAAAAGCTAAAAGGTATTTGAAAACCTTTTCCAAAGAAATTTTCATATTAAAGCTACAAACAAAAGTTTATGTTAAAATTCAAGGGTTTCTAAAAAAAAATGTAATTTAATTTAATTTAATCATTTTTCTTTAAAAATGATAACAGCTTATCTCCCTCGTTTTATAAAATTTTAAAATTAAATATGGTTATATACTTCAAAGAAAATTAAATATAATGTACTTAAAGTCAAATAAGTCAGGCTTATGTCCATAAATAATTCTCAGATGCCCAGATATTGTCTGTTCGGAGACACTGTGAACACAGCATCCAGAATGGAGAGCACCGGCGAATCGATGAAGATCCACATATCCGAGGCCACCTACCAACTTTTGCAGTTAATTGGTAGCTATGTCTGCATCGAAAGAGGTCTGACCAACATCAAGGTAAGTTTAATTGTCCAAATATTTTAGCAGATCATAAAATGCATATTTAACTTAAGGGCAAAGGCGACATGCGAACCTATTGGCTAACAAATCGTCATCAATCCGAGCTAACACCGGATCTCATCAGTACCATGGACACTCTGGATACTGGCTACTGTTCCGGCGGAAGGGAAAATATGGAGCACTCGCAATACACACAATATTGCAATCCAGCTCAGAATAACTACCGATTGGGATCCTGCAAGTGTGATACCAAGTGTTTATATAGCCGTCGATCGGACGACAATGTGACCAATTCTAATGGCGCTTCAGAGTTTCCGAAGATCAGTGAGCCGACGCAGGTCAACTGCAATCAATTATGTATTTGTCGATTAAACAGCAGCCAAGTGTTCAGTAATCGAATTCCTCGATCTGCTCCAAGCATCACATTTAGACTGTAAGGGTTTTGTTTAAGATATTTGAAATGTTGTGAACATCAAGCTAGAAATATGTACTGGCGTCCATTAATGTTTGTGTATTGTACAGTGCAACAACCACTTAAATTCTAATGGCTGACTGAATTTCTATTTAGGAATATAATTGCTAATAATCTGCTTTAATTTTGATTGTTCAATACAACAATACATTCCCAAAGATTTCCATTAACTTGTAATATTAAAAGCAGGCCAAAGTCCAGTTTGTCCGTCCAGTTATTAAACTATCTTCACAATTAATCAAACATAGAAATTCAGTTCGCCAAGAGAGTTTAAAGAATGTGTTCAAGGTAAATAATACTTCAAATAAAAACGTTTAATTATGAACTTAAATGTTCCTTTAATATGGCTGTAAATATTTTAATTTTTAATTTTCAGTATTTTCGAAATTATTTCTTAGGGCCTGCCAGCATTCATAGTATGCAGCATCCAGTTTTTGACAAGTTTCCTCGCCCCATTTGGTCACAGCCAAACTCAGAGAGGATTCGAACATGAAGGCCTTTAAATTTGAATTAAGATGTAGGTTTTGCAAGACATATTTGAGATTTGAGATTGCCCAAACTTACCTGTGTTCCCTCGGCCACGCGTTCGGGCACCAACTTTGCCTTTGAGGCGCCATCAAAGCACTTGACATCCGGACCATGCGGCGTCATAATCGAATGGAGAGTCGCTCCTCCAGCAGCGAAGCCATCCTCCTTGGCCTCGTACTTGCCCAATATCAGGCCCATGAACTCGCTCATGCAGTTTCCTAAAAAATACATACACATTCAATTGAAATAGTACTTAAGTCTATTACGAATCTTACTGTGATAATAGGGCGGACGGAAGGTGTGCTCCTGTACGGACCAGCGCGGTGGAAAGATCACAAAGTCGGCTATGGCAGTTCCAGCTCTCAAGCTGGGACAAGTCAGCACGGTAAAAATGCTGGGGTCACAGTGGTCGAAGCTCACTGAGTTGATCACCATAAACTTGGACAGATCGTATTTGAAGGGCACATAGTTGCCATGCCAGGCCACCACATCGAAGACGGTGTGGTTTTGCTGGGCCACAAAGAGGCTACCCTGGAATTTCGATATCACCTGGAAGTCTTTGCAAAATATATAAATATGTTTTTTTAAATAAGTTCTGGATTTAAGGTGTTCTATAATATCTACCTTTTCCATTTTGATCGTCAAACCAGGCCACAGGTGTCTCAAAGTCCCTGGGATTAGCCAAGCCATTGGCACCGATGGGACCCAGATCTGGTAAGACAAAGTGACCATCATAGACCTCCAGGATATAGCCTCTGAATGGAGAAGAACCAAATTCATACAGAAATAAATTTCGGGGCTCTAAAATTATACCTAAAATTATACCCACCTGGAAGGGGAGTCCACATTAATAGCAAAACGTATACCCTGAGGTATAACGCAGATTTCATTGGGAGCCACAGTCATCCTTCCGAGCTCAGTGGTTATGTCCAATACTCCTTGCTGTGGAACTAAATAAATATGTGATAACACTTGGTTCAACATATAAAGATTATATTTATACCAATTAGGAAATCCCCATCGCTGTTGTAGAAAGCAGAGCTATCCATTGAGGCATTGCAGGAGTAGATGTGAATGGCAAGACCATGTCGAGATCTGGGATCGCCAGCACCACAAACCGTATGCAAACCTTCCACAAAATCTATCCTCTTTCCCTGCTCTGCTGGCAAATCAAAGGGTTTCCAACGGAGCTAAGCAAAGAATTAAGCCATAAACTTTTGTAAAACAATTTATTTTAATGATTATTTTAATGATTATATCCACCTGATTGGGATTTGGTGGCTGCTCATCCCAGTTCTGTCTGAAGTACTTGGCTCCTTCGAAGGGTTTGAATGGCAGGTGCACGGCTGAGGGCAACTTCCTGTACAGCCAGGTGCGCACATTCTCGGTTCTGGGAGCCGTGAAGGCACTTCCCGAGAGCTGCTCAGCGTAGAGCTTGTAGGGGCACACCTGAGGTGAGTTCTGGCCAACCGGCAAGGAGTTGGGATACCGCTCGTCCTCCGAGGAGAAGTGAGATCCGAAGCCCGAGAGGTACTAAAATGTTAAAGTATTTTTATACTTGTTATGTTAAAACATCAAAGTTATAGACTTTTTATTTCACTTATTTTTGCCAACTGATAAGACTGATTGTTATAAAAGCAAAACACAAGATAAAAACTTCTTATAAAATGCTAAAACCAAGAGAAGAAAGCATATTTGCATACCCAAGAATAAAAATAGAAATCTTCGTTATCTAAATAACAACAAACAGTGCACTAAATAATCAGGCATAAAATTATTCAAGTCGTTAACTTGTTTTGTATATATGTATATATATATATATATATATATATATATCCACCAGAAGGCACGCGCTAAAACAACCCGATTAACCTGAATCGGAAAAAATATTGATTCAAGCTAAAATTGCCAACTCAGTGTTATAACTTTGTGTGACAGTTAACTTTTCTTATTAATTAATATTGACAAAATTCTTTAAATTCACTTAGCATTCGAACACTGAACAATTTGATATATTTTTAATTTTACCAGGCAAGTTCAATAATTAGCTTTTCTTAATAACATTCATAATTTCTTTTCATTCACTTAGCATTTGAACACTGATCACTCTTACAATTTGATATATTTTTAATTTCATTTATATCTTTAGGCAAGTTCACGATTACCTTATATTGCGACATGTCTGATCCTCCGGCGTTTAAAACGATCACTGAAGTTCGAGAATCATGGGCGACCCGTATTTATATATGCTCGATCTAGTCAGTCCACTTGTGCTCCAATGCTAGATAGCGAGTGTTTTGAATACTGGCCGGAGAAACTAGTCTCCGATAAAAAGGCCGGACCCCTAAAATGTGCCGAATGATACGAGAGTTGACGAGACGAGAGGTAAACACCTGCCCTCCAGTTGTTTATGCGTGTGGATTGTTTTGATTTTGTTACCAACTAAATCGTACCACTAAAACAACTGGAAAGCATACGTGATTTACTTAGCATAGCGGTTTTACTGGTTTACAAAAGGGGTAAACCTATTTAAATATTACTTTTCTACTTTATTTAACAGGTGTAGAAAAGTACTCAGTAATTAAGAAAAAAAAAATAAAGATATTCCACAATAAAGTATATCATAAAAATTAAGAAATTTCGGTAGGATACCATTTTGATTCGCTTAAGTTAGTTTAAGCTTTGTATCTTTTAGCTCCAACTGCAACAAATCTAAAAGAAACTCCGATTTCGTAAACTAAGTAACTAGTCGTTTAATTTATTGCGGCAAAGATTCAAAGTTATAGTTAATGCGGTAGGCAATACAATACAATACAATACAGTTGATGTGTTGTGCGCTGTCTGTATATTAAAATACTTAAAGTACTTTTATGCGGTAATTAAACCTAAATTAGTACGAAGTACATTAAATTAAACGTTTAAGGACATACAGCGCTTCAAAGGTGAGTAAAAGCGGAGATTCACTCGTAGGACTGAGAAAATCATTGTGGATCGAAATGATTGTGTTTCGATTGAGATATGCACGGCATATCTGCACTGAAGAACATATTTTAAAATATAGGTATTCAAAAAATAAATGATTGTAAATTCATTATTCTGATCAATGAACTTTACACTAGCTTAAATAAGTAAAAGGGAAGAAATAAAATAAAACGTTTGTCCAGAGAGATACTGATTGGGCGATTAAAATGACGGACACTGGTATGTTAATTGGATGCTATGCGGCATTAAGTAATGGGAATATATACTGTTTTGGGGAAATACTGCGACTGCGATTGCGACTGCGATTGCGGATGCGATTGTGATTGCTCTGGCAAGGATTCCATTCCATTTGGGCTACTCTAGTCGTGCGACAGGTTGAGGATGTCATCGCCCATGCTGTTCTTGGGCATCTTGGCCGGCGGCGGTGCAGCCAGATCCGCCACCGAGGCGAACTCCATGCGCTTCTTGGGCACTCCGCCGCTGCCGAGTAGTGCTCCGGGCGGGGCCAGCTCTCCGTAGAGGCGGCTCAAGTCCGGCGACGGACGTCGATGTGACGAACTGCTGCTGCCGTCGGAGGGCGCCGGCGACGGTGTGTTCGACGGTACGCTCGAGATGGCCAGGTCCACGGCACTAAAGTTATACTTGCCGGCGGAATTGGAGTTGCTGCTTCCCCCACCGCCACCGGCGCCTCCTCCTCCTCCGCTGTTGGCCGACTTAGTGGGCGTCAGCCGCTCCAAAGCTGGCGAGGCCGATGACTCCCGGGTGCGCGCCGATGAAGGCGTCGTGGACTTGGGTGGCTTCATCATCATGGCCGACAGCGATTCCTGCTGTATCTTGAACAGGGCCGATGGAGTCATGAACATGTTGTTGGCCGCCAGTGTGGTTTTCGACAGTGGATCGGGTATGCCGTACTTGCCATGCTGCTGCTGAAAGAAGGCAGCATAGTCCTGCATCTTTTCCTGCGCCAGTGCGTTATAGTAGGCGGCTTGATTGGACAGGGAAGAGGGTGAGGACATGCCGGAAACGCCAGCATTGCCCGAGGAGTTTCCCGACTTCATGGCACTTGCCGAGGATCCAGCCCCCACTACTGCGCCCGAGGGCGTGGCAAACAGGGCGTCCAAATCAGCCGCAGCTTTGTTTTGACGATACAAAAGAGCCTTGATCTCCGAATCCTGTTTCTCGAGCTGCAGCAGCTGATTCAGCATATCGCTCTGTATGTCCTTCTGCTTTTGTTTTGATCCACCTCCACCACCACCACCAGCACCACCGCCGCCGGCCACACCCACTCCCGAGGAGAGAAGAGCGGAGAGTTCGTTGTGAGCACCGGCCATGTGCTTGTTGGAGCTCATTGCCGCTGCGAACTGGTTGTTGGGATCAAACAACTTGGTGTAGGTCTGCAGCAGGGCCGTGTAGTCCGCCTGCGCAGCCGCCTGCTGCTGCTGTTGTTGTTGCTGCTGCTGTTGTTGCTGATGTTGCTGCTGCAGCTGTTGCTGCTGCTGCTTCTTGGATGAACTGCTGTTGGAACTGCCGCTGGACGAAGTCTGCTGTGGCGGAGGAATCGAGGCGGCGGCCACCGCTGCCATTTGCTGCTGGAGGAAAGCGTTCAGGTCGTTGCTCTGCTTGCTTTGCTGCATGTAGGAGTCATAGCCGAGCAGCTTCGATGCCTGGATCAGGTTGTTGTAATCGGCACTGAGCGCCGCCGCCGCTGCTGCGGCATTCGAACTTTTCGATGACTTGCCGGATGAAGAGTTCGAGGGTTGACCTCCGGTCAAAGCATTGGCAGCGGGCACTCCCAATCCCGCACCAGTCAGATAGCTGTAGTCGGATCCAAAGCCCAGGGTGCCCAGTGTGGTGGCTCCCAGGGCTTCTGCTTGCTGCAGGAGCAGGGCAGCATACTCTGGCGAACGGATGAGCTCGCTCATCTTGAGCGGATCATTTTTCAGTTCGTCCAGCTCCTTCATCAGCTTCGTTTTATACGAATTGGAGGTGGAACTGGAGTTGGAGGAGGAAGAAGAGGACGACGACTTCGATGATCGCTCCGATTTCGATTTGCTGCTGCCGTGGGCATTGCTATTGCCACTTCCTCCCATTCCCACTCCCACTCCCGTGGGCAGCGGCATATTGAAGCTGTTCGAGTAGGCAGCCACGGCGGCTGCGACATTGGGATCACTTAGACCGGAGGAAGCGGTGGCATTGCTCTGTTTGGAGCCACCCACCTTGGCAGCAGCCGCAGCCAGCTGATTGAGCGACGAGCTGCCGTAATCCTTGCGCTGCTGCTGGAAGAGAGCGGCCAGATCGCCTTGCAGGAAGTTCGGCGGAAGTTGTCCCGCCAGCTGAGCCAAGCTGGCGGCCATCAGATCGTTGGCCGTGGGCAGGCAAGCGGCCGCAGGCGGCACCAAAGCACCGGCAGCCGCCTCATACTTGTTGGGCGTGATGCTCGGACTGTTGCGAGCAATGTCGCTGACGCTGAACTTGCCCGGACTGGGCGCCGGAGAGTTACGGGTGCGGGAGGTGGAGGCATGCGACGAGGCGTCCGACTTGGCGGGCGACGGCGACGCCCTTACCGGCACCTCAAACTTGGCCGGACTGGCGGAGTTCGATTGGATGGTGATGGGACTGTCCCTGGGCGAGGCACTCAGAGCGGTGGTCAGGGCCGAAGTCGTTGCAATTGGTGGGATCACTGGTGGCACGGTAGCTGCGGGCATTTGCGGTGGTAACAGCTGACTGGTGGCTGCCGCCGGCAATGTTGGGGCCACCAAACTGGGCAGCACTGCGGCATGACTCGTGGGATTTGGAGTGGCCAGCGGCGAGAGCATTCGCACCGGGTTCATGTTTAGGCCGGAGGGCATGCAAAGCTGCTCCTGGAGCGACATCACCTTCAGCTCGCTGGCCTTCTGCTCCGCCTGTGCATTGGACTCCTCCTCCACCTTGCGCGCATTCTCCTCCAAGGCGCCCATCGTCTCACTGAACAGCTCCTCCTTGGGTGGCGGCGGTATCTTTACATCGCTGCTTAGATCCATCAGGACAACAGGCTTGTCTTCCTCCTTCACTTCCAGCTCCTCGTTGTCGATGATTTTGATGGTCTTGGGTGGAATGAAGTCGTCTTCCTGCTCGCAGTCAAGCACCGCGCAGATCCAGTTCCACAGCGCTTTGTCGCTCTGCTTGGAGGGAAACTTCGGGTAGAGCGTGTTCTTCAGCTTCTCATTGTAGGTCACGTCGTTGTTGTAGATGTTCCGGAACTTGACCACCTCGCTGCGGTACTGCGAGTAGTAGTCCACGCACAGCTGGATCTCGGAGCGCACCTCCTCGGGTATCTCCTTATCCGGCAGCACCGAGTATTGCATCAGCATGGGCCTGCCGTACTCCATGGACTGCCTGTTCTCATTCGGCGGCACGATCCAAATGCATTTGACCACCGACTCCAGCGTGGGATTCTCATCATAGTAAGGGGCTGCAAAGATAAATCATTTTCGAGATACAACATTTAATAAGAATATCGTACAAAATCGTATACAAATTCTATGGCATCAAAATAAAATCGTGCTTACATAAAAACTTCAACCTTTAATACAAAAAAGCTAAGTAATTACGAAATTGGAATTGGCCTTATTAAATTGCAATTTAAAATAATAAACAAATAATAATATAATTTTGAGAAAAAGTGACGAAAATGAAATCTTGCTGAATAATAATTTGAAGAACTATCTGAATATATAAAAAAAACTTTTTCTATTCCATTAAGTATAAAAGAAAAGAAAATCTGTAAACTGATAGAAAAATAGTAAGGAAATCTTTATCATAATATAAGATATAATTCTATATAGATATTTTGTACGATACTTTAATATAAAAATAATTAATATAGTTGTCATAATCGATCGACAAATTATATATACACCACAATTAAAATGTAATTACATCGACTTGACGAAGTCAGCTTTCATTCTTTTTTTTTAAATTTGTTATTTTTAAATTGGGATTTCTGTAAGTCATTAGATTTTACTTACATATGATCAGGGAAACACAGGGCGTATAGGTGAGATCGCTGGCACCGCGCATTCGAATCTGGTAGTCCAACTGCGAGTCGCAATCCCGCAGAGTGGGTTCCGCTTGGAACCGGGGATGCGAGTGATACCAGCCGACCAACAGCAGTTGATCCTGGATCATCATCTTCTGTATGTCCCGCTCCACTTCCCCGGCTCGCTGTCGATCGAAGCGCGTGCTGCGGCAAGGATATGTCTTTGTGATGGACAGAGCTGAAATGGGCAGACATGTAGAAAATGCATATGCAGAGGGAATCGCAAGCCGAGCCGGACTCACTGTGTGTGTTCATGTCCCAAGTGCCGCCCAGATAGCCGCACACCTCGCGCACCGTCAGATGGCAGTGAAAGTCCGCCAGCAGAAGGGCAGAGGAGTTGACTGTGATGAGGAATGGCTGCAGTTTGCCCACCGAAGTAAATGGCACCGATTCGATAAGCATGTTGGCATCACTGTGGGTGAAAAGTAATGTATTAGGAAACAAGTCTTATTAATTTTCGAAAAAAAATATGGCTTTACTTCAGATTTGAAAATATTAAATAAGCTTATATATTCAGATTTGAAGTCTAATTAAGACATTTCTACATTTAACTTACTGAATAAATAAAGATTGTTAATCAAAAACACAAATTTCGTTGTAACCGAATTCTTGAAGTTACAGTTTTGTATCTGAGCTTAATATGTAAAGAAATTACTTCAACTATAATTGCGTTTAAACTGATTGAAATCTTGTATATTGATTGATTGACAAGTCTGGTGCCTTTTCTTCTATTTCTATTTTCAAAAACAACCCTCCCTTAAAATCGTGTTGCACTTGGATTACTCACTGAACTACATTGCGATTCGATACGGTGTTGTGGGCGAAAACAGTTCGCTTGACGACAATCTCCGGGGAGTCAGACTTTCGTTCGGCATCTGCGGAAACGATGGAACGGATTAGCACGGATTTCCAGGGAAAGAGCCGGTGACATTTACGTACCTAAGTCGCAGTCATCCAGAGGCGTCTCCTTCTGCAAGGCGCATTTGCGCAGATACGTGTTCTTGTAGGAGTCCAGCTTCTTGCCCTTGTACTTTACCGAGGCCCAGCCACAGCCGCTCTTTTTCTCCGGATTGATGATCCGCTTGCAATGCATGGCCCAGGCGCTGGGCGTGAGGAATATGGTTTCAGTCTCATGCGATTTGATCTTGCCGTCGGCCAGCAGATCTCCGACGAACTTCTGGCCCAGATATTCAATAGTCATAAGCCCCAGGCCCGGCTGCAGGACATTGGCGGCCATCAGGGTTTGCAGGGTGACGGTGCGCCCGGTGCCGTTGAAGCCCTCGTAGTTCTCCTTGGCCTGCAGTGGAGTTATGGTTTAATCTTGTTTTAAGAAAGTAATTCACTTGTTGTTTCTGGGCCTGCTCACCTCTTCGTCGTTGTCCTCGTCAACAGCATCGCTGTCCACATCCTTGTCGCACAAATTATCGTCCAGCAGAGCTCCAGGTTGGGCTTCGTCCAACGGCGGTGGTCCGGAATCCGGAGTGGCGTCCACAGTTTCCGTCACCGAAAGTCCACGCTCCCCCTCGCCCCTCTCCAAATCACAATCGTTTGTTATTAGCGGCGGCGGCGGCTGCAGCACCTCACCCTCCCCCTCCCCTTCCTCGACACCATCGCCATCGCAGTCGCCCTCGCCGTCGGAGCTGCTCACCACCTGGTTCTCGCCCGCCTCGTCCACACCATGTTCCACACCGTTCTCCATGCGTGCTCGTCGCGAATTTTGTTCAATTCTATGGATTTCTTACTTTTAATATACTTAAGTTTTGCGACAAAAAAAAAACTGATAGATGCAGTAAGGTCGCAGGTTTTTCTACTTAAAATACCAAATCAATTCGCAAAGGTGGCCGCATTTGGTCGGCATTTTAAAACCGCCAACAACTGGTCACTCTGCCTTGGCAATGACGATGCTGCCTGAGGGGGCAAATCAAATTATCGATGTATCGATTAATTTTAAAATAATTATTTTACCATCTTTAGCCGCATTTGTGCAAAAAGGCGCGAATTAGATTTGTTTGTGAAATTATTCTGAGATCCTTGCATGCGTAGACGCAATGGCACTTTGGGTGGATAAATACCGTCCGCGGGAACTGTCCAAGCTGGATTTCCACAAGGTAAATGATGGCAGGGGCCTTAGGCATCCATAAACACTTGCTCACTCAATTTCAGCACCTTGCATTGCAAATACGGTTTTAATGAAATATTTTGCGTTTTTCTCAAACAGGAGCAGGCGGAGAATCTGCGTAACCTGTGCAAGCAGAGCGATTTTCCGCATCTTATGTTTTACGGACCCTCGGGTGCCGGAAAGAAGACCCGCATCATGTGCCTGCTGCGCGAGATGTACGGAGCCGGCGTGGAGCGCCTAAGGAGCGAGACCATGACGTTCACGACGCCCTCCAATCGCAAGATCGAGGTGATGACGGTCAGCAGCAACTACCACCTCGAGGTGAATCCCTCCGATGCCGGCATGTACGACCGGACCGTGGTGATCGATTTGATCAAGCAGGTGGCCCAGACGCACCAAATAGAGATCAGCGGCCAGCGGGAATTCAAGGTGATCGTCATTTCCGAGGGCGATGAGCTCACCAAGGATGCCCAGCACGCCCTGCGCCGCACCATGGAGAAGTATGTGGCCACGTGCCGGATCATCATCTCGGTGAACTCGACGTCCCGCATCATTCCGGCCATTCGCTCACGTTGCCTGGGCATCCGGGTGGCCGCACCCAATGAAACGGAGATAGTGTCCATCCTGCAGAGCACCTGCAAGCGGGAAGGTCTCACACTGCCCGTGGAGCTGGCCAAGCGGGTAGTGGACAAGTCGGAGCGTAATCTCAGACGTGCTCTGCTGATGCTGGAGGCCGCCAAGGTGGCCAAGGCGCCATTCACCGCCAACCAGGAGATTCCCGACCTCGACTGGCAGGTGTTCCTGCGCGAAACAGCCGCCCAGATCATCAGCGAACAAACGCCCGGCAAGCTGGAGAAGGTCCGGGAACGGCTGTACGAGCTGCTAACCCAGGGCGTACCGCCCAATCTCATATTCCGCGGCCTGGTCGAGCAGCTGGTGAACAACTGTGATATGTCCATCAAGGCGAAGACCCTCGAGTTCGCCACCGAGTATGAACACCGGATGCAGAGTGGTGCCAAGCACATCTTCCACCTGGAAGCGTTCGTCGCTCAGTTCATGAACATCTACAAAAAATTCCTTTCTGAGCTGGTCATGACGGATGATTTTTAACCAACTTCATATTTACGCACACTCTTAGCTTTTAATTCAAGAAACTTATAAATATAAACCGAATAAAACGAATAAAACAATCTAATGGAGTAGTTGCTGCTGTCGTTCCTCTCGATTCTGCAGGATGGCCATACTGATCTTGTCCTCGGTGGTGCGCTTTATGGTCTCAATGTACCTGTTGACCTCCTCCTCCAGTTTAACATGTGCCTGAAATGGCAATTAAGTCGGTATTAAGCAAAAGTTTACCCGTTTATGTATACTTTTGATCCAAAATTAGATTCTTACCATTTCATATTCAATATCCTCCTTGCCATTAATCTTCAGGGCGTACAGCAGCAGGTCGATTGTGTTGATGGGAAAGCAAAGCTGGGGATTTGTTACATTGACCGAGTGCTTGAAATCAAAGTACTCGCTGCCTGCTCCCAGCATGCCGGCAATCATTTCACAGCCAAGATCAGCGGCTTCCAGCAGGCGGTTATGCTTGACGAACAACTGGAGAAGTTCCCGGGAATGGGATAACTTATAGGAGTTTATCAGCCACTGCGGCACGAAGGCATTCAATACGAGCAGCCTTTGAACAACGCTCTTTCGTATCAAAGTGGAGTCCTTTGCCTCGTTGTCCTCCACCAGTTTTTGGAGCAAAGTCCAGGCCATGTCAGCGGCATTACTACGATGCGGGAGGTCTAAGATAAAAAGTAAAGTTAGGAATTTCACTTTTTTTTACTTAGAAAAAACCGCTTGCTTACCCGCCATGTCGTTGTTCTGCAGCCAATTCCAGGCATCCACGTCCTTGTCCTCGGTGGCTGCGTTGCAAGCCGCCGTCAGACTCTCGAATATGTGCAGCACGGAGAACGAGTGTCCCCGGGAAAGTTTAAGGGCGGCCGTGTACAGACCACACCTTGCCAGCAGGTAAGACAACTCCTCTGGCGATGAACGCTCATAGGCAGCAACATCCTTGCAGTAGTGCGAGAGCTCATGCACAGCTTCGGCGTGCACCAATTCCCTGCGTATATCGGCCAGCTCTAGGACAATCACCTCCTGACGGTTTTTATCGTCATCATCCTTGGGTTCACCATCGTCGTTATTCTGATCCATGGACGACGCCACCCTCTCGTCGCCAATTTTTGGCTTGGCAATCCACCTATAGCGACTATCTACTAAGTGCAACGAATTCAGGCAAATCAAGAGGGAGGAGCAACGTTTCTCCAGCGCATTGGGGGCATCGCTCTCGACTTGAAAGCGCATGGCCTGCTCGTACATAACCGTAGCAGCTGTTGTATAAATTAACGAATTAATTATTTTAGCTTACAGATATTATAGAGATTATAGAGATACCAACCTTTTCTCATGTTACCCTTGTTCGTGTGGAATGCATACAAAAAGTTGTACACTTCGTTCTGATCGATGCTCATGGACCGTGCCCGCGACTCCACAATGCTTTCAAACTCGTCCTGCAATCCTATGTAGGGGAACTGCATGAGCAGGGACAGGCATTTGCTCTGGAACAGCGTAATGACCAACTGACGAAGGCAATCCTTTCGCCTCGAGGTGTCCGCATTATAGACTAAGGCGCAGTAAGCCTCCTCATAATGTCCTAGCTGCAGATGATTATTGAAGACAATCGATTGGAACATGGGCAGTTGAGGATCATCCTGCTGCAGCACACTCATGGCCATTTCGGCCAGTTGAATGACGTAGTCGAGGGCGGAATGCTGCTCAAAGAGCTGAATAACCTTCAGATAATAGTGAACAATGGCTAGTTTTCTATCTTCGGCGGATATCGTTTCGCCCCGGTTGACGCTCTCCTGCAGTTTGCAGTAAAGCGGAGTGTTTTTCAGTACATGCTCGAAGAGGAAGTCATCATCCACTACGCCGGTTGCCGTTTCATGAAACAGATGCACCGCTTTATGAGCCTCACCGCAATCCAACAAGGAAGCTGCTAGCATAAAGCATCCTGCGAAAGGAGAAAGTATCAGCTAAAGGATCTTTTGTAAGCCGGAAAGTATGCTTACTGGCATGAGATTTTACGGAACACCAGCTGGATAAAATGCGCACATAGTCCTGCACAATGATGTGATGGCAGGTGCCAAACAACCACTCGGGGAACACGTATATGGGAGACTCGGGCCACAGCATCTTATTGATGTAGCCCACAAGTTCTAGCAAACTCTGACGGAGGTTCAATTGCTCCGACTCCAGCTGCACGCTGTCGGTCTTCAGGAGCATGGACAGGGCGCTAAACAAACCCTTCGACTGCAGGAACAGACTGAGCAGAGTGGTCTGGTCATTGCCATTATTCCGCAAATGGCTCGAGTATGGACGTGTATAGCCGCTAAATAGTTGCGCCCGGCTCAACCGCTGCATAGAGGCCTCACTGTAAAAAGAATCGGTTAACATGTGAAAAATGATCAATAAAATTAGTTAAATTGTATTACAATCCTGGTGGGGTACTGGATGAAATGGGCGTCTCGGCAATCCAGACCAGAGTATAATACGAGTTCAGATAATTGATGTTTGTTAAAACGTTTTCACTGTCCATTCCTTTCTGACCATAAACCAAGTACTGCAATATCAAAAGGTTGCGGCAAACGGAAAACCTGCGTGCGAAAAATGTAAAATTGTAAGTTAACTTTTTAATAGATATTCAGTAAGAAAATTTGATTGGTTTGTTTGCAAATAAAGTTCGTGTTTTTTTTTTTTTGTAACTTACCGTATTGTGGCCATTTGCTTGACCGTTTCGGACAAGATGGAAAGTCCATATTCGCTGCCCAATAGAGCTCCAGATGGTTGCAAGAAACGTGTCGAAAGGGAATAATCTACGAAATGAAATGGAATAGATATCAAACTATTTGCCAACATGAAATCAATAAGAGTTTTACCATGCGGCGGGGCATCTGGATCAATCATGCACAGCACATCGAGCAGCATTTCAATGGCGGGTTTGAGGTTTGGTATTTGCTGGACCTCCTGGTGAATTTGCTTCAAACAGCTCGATGGCAGCATCGGACCATTATCATCGCCCACAGTGATCCTGGCCACCAGCTTGGCTATCACATCCATGGGCGACTCCCGCTGATAGAGCTGCTTGTCCAAGTCCATTTTGATGTCCTCCGATATCAGCTTGTCCAAGAGGGTCACCACATTCATGAGGTCAACAAAGCCCTTGGCCATTTCGGGATCGTTGCGGAACAGTGGAGCTACGTAGGTAGCCACCTCGTCGTTGTGCTCCCCGATCAGCAGCAGGTGCTCCAGCACCTCGCAGGGACGCAGCAGGGCGAAGGATTGACGCCTCACCAGGCACACGGCATCCATGCCACCAAGAACCGCGAGTCCTGTGGGCTCCGAAAACTTAATGTGGTACTGTTCGCAGCACGAGTAGAAACGATCCCACAGTCGCGTTGAAATCTCCAAATACTCCTCGTCAGTGACCACAAAGTCTTTCAGTTCGTTCTGGATTTCGTCCTCGACGGCCTGGCACACCTGCTCCTTCAGCACTGACATGGACAGCTGCTTCACATCGAATTGCAAGTTAACGCGCCTGAACATCTGCAAAACGAACATCAAAAAATCATATTATTTGTACTGTATTTATATAATAAATTGAAACTAGTTTACTAATTCCTAAAAGTTAAGTTATTAAAGTTATTAAAAATAACTATTTTCCTGTAAAATAGGTATCTTAAGAAGTAGGCCATGGTATTTGTTTGTTTTATGTGCTTTAAGCACTATGAATTTTGTAATTAGTTAAAAATGTTTCTTTTAAGAACAACATTAAAATATTTATATAGTAAAAATATATTTTTTACTATTGAACATTTTCTATAACCTTTTTTTTAATATTCAAAGAAAGAAAATCTTACCCATTATGAAAATATTTTGTTGATACTTACATACAGAGCCTTGGCAATCACATTCCGGTCAAACCGACCCGGATGAAAGATGTAGGAGCAGTAAGACTCTCGTGGATCCACTCCCTGCTCCATGGTGAGGCAATAGCGATCCGGTGGAGGTTCAAGGGCAGCAGAAACCCATTTGATAGAGTTATTCGAACCTAAATAAATAGCAGAGACATGGAAATCTCCTTCAGCGTTGCTCCAGAGGGCCCAGATGTGCGTGGATGTGGCATCGAAGTCGACTAGATTCATTTGTGGCGCCGCCACCGAGTTCTGCACCAAATTGAGCCCGCTGGCCTCGTCGGCATCTGGCTTAATGCTGACGCAAATGAACTCCGCTAGATTGTCGTGGGATATAAACAGGCAGAAGTTCTGATCGCTTATCTTGCGGAGCTGGTTATTTTGAGCTGCAAAATAATTCAAATATTATAGATAAATGTAGTTTAATTTAATTAATATAAAATTAAATACTCACGTCCTTGTGCTCCTGATCCTCCATGCCCCGATCCCGCAGAGCAGTTAATGCTGGCCACCGTTTGTAGGCTATCCACTGACCACAATCGCAGCTCGTTACTGCGGTACAGAACCAGAATGAAGAGGTCCCCTTCGATTTCGCTGAACGCCATGGACGTGGCTGCCTCCAGCGTTTCCGAGCGGCCACTTGAATAAATTTGAAGCAGGTAAAGTACAAGTTTTATGAGAGATTCATGCACTCACGTAAGGGCACCCTTGAGATTGGACAGAAAGCGAGGCATCAGATGCGGCTCCTTGACTTCGTGGGTGACCGTGTGACCGGTGACGCAGTTCATGATGTGGAGCAGCAGTTTGCTTTGGTAGGCCACCGCAAAGTATGCTGACTGCGAGTTCTGCGATAGATACGAGACGGCCACGTTTGGCATCGTTCCGAAGCCATCTGTCACATAGAAGGTGCTCGGATCGTTGATCTTGTCGCTGACGTCATAGAAAATGGACTGGGACAGCAGATCCTCGGGGAAAGTAGTGCTGGATCCATCCTGGCCAGCAATATTTAGGGGGAACACATAGCGATGCACACTGCTGACAGTGACCACCAGCAGGGTGATGGAATTGGTCTGCTCCGTGAGTGAAACATTCAGGACGGCGGAGTCGGTAAAGCGCAGGCGCAGGTGATTCCGCTGCAGTGAGATGTCCAAACTGACCTCCGCGAGTTCCAGCACATCCTGATAGGCGCGCCTGCAATTAACAATTGTGGTAAGTCTATAAGTTTTCACAATTGTATTTCGAAGTAAACTTACCAATATATGAATCGGTTCCTGGTTTGTACGTTTGTCCTGCTTTTGTAGCAGTAGCCACCGGAGGTTTCAAATGTCTTCAGATCCTGCAGAGTGCTCTGGGTTCCTAGTTTGCGTGCCAAATCAGTCAACAGAAGATTCCGCCAGTGATATGACTTGCAACTCACCCGTATTTATCTTTACCTCAATCCACTCCGCCGGACTGAGGTTCTTCGGGATAACCTCGCGATAACTCATGTTGGCATGCAGTTTGGAAGTGGGCATATTTTAATTATTATAAAATATTATACAAATTCAGGGAAAACAGTAGACTATTGGCGGCACCGGCATAAACACGCTCGGTTTGAGTGTTGGAAAACGGCAAACTCCGAACGGTACACCACACAAAAACGTCGATTGACTTTACCGATGTTTTAATGAAATCAATGCTCACCTCTAGCGAGCAAATCTTACATTCTGTTAGAACAACCATTTGGATATTCCCTAAGCTAAATCTCTGAACTGCTAAACTGCTGTTCGTCAGCTGTTCCATACAAATTCAACTAGCTGAAATTTTAGAGGCCAGCAACCCAGAAAATTGTACCTTGGGTATTCTTTAAACGTCTCTATCTCTGACTAGCAGAAATTAGGTCAGCTGTTTCTTACAAATGCGAAAAATGTTGTTAAGCTAATGAAAAGTCAGGGAGTCGCACTTTTTACAAAAATTGATTAGACATTTTCGTTCGATTCCTCACAAATTCTGCATTCAGCAATTTAGTATGGAATTTTCAAACTGTATGTTAACATTTCTGTTACGAAAACATTGTATTTTAACATTTCGAGGTTCTCATCGATATTTTTAAAACATCGATACATAGATTAGGAATCGGTTTTTTCTCACCTCTGAACATGTGTTTTTGTTGATGCCGCTTTGTTATTTTACTATTTTCTAAACTTAAACCCATAACCGGCATTAAAATGAGTTCCCAGCCGGATGAGACCATAGTCTGTCTGCCGGGAGAGCGTCTCTGCAGGACCGAGGACAACATTGTATTGGGCATAGGCACCTACGAACAGAATGGCTATATATACGCCTCCAAGTCGGGAATCGTGAACATCGAAGAGTCGGGAGAAAACGTGAGTTGGCTGAAAACTTGAATAATAATAAAAATAATCAAAGCATCTCAATTGCAGTGCCAGGTGGTCAGCGTGCACAAGCCAGGCTTCCATCTGACCATCCCAGCCACCGGAGACGTGGTCACAGCTCGGGTCCTCGTCACAACTCCCAAGTTTGTCAAGTGCGCCATTTTCTGCGTGCGGAATGTCCTGCTGGAGAGCAGCTACCGCGGACTCCTGCGCAAGGAGGATGTGCGTGAGACGGAAAAGGATCGGGTGGACATCTACAAGTCCTTCAAGCCGGGCGATGTCATCCTGGCCCGTGTCATCAATCAGCTGGATCAGTCTTTCCTCCTGACCACCGCCGAGAATGAGCTCGGCGTGGTCATCGCCTACGCCAGTGATGCCCGAAAAACCCGGGTTCCCATGGTGCCGGTCGGTTGGAGCGAAATGCAGTGCCCCCAGACAACGATCAAGGAGCCACGAAAGGTGGCCAAGGTCCTGCCAGAAAGTTCAATAAACGCTGTTAAATAAGCCCTACCCAATGATCATATGCAAATTCAAATCTTTAACTGAATTGGGGAACAGTCAACAGAATTAAAAAAAAAACAGGATTGCATTACAATTCTCGTTAATATTAATTTAAATGCAAATTCCAGTCAATATTTGTTATCCTTGTTAGATGGCCATACAAATATTTCCAGAAAGGCTGGTTTCCATAGTTGTGAGTTCTATGCTTGTTCGAAATTTTTGATTAGTTGTCCATGTTTTGGTTGTTATGCAGATTCAACAAGAGATAAGAATTTAATATTAGATCATGCAACTTTTTAACTAAAAGAACTCATTTGAGATAACCATAGTAATGGCTTTAGTTTTTCAAGTTCAGAAGAACTAAAATAAAAAGATGACAAAGTTAGAAATGAAAGGTTTGTATGTCCTGGCTTGTATGCCGAAATTTTCGCGCTGTGTAAATAAAAGATTCTTAAACATTTAGTTTTTTTAAAGTTTCAAGAACCTATGTTAAGTAAGATCTATAACGGATTTAGTAACCCGACTTTAATCAAACCATTAATTCAAACATGAATTTCTTAAAACCGTTCAAATAATTTTTTTTTTTGTTATTGTGGCCCCAAAAAGCCAAAAGACTCCATTAAAATAAAAAATTCGGTAGATTTTGATTCTTAATAAAGTTAAAAAAAGTGCAGAAATAATTTTAAATTCCAAATGATCATTTAAATGGGGGTATAAAAATCCATATGCCGACGCATGCACTTTATGGGCGTCAAATAAATAAAGTTCCGAGATGAACGACAGGTACTTATTCCAAGCAAACCGAATTACATTTACATTGCATTGCCGTGTTCCCAAAAAAAAAAAAAAAAAACTAAAATAAGGCAAATAAAAGGTAATGTGGGTACAGGCGTCAGAGCCGTAAAAAAAACCCATAGGCGTAGGCCGTTGCCAATCAATGTCGCTGGGAGCTGTTGTTGATGGATGACTATTCCTATGCAAATAGCTATAGTTCGTTTCGCGTGCAGGAGTAGCAGCTAATTCAATCAGAGGAGCGGGAGCCATGGGCTGCTCCTGGACTAGGCCACCCAATCTTGTCTTGCCGAATAATGCAAATGCATAGCAAATGTTACAGGTGGGTCAGTGGGCAGGGAGCGAAGAGTTGAGTGAGTCCTGGTTCCCGGACCGCTTGATCCAAACAACCAATCGTTGTTTGGTCGATTGAAAACGCAGCCGGCTCGTTTTGGTGGTTCGAACCCCGGTTTAATATTCAAATTAAATCGACGGGTGGAATACGACCAAAATGCGGTGCAAGTGAACAGTCGGGCGGGTAGTTGGCCCTGTCATAGTTGTAGTTGCTGTCGCAAAGTCCCCAGATCCGAAAATCTGTTTTAGTTTCAAAACATAAGTTCCTGTCTATTGTCAGTCGAAGTCCAACAGCAGAGGAGACACGGCAAGACCAGCGCAAACGGACAGGGAGAGCAAACAACTCATCATGGTGCAGATTTCGCAGACAGAGGAGGACATCAAGATCTCCATCGAACTCAATCGACTGGTCACTCGGAAGCCGGACGTTGTGCTCCTTCCCCAGTATCTGAAGTTCAACAATCCACCCATTTTCTTTGAGCGCCATCTGGCCCAGGAGATCGATGAAATGGCCAGGTGAATTAATACTTTATTATTAACTGAAGTAATTTTTAATATTAATTTACTACTGCAAAATATTTATAAAGTAGATTAATAAAAAAAAGTTTTTCAAATTTTAAAAATTGATCAGATATTAAAACCATTTTATTACAATACAATTTAAAATTCCACGTTCTACGTGGATTATAATTATTTTCTTTAAATAAATTCCTTAATTCTTTTACTTCAGTGTATTGAAAAGTATTGGGATTATAAAAAATTTTAATATTTTAGTTTGGTAGGTAAGCAATAAGATAAATTAAATAATTTTAGAACGCATCAGTAATAAGTTGATTTATATGTTTTTTTATTATCAATTTATTTTGACATTATTGAGTTACAGAACGTTAGCATCATTAAATTGGAAAGGTAATTAAAAAATAATTTTTCTACTATTTCCTTTTTTGTTTTCCTGAGTATTGAATAGAATACCATGGTTAAAAAAGGTGATATTTTGCATTTATGTAATTAGGCATTTTAGCTAGAATTAATTAAGCTTAAATCTACTTCTGCAATATATATTATAATGGTTTCAATAATATTAAAATCTATTTAAAATCCAAATTTAGATTTAGCCATAAGCTGTATTTTGTCCATATATTTATTTGTAAGCTTTTGGAAATGTATATGGAAAACCAAAACCAATTCAACTATTTCTGCTTGGCTTCTCTCTACATTTAAATATAATAAACTTAAATATTAAATACTTATGGTAACGAAATACCGATCTGTTACAGCTTCTGCCGCATCTTCAAGAACGAGGCCCGCATCGTGCTGGTGAAGAAGGAGAAAGGCTTCTGGCCGGAGATGTTTCAGAAGCTGGACAAAGAGGCCCTCATGCAGAAGCGTTTGGAGATAGCCGACCTGATTGTGGAGCGGAATAAGCAGCGCGACGAGAAGGCTGTGGAGCGGTACGAGAACAAGCGTCGGGCGGAGATCGAGAAGGAGATCAAGCGAGAGACTGCCATGCGGGATCGAGTGAAGCAGTTCCAGGAGAACTCGGTGCGCGAGGCCCTCGTGGTGGATGTTCGCAAGGAGGCCAATGCGGCGCCACCCAAGCTCGATCCGCCATCGTCGGTGGCCGCCAGTCGTCTGGCCACGCCCCTCATGCGCCCGCCCATGAGCTCCGTACGCGGCGGCGGTCGCATCACCGTCAGCTTCACCAGCCAGCACAAGCGAGAGACCCCGAAAAGGGAGTCGCAGGCCAACATGGAGAAGGCGTATGCCGCGGCCGGAGGACCCAATGCGAATGTCCAATCCCCGATGGAGAGCCTGGATGAATGAGGAGTGTACGTTGTGGGTGGTTGTCAAAGACTGTGCTGTTCTTTGTTTTCTCATTCCATTGAATAAATCTACAGGTATTTGCTTTAGTTGAAAGAGGTTAGCAGTGGCTTTTATTACTGGGTGTGAAAAATATTATTACTTTATGATCTAATTTTTTGTCAAAAAATCTGGCATTTCTTTGCCTTTACAGCTAGGAAGCTGAAATAGAGCAATCTCCTTAAAAGATTGATTTTTTCAACAAATTAAAAATACAATTTTTAGGATTTTCAAAATATGTTGTTACTCCAAACCAAATAAAGAAACTATTTCTAATGTTAACATACATTATTTCTATAAAAAAATACGATACAACAAATTTAAACCACTTAAAAATATTAAGTGGTTTAAAATTGATCAAATTTTAAAAATGCCAATATTAGTAAAATATTCGATCCAACAAAAATGTATTTTTTTGTTTTTCTTTGCACCTGCATTATCAAAAGTTTAAAAAACAATTATTTATTATTTATTTAAGATTTCAAATGCATTATAATGACGTCTTTGTTTTGTGTTTAGTTCTCGAATGAGAATATATAAGGAATGTAGCATACTTTTGGGCAATTCATGTATATAAAAACCATATGTATATATATGTTTACAGGAGCACAAACATAATTTATATGGGCTGCAGCTACACAATGATGCACTCGTAGTTTGTGCGGACCTCTGTTATGGGTACTTTGAAAGTAATCAGTTCGTTGGCAATATTTAAATCCGATAGCACCGCCTGCCCAACACTGAAAGTTGCCTATCGATAGCAACAGCTGACGACTGTCAGTGTTGGACAAGCCTTGTGACGTTGCCCTTTTTTTTATCACAAGTCTTTTGCCGCTATGACATTAAAAGTAAACGAAGTTCTTTAGAATTGTTCAGAACAACACAAAGCCAACGCGCAGCAACAGGAGCAGACCCCTGACACCGATGACCAAGGCCGCAGAAGCAGCCATTCCGAGAGGCGAAGCAGGAGACATGGACACGTACGGCAAGGAAATGCGTCCGCTGGCCGGCAAAGCAAAGGAGCCCTCCAAGCTGGACGACCTGGTGCAGTATGTTAGCCTGCACGTGCGCATCCCCACTCCGTTGACCGGCGTGGTGCTGCCCTTCGTGCCGCTCTACCTGTCCGCCTTCTACCTGTGGATCCACGTGAGTGGAAATGGCGAGGAAACCGAAACGTCCCAGCCCGAACTGGTCCCCGGTGAAAACCAGACGACCACAGATCACGCAACCACCTGGAATGACGTGGGCTTCATCGGAGTGGTGGCCATCGCCTTTCTGCACGTGCTCACCCTGCTCTTCTGCTACTGGAGCGTCCATGTGCTGGCCTTTCTCACCTGCCGCCGGGTGAAGCTGCCCGGTGCCAATGTGCTGGCCAAAGTGGTGCCCACCGCCAACAATGGCAACTCCAAGATAGTGCCCCTACGCACCTCAAAGCTGGAGGACGGCTCTACACAGTATTTCCTGGTTTTCCAGAAGACCAAATACGTTTGGAATGAGGATCGGAAGACGTTTCGTGCCGTCGAATTCCCGGTGAATGGACTGCTGAGCAGCTACGCGTCATCACGAGGATTGGAGACGGAGGAGGCCATCAAACGGGCCACCCTGACCTACGGCAACAACGAAATGGAAATGGTGGTGCCTGAGTTTCACGAACTCTTTATCGAAAGGGCCACGGCACCGTTCTTTGTGTTCCAGGTGTTCTCCGTCGGACTGTGGTGCATGGACGACTACTGGTACTACTCCCTGTTCACGCTCTTCATGCTGATCGCCTTCGAGTGCACCATTGTAAAGCAGCAGCTACGGAACATGTCCGAGATCCGGAAGATGGGCAATAAGCCGTACCTAATCTACGCATTCCGGCAGAACAAGTGGCGTCACATCGGCTCCGATGAGCTGCTGCCCGGGGATTTGGTGTCGGTGACGCGCTCGCAGAACGACAACATTGTACCCTGCGATCTGGTCATCCTTCGGGGCTCCTGCATCGTGGATGAATCCATGCTCACCGGCGAATCTGTGCCCCTGATGAAGGAGTCATTGGAGTCGCTCGATAATCTGAACGTTGAAATGGACGCCGAGGGAGATGGCAAGCTGTTTGTGTTGTTTGGTGGCACTAAAGTAGTCCAGCATACTGCACCCACAAAGGAATCGCTTCGAGCTCCTGATGGTGGCTGCATTGGCTATGTGATTCGCACTGGTTTCAACACATCGCAGGGCAGGCTTCTGCGGACGATCCTGTTCGCCGCAAATCGCGCCACGGAGAACAATGCGGAGACCTTCGCTTTCATTGCCTTCCTGATGGTCTTTGCCGTGGCCGCCGCATCATATGTGTGGGTGAAGGGCAGCGAAGATTTGGAGCGCAGTCGTTACAAGCTCTTCCTAGAGTGTACCCTCATCCTGACGTCCATTATCCCGCCGGATCTGCCCATCGAGCTGACGCTGGCCGTGAACACATCTTTGATCCAGTTAACCAAATTGTTTGTGTTCTGCACAGAGCCCTTCAGGATTCCTTTCGCCGGCAAAGTGCAAATTTGCTGCTTTGACAAGACGGGAACCCTGACAACCGACAATCTCATGGTGGAGGGCATTGCAGGATTGGCTCCCAACGGAGCTTGTGTGCCCATTGAAGAGGCGGAGGCTAATACGGTTCAGGTGCTCGCCTGCTGCCACTCACTGGCTCTGCTGGACGACGGATTAGTGGGAGATCCACTGGAAAAGGCCACGCTAGCGGCAGTGGATTGGACGCTCACCAAAATGGATAGCGTCATTCCCAAGCGTCCGCAGTTCAAGCCCCTGAAGATCATCCAGCGATACCACTTTTCATCGGCGCTCAAGCGAATGTCGGTTCTAGCCGGCTACCTGATGCCCTATTCCAACGAGGTGAAGCACATAGGAGCGGTGAAGGGAGCTCCCGAGGTTATTCAGACAATGCTGCGCGAAGTGCCCTCGGACTACGAGAAGGTGGGTGGATTATTTAGTTTTTTAGTTTTCAAAAAACAATATTTAACAATATTTATTCCTTGCAGGTTTATTTGGAGTACGCCCGGCGCGGAGCTCGGGTTCTGGCTCTTGGTATTAAGGGGTTCGGCACCTTGGGGTCTCACCAAATTCGAGAGTTGAAGCGTGAAGAAGTGGAGTGCGATCTTACCTTCGCCGGATTCGTGATCATCTCCTGTCCCATGAAGCCCGATTCCAAGTCGGTGATCAAGGAGCTCATTCAATCCTCACACAAGGTGGTGATGATCACGGGCGACAGTCCGCTAACCGCCTGCCATGTGGCCCGAGAACTGCGCTTCACACGCAAGAAGCTGCTCATCCTGACGCCGCCCGATCTGGAAGTGAAGTCCCCCTGGCGTTGGGTGTCCATCGACGGGGATCAAACCTACGAACTGGATATCAAGAAGGGTAGCAAGGGTCTCTCAATGTTGCTGGGCACGCACGACCTTTGCATCACCGGCGAGGGACTGCAGCATCTGCAGCAGCATCAGCAACAGTACATGCGTCATTTGCTGCCCCTAATCACGGTGTGTGCTCGCTTTGCGCCGAAGCAAAAGGAGTTCGTGATCACACAGCTGAAGCAGCTGGGATACTGCACTCTGATGTGCGGTGACGGTACCAACGATGTCGGAGCCCTTAAGCACGCCAACGTGGGCGTCTCCCTGCTGACCAGTGCTCCGGTGAAGCGGAAGCGCACCGAGGAGGAGCAGCAGCAGGCAGCGGCGGCGGCCAATGCAGCTGCAGCAGCCGCTCAGGCAGCAGCGATTGCCAACCAGCAGTTGACGCCTAGGGAGCGGGCACTGCGTCGGCGGCAGGAGCATATCAACCAGACACAAGCGCGCCTCCAGAACGCACTACGCGACATGGAGGAGCAGACGATGGTCAAGTTGGGCGACGCCTCCATTGCGGCGCCCTTTACCAGCAAGTCCTCTTCGATCATGTGCGGTGGGTAAAATGGTTTTTACTTGTTAGAATACATTTTGATTTAGATTTTTCTCCTTTCAGTTAACCATATCATCAAGCAGGGTCGCTGCACGCTGGTGACCACGCTCCAGATGTTCAAGATCCTCGCTTTGAACGCCCTCATTCAGGCCTACTGTCAGTCCGTGCTCTATATCGATGGCATTAAGTTCAGCGATACCCAGGCCACCATGCAGGGCATCTTCATAGCCGCCTGCTTTCTTTTCATCACACGAGCTAAGGTGGGTTAGCTTAATCACTTGATCTAAATAAATTAAATATGTTATAGGGTCATTTTAATAATTTGTTGAAACTTATCTTTTCATCTAGCCACTGAAAACGCTGTCCAAGGTGGCACCACTGCCAAACATCTTTAATTTCTACACGATTTCTACCATACTAAGCCAGTTTGCGGTGCACTTTGGAACGCTTTACTACCTGACCAGCCAGGCCAACATCCTGGCACCACCCAGGTAAGCTTGAATTTAATTTGATTGTATTAATACAATACTAATAATAATAATAATGCTAACTATTTTGTAGAGTGGGCAAAGTGAAGTTGTACATTGACATGGATGCTGAGGAGAAGACAAAATATGATCCGAACATTGTGAGCAGCACAGTCTATATCATTTGTTTATCATTGCAAGTGGCCACCATTGCGGTCAATTATAAGGTGAGTTTAATGACATATCAACAACGATCAAACTCAACATTGTAATTAACTATAATTAAAAACAGGGACATCCATTCATGGAAAGCCTACGCTCCAACCGCATGCTGATGTATGCAATCGGAGCTTCAGCGACTTTGGTAATTCTTCTGTCCACGGGCCTGGCGCCCGAATTGACGGAATTCTTTGAGATAATCGATTTCCCAACAGATGTAAGTGTTTTAGAATTTAATTTCATTGGTTTTCTTTTTAAATATGTGTCGTTTTCAGTTCCGCAAAACTTTGCTCGGGGTACTGATTCTGGATATCATGGGGGCCTTCGTTTTGGACCGCATTTGCTCATTCCTTTTCGGGGAAACGCGCCGCAAATCCAAAGTGCTGAATTGTTAGGACCATTTAATAATTAGTACTAGAAAAGGATCGACTTCAACAACCTAACGTTCCAAAAGATAGATAATCCTTTCCTTTTTTATTTTTATTCCCCCCCCAATGGTAAACGACTTAACGTTTGTAATGGCGTCGGTTTCTTAAACGTTTAAATTCCGCATCTAAGAATCAAAATAATGCATTTAAAGTGTATTATCAGGCAAATGTATTATCGGGCAGCCTATATCATTTTAATTTGACAAAGCAAGAATTTTCGATTTCTTTGACTCCCGTATATGCAAATAGTGAAATTGTCGTAATATTTGTAATGCTAATAAAGATAGAGAAAAGTTAAAAAATGAGCAATACATATTTATCAAAAATTGTAAGGGTTATATTTAAGTGCTTTCAGGTACAGGGTCCTCCCCTTTAGAGTCTTCAAGCTGTTTGAACTGGATCAAGATGACCAAGTACGTGGTGACTGCTGAGAAGATCTGAAATGAGTAAGATTTAAATACCAATCTGAAGAGAATCGGTAATTATACCTTGAAAAGTGTGGAGTTATCTATAGCAAAGAATCCATAGGCCGTGAATTGAACTTCCTGCTTGATGCTCTTCGTAAGGAATTTATCAATCTGCCGCCAGATACACCAATTTGTCATTCACTTAATTTGATTCTTTATTTTAGACTATATATACTCACAATATTCTGATACTCCCTGCACTTGGCATACACCCTCGACAGTATCTGGGATGTGGCATTGGCCTTCAAAAATAAAAAAAACACTCATGAGGATTAGTTGTGTACCTATCACTGATGTATGTAGCTACCCACCTCCCTGGTGGTCAGGCCACAGCTCCTGGACAAAAGAGCGAGGAGGGACACATGGAGACAGAGCCAGGCGAGGCACCACTGCAGTATGTTGGGCGACACCATGCCCTTGGCGGTGATCTGCACGAACAGATTGTAGCAGTTGGTGGTGACCGTGTAGAAGGAGTAGCCCAGGAATGAGACCAGAATCAGGTTGCAGCAATCGTTGATGCCCTTGTAGATACGCAACAGTTTGTTGTGCATGCGGTATATGAACAGCGAGTCCTCCGGGAAGTGTTCCATAATGGCGGGACTGGGACTGGGATTGGGATTGGGGTAACTGCTGCCACGCTGTCGTCTTCCACCACCATTGCCCTTTCGCTTCTGCTGCTGCCCATATGTGTATCCATTCAGCAGTTGATTAATGAAATGGAACCGGATGTACACGATCCGAAGTAGAGCCGAAGCGAACACTATGTACGTGGCTGTGAGGCCATTCTGGATGGCATAGAAGGCTAGCAGAATATAGGAGGTGGACGTGATCACGCCCTGTACGGCATATATTTTCAGCACTATAATGTAGGTCTGTGAGGCGGCTATGCCAACCAAAAACTTCACCGAGAAACCAAAGTCCTGCTTTAAATTGGCTCCAAACTGCCGACGAATCTCCTCGTCCAGTTCGAGAATTTCGTTCATGATCCGTATCATACTCTTGGTATTCCGGGCACACACAAACACGGTGAGGGTATAGGTCAGGATGCAGAGCAGCAGTTCGATCCACTGGTTGACATTGTCCGTCTCCCGGTACGAGTAGAACAATTGTGCCGAATTCGGTGTGAATAGACTGTAGATGTTAAAGATGGTCAGGGCATGGACCACGCCCCTTACGAAGAAGGAGTAGAACTCGTTGGTTTTGTTCGGAGGACCGACTTCATAGTTGGAGACCTGTTCGTATATGGGCATTAAGCCGCTGGCCTTCAACACGGACAATATGGTGCGAATGTCCTCGAATACGGGATGATCATAGTTCCTTGAAGGACCCGAAGGTGGCTCCCTGGTGAAGGCATCCCTGTTCACGGAGGATGCTCGATACGGCGAAATTCTTCGCGGAAACGGATGCGAACGCGTTTTCTGGTTGGGCATTTCGATTACCCAAGTGTTCGGGGACATGGCCAACGAGCCACTGACAGGACGAAAGGACACGGCTAACTGGATTGGAAAGCGTTCATAAAGTGGGGTCTTGGTTATCTGATTGAACTCCGCGACCACTTGGGGTCACGGGCCAAGCTCTCGCCGGACCTCTGGTGCCATTAGAGTAATTGCTTTGCATTGTGGATTATTGAATATTGAACCGAAGAATCAATTATTTCATTGCAGGCTTTTTTCAAGTATGAGTAGAGCTTCTTCAACTTCGATTGGGAAAATATAGCTCTTCCGATTTAAAAAAAAAAAAAACCTTTGACAATCAGTTGTTAAGTTCTGTACTGTACTTAAGAAAAATATTTAGATGTTTATAATCAACTATAAAACCTGTGGAAGGTTGTTTATAACTTAAGTTATAATCATTTAAGTATTTTTCTAAAGATGTAGATGATTATAAACATATAAATATTTATCAAAAAAGTTGTTAAGTTTCTAAGCTTGTACAATCATATAAATATTTTTTAAAGATGAAGTACAAACTTAAAAACTGGCTGTGGAAGGTTTTTTATAACTTAAGTTTTTTACTACATATTTAGAAAAAAAATTATATGATTATAATCATATTTTTGTATTATAATATATATTCATGATCAGGATCACTTCGTTGTTTCCTAATTTATACAAATTTTCTCTGAGTTCAGGTTAAGATTTACTATTTTAAAATTACGCTTTTAATTTTAGTAAGGTCGTTCATTTTATTTATAAATTCTTAAAAACTAAATTATTCCTATACAATTTTTTTAAATTCAAGTATATTTTTAATTAAGATTTTCGCCTTACTATGCTTTTCTCCATAATCCTAAAAATGGCAGAAGGTTGCTTGCAATTTCAATAAATTTCTTACATACAATCTAAAATTACGTTTTATTTTATTAGGCAAACCCCAAGCCCCTTATTAATCTCCGCAAAACAAATCCTATAAATATAAAAACGAATGGGGAACAATTTTATACAGAACCCACGGAGGACCAGTTCACCCTCGGCTGTGACATGAGCGTGTTATGGGTGTGTTATCACTGAGATGCGTGAAATATTATCTTTGTCACACCTTTTCCGCCCTCACAGCACCCACACAAGGACAATCTATACTTCACACATACAAATGTACACTAGGGTGGTTCAAAAATAAATCGAACTCTCAGCATTAGTTTTTGCTGCACAAAAACTCTATTCGAAAACCAAAGAATTTTATTTAAAGCTTAAGACGTATCTCAATGGTCTTTAAGTTTTCATATAAATTACTAGTTCGCCACGTAAGCCGTCTAGAATTTTGGGCAAAGAAAACTATTCCATTTCTAACCTCGTCAACTTATTGATCTGCTTAAAAAAGAAGTCCAAATATGGATTTCCAAGTTTGCGCCACCTGGAGGAATATATATTTTTGATCTAAAGCAACACGTCGTATGAGTGATAAACTTTGAAGCTTTGAAGCGCAGACCCTAAAACTCATTTTTTCAAAAAAATTTTTTTGGTACACATTATAATTTACAATTTGGACCACCCTAATGTACCTACAGTTGTATCTACGGATTTTTTCCACCCCTAATGAGGGATTGCAATTCAAAGCGTCTCGGGCTGTTGCTGATTTTTTTTTGTGTCATTCCCAGCTTTACTTTACCTTTGGGGGAGAGAGAGTGATAGAAAGAGAGTGCCAAACGGGCACGCTGTTGCTTCGGGCACATGCCACACTGTGGGGAAAATCGGAAAATTTACCTCAAAAAAATACATGGACAAGTTCTTGGTTAAAAAAATTTTTTTTTTTGATTATTTAAATTTTTTAATTAAAAGTAGTAGGCTTAAAGAAAACTTTTCACAACTTAAGAAATATATATATAAAGGTCAGTAAATTTAACCATAGATGTAGATAACATATTTATTAGCCTTCGGGTATGAGAAGTTAGAGTTATGGGATATTGCTGTCGGTTGTATATTCACCATATTTAACACTATATAACACACAAAATGTACGGTCAACAAGCAGTTTGGTATATAAGGTGTTATAAATAATCCATAAGGCATATTTCTCAATTAAAAGCAATTAGAACGAATTGGGAAATAATGGAATTTGGAAAGTTAGAATTATATCATTTAAATTAAATCTATGTCAAAGACCTCTGGTTCATTAGACGTTTTCATTCAGCAGAGTTCAAAGGTTAAGCATGACTTGGTACTTCCACTTGACCCACTGTGTGCCATTGCCTGTGACGTCACGGCTTTAGCTTTCGGCTGAGGTTGAGCTCACTCCGACAGATACAGATACACACCGAGAGATAGAGATAGGAGGGAAGGTGAGAGAGAGCCACTCTTATCAGCGGCGGCATCGACAAATCGAAGACAAAACAAACCCGTCGTTAATCCCGCAGTGAAAGTCGAGCACATCGCTCATCACTCATCGCACGGAATGCTGCAGCTCCTCCTGGTTGTGGCAACTCTCGCCAGGATCCATGGCCACTACACAAGCGGCGATGTGGTCTACCACCCAATGCCGCACTTCTGGACGGGCGTGGGCTTCTGTCCCGCCGGCCGGATCGATCACGGAGGGATTAGCTCCGCCCTGGCTGATCCTGGGCTCCGGATCAACCTCCGCCACATTGCCGCATTGCCCGTGGGAGCGGTGACCCACATACGCATTCACTGGCTGCTGGAGCTAATCCAATTCTGGCAGTACGACCCCAGCGGCATTCCCATCTATGATTTCTCCAAGTTCGATGATTTTATTGATTTCCTGCACGAGGAACTGCGCCTCTCACCGGTCTTAGAGTGGATGGGCAATCTGGGCGGGGTCTTCTCGGAAAACCCTCTGCAGCAATCCTTCTACTGGGAGCATTTGGTCAAGACCACGGTTAACCACCAATTGGGTAAGCAATATGTCTCTCCAAAAATTGGGTTTTTTCTCAAACATTCCCTTAAGCCCGACATGGTGCCTCCAGATTGGCTAACTGGCGCTACGAGACCTGGAATGAACCGGACATTCGAGGGTACAACAAACTCAATTTTACGGCTCAGTCGTACCTGGACTACGTTCAAGCCGTGCGTCGTGGTCTGAGTAAGGCTGGAAATCCGGACACCCAAGATGGAAAGCTCCAGCTGCCTATGTATCGGTCATTGCGTGGTCCGGCGGGACTCTTTAAGGACCCCAACAATCATCCGCTCTGCTGGAAGCTGCTGGAGCACTGTAGCCAAAGAGTTGTGTACTGTCCCATCGATATACTCACCTTCCACCGAAAAGGAGTTGAAGGCACTGCCACGGAGATCGTCAACGGTTCGCTGTCTTTAATGGCAAAGATCTACGAGGAGTATCCCAATCTTAAACTGCTGCCGGTGGCCAATGAGTGAGTATTGGAAAATGACTGTCCTTAAAAGTACAAAAAAAAATAGTGAACACTAAATTTATTCCAACACCCATCATAATCAACTTCGTAAGCCCAAAACTTTTAAGTTATTAGCGTATTTTTAATTTGAAAAAATCTGTGATAATATTAAATAAACACTTTATTTAATCAAAAATTATTCATGCGCTTTAAGATATTTTTTTCTTTTAAGTAACCTTTTATTTTGTTTTTATATTTAGTTTGGCTTTCTCTAGCCTTAGTCAGAACAACCACCATCACCACAATTTGAACACAATTGTTCGAAGGAAATGCCCAAGAATGGTGACAATTTATAAGTAAAGTGTAAATTATTAATCTAAATAAATAACTTTTTAGTCCTGGTAAAAGACTAGAGGGATTTTTCAAGAGATGTTAAAAACAAGCGAAATTAAGATTCCTTTTATTACTTCTGCGATACACATGATCAAGTTAAATTTCCCTCAGACCTCCATTATCCACTATTTAATATAATAGTCTTGTTTTTTCGAGAACTTTTAGACTTTGATAATACTTAGACATTAGAAATAAGCTTTAGATTATTTAAAAGTGTTTTTCAATACTTGGATAATGTTGAGGAAATCTTTAGGGTGATATAATAGATTAAATGTAATATCTCTTTAATCTCTTAGCGAAGCTGATCCCGTGGCTGGGTGGGAAACTCCACGGGAGTTTCAGGCGGATGTTCGCTATGGAATTACCCTGATGTCCACGGTGATGCAGTACTGGCATGCCAAGCTCACCGCCGGTACGCTGGGTAGCTTGGAGTCGATTAGTCATGACAACGCCTTCCTGAGCTACCATCCCCATGAGTTCACACAGCGCACGCTTTTGGCCCACTTCCAGATGAACGAGACCAATCCACCGCACTCACAGTTCATCCAGAAACCCGTTTACGCGGCTCTTGGAATGCTGGCGAAATTGGGAAGTCGTGCTGCGGACTTGGAGGTGGTCAACATGGATACCAAGCACAGCGTCGGAGTGCTCCGCACAGTGTCTGGCGGTGTGGGAGGTCCTGGTCAGTACATGGCCACCATATTTCTCAGTCCCGAGAAGGCGGGACCAAAGATAACCGCCTTCCATCACAAGTACACGCTGAACATGTCCATAGCCAATGAGTCGGCCTTCATCACGGAGCTTCTGGTGCCCCAGGTCACGGATCCGTACCACGTGTGGCAGCAGGCGGGCAGTCCAGCGTATCCCAACGCCACTCTAAGGGAAGCCATGCGCAGAGCCCAGACTCCAAGGCTCTACAAGACGGGACCCATTTGGCAGTACAACAGCGAGCTGGTGATCAATTCCGCTAGCATCCCACTGCCCTGGGTGGCACTGCTCCGTGTGTGCTCCGCATCGTGGCCCAAGCTGCGCCGCCCGCAACAACTCTCCATCGTGGAGGTAACCCATCGGGAGGTCTTCATCACCTGGATGGAACATCCCAAGTCCACGCAGTGCCTGCTCAGCTACGAGGTGTGGTTCAAGGAACGCGACAGCCTGGGTCCTTCCGCCGACTGGCAGCTCATTTCCCGCGACTGGCATCTGCCGTATCCGTCGTTTCAATACGCACCCAGTGACCAGGGATCCGTTAATGGTACGTAGTATTAACCTAGATTTCCCAGCAAAATTAAAGTGCCATAAAACTTAGAAATTATTTAAATTGACAATTTAACTCCAAACTGATGCTCTGAAAGTTAAATAACGTTCTTCAAGAAATATAAATCCAATTCAATTATCTTGATTTAGATATTATAATATAATAATAATATTTAGATTTTGAACATTTTTTTGCCTACCGATAGATATGACAAAAACACACACATATCGTACAACACCAAAGGTCCAACGTCTCATACCTTATGTTCAAAAAAGTCCAATTTTTATTTTTCTTTTAATTTATTGACGAAAAATCCTTACGGTTTTGGAGCATCTACAGATAAATCTTATTCCCCATCTCTGCAAAAAGTTACCTGCATATTAAGAGACTGTTCACGAGGGTAGTAATCCTTTCACTCTTTTGACAAATCATCGATCACTCATCAATCTCGCCCAGATACAAGGTCTTGTCGCTGGATCCAGAGAGAATTAGTGGCTCTTTCGGGCTAAAGTCCACGGCATTGACACTGCCATTGTGGCCGGGAAGTTTGTAGAGGATTCTTCTTGTATTTACATCCCAAATGTACACATGTCTGTCAGCGGAACCAGAGGATATTTTATCGCTACCCGGTGACCAAGCGCAGCGCAACAGATTCTTTTCGAAGTTGTGCTGATGGCCCTGGAAAACCTTCACACACCTTTCGCCTGGGGCATAGGGCCTGACATCCCACACCCGCAAGGTGTTATCCATGGCATTCGATAGAACGAAGTCTCCTTCGGGCGACAAGGACATCCCCGTAATCGTATCGGTATGGCCTCGCAGGTGATGCAAGACCGCCTGCTTTCGTATGTCCCAGATCTTCAGTTCATTGTCAATGCCGCCACTGATAACTTGCTCGCCAGTGTCGCCGAAACAGACGGCGGTCACTTGGAAGGGCGACTCCAGGGTGTGTGCAGCGTGCTTCTTTCTGGCATCCCAGATTTTAATGGTGCGGTCATCGCTTCCCGAGCAGAGCAGCTGCTGACCCCTTCGCGAGCCCTGGACGCTGTTAACGAAATTGCCATGTCCCTTGAAACGCCGTTGCCGCTGCCCCGTGACAATATCCCAAATCGCCAGAGTTTTGTCCGTGGAGCAGGTGAAAATGTGCGAGCCATCTGGCGTGAAGTGAGCTTCCATCACAGCGCCACTGTGTCCCGACATGGCCATCACGTTCTCACAGTCATCGTACACCTGCCAGATGTCTGAAATTTAAATTGTTTTAACTATAATACCGAGTTAAAGCAATCATTAGTACTAACAAGAAAGCAAGTAAACTTCGGCAAGCCGAAGGTTATATTCCCTACACAGTATTGCAAAAATTAAAAATTATTTAAAACATCTAAATTTTAAAAATATAAGTTTAAAAACATTGACGATAAGATAATTTTCAACTTAATTATTCGATCGATCGCTATGATATCGTTTTCCGATTTGAATAAAATTAAATGCGTAAGCGCGAACTGTTACTATGTCCAAAAAAAAAGTTACAATTTTTTTTCATTTATTTTTTTTTTTAATATTTCAATTGTTTTTATAGGAGCTATAAGATATAGTCGTCCCATTTTATCCAAATTGAAACCGTAATTGTGAAATATTAAAACATTGCTAAATAACTATAAAAAAAATATAGTTTGCGTAGAAACGGACGGACGGACAGACGGGCATGGCTAGATCGACTCTAGACTAAAAGTATATATTATTATTGCGAAAATGTCTGCTTCACTGCGTTGCAAACTTCTGATTGAAATTATAGTACTCTCTTCTAGGGTATAAAAAGGAAAACAATTTTGCTATTGATTGTTAAATCGAACCGCTAGCATATCAATTTTACCCGGATATAATTGTTAATTGTTTTTAAGGTGTTAGACAACACGCAGACTCCTGTAACCCCCATTTAAGACTTCCTGACGTTTCACTCACATATTTGCCTGTCGAATCCGGAGGAAAGGAGCAACTCCCCTTCCGGATGGAATTCCGCTGTAAAAATCTCGCCTTCATGTCCTTCCAGCTGCATAATGGGCGCCTGTAGGTTGGAGGTGCGCCTCACACCCTAGAATATAAAAATAAACAAGTATTAAACAAAACTCAATAGGGAATTCAGCCTGTGGGTGCCAGTATTCTTACCGATTCAAGGAGCGCTTTATCCCGATTTGTGTATGCCACCAGATCGCTCTTGCTGCGCTTAGCCTCTTGGGCCAAAACTACAGAATTGTTGGGTCTTTTGGTGCCCATTATTGTTTTTATTTGAAAATACTAAAATTAATTCAATTTTTTCAGCCGCACAACAAACCGTGTGGCAGTGTGACCGTAGCTTCAATAAATACCACATGGCTAGGTAACGAGCGCGCGGACGAAGCAGCCAAAGTAGCAACAGTTTCACCACTACCAACATCACCAAACATAAGGGGTTATAGTGGCTAGAAATTTGAAAAACTCGATTTTTTCTTTCAAAAATATGATCCCTAAAAGATTTTTAAAATTCTAATTATTTTAGGAGATACAGCCGATTTTGTGACGTGGCGTTCGAGTCTGTATAAATGTTTCCTAACATTTAAACGCATTTTTCCGAAACAACTTTTTTTATGTGCTTGACATGATATTTCAAGTTCTACCAAACAAATTAAGATTAATTAAGTATTTTTGAAATATTCGAAAAGGTCGAAAATATTTGGTGAAAAACGTTTTCTATTTTCAAGTCGACGCCATTTTTACTTATAAAGAATTTGTTTGATTATTTTTACGATCTCTAGAAAAGTTTTTAATCAGGACGCACCGTTTTATTTTTTTTTTAATTTTGGTTCTATTTTTCTTGTTATTTTTTTGTTTATGTACCCCTCCAACAAATGCTAATTTTGCAATATTTCTATTATTTTTAACGGATGTCAAGCCTTCCAAAGCTTTCGTCTTTGAAGTCCAAAGACCGTACTCGTTTCCTTATTAACTAACTCAACGCCCAAAAACCTATTATATATTCTAAATTAAATAAAAAAAAAACACCAACATGCTGCATCTTTTATATTATATAAATTAGATATACCTTGACTATTAAGGTTAAACTAAATCCATTGCTGGAATTGTCTTATAAACAAGAATTATTTAAAATCATAATACAAATTTGATTTAGTGGACGATAAAAGTAAACACAATTTATTGAATTTGTTTTTGTTAACAAGTCTAATTTTTTCGCATTTGCTACATCCAGAACAACTCCATAAATATTAAAATATGTTCTCATATCCTTACCTTTTTTATTTCTTCGACAGGTTTCTATAAAGTTCGAGGAGTGGATGCGTTTAATGAGACTAGCCCGTTCTCGCAAATAGTCGAATATTTGGAGTTGTAACTCAACAAGTTTATAATTAAAAAGAACATATTTAGGCAAAGTGAAAGCAAACATAATCAGGCTTCGGCCAGGCGCTAGTGGACCTCATCCTACTCTCTGTTTCTCTTGGAATGGACTGACTTCACCGGCACAATCTTCTGGACATGCGCCTACGCCTTAACGCCGGCAATATCTTATATAAATTATATATTATATACATATATATATATATATATAAATAGATATATTATTATCTGTGTTGTGTTCGTAATACATATATGCCAATATCCTGCGAAGGAATCGGCGAAAGCGTATAAAGACCATTTTCATTCCCTGTGAGGGGTATATACAAAGGAATAACTTGCTAACTTAATCGAGAACAACCGCGTTGAGACGTCTCCTAATAAAACAATATATTTTTTCGTTTGCTTCAAGCAAATAACCAATAATCGGAGTCAATTTCCGCCTTAGGTGTCCAAAACCAGCCACTTTTCGTTGATGTGCTCGATTTGCTTGGTAAGAATAGGATTGCGAACACGTATTTTAACCTCCAGTTTACCACCCACTTGCTTGCGGCCATCCATTAGCTATTTGGGAAGGGAGAACAATTAATTTTAATTTCATATGGAATTTTTATATTTAGTACTTACATCGTAGGTATCGTGAATATCACACTTGGTCTCTAGCGGCTGCAGCTTGACATTTACGGTTCCAATCAACGTATCTGATCGCAGGAACCCTCTGAAACAACACAGGGGCAGTTTACGACTTAGTCCACAACAATCTATACTGCAGCTATTTATATGCACGATATGAAACGCGTTGCATTGGATGAGGTTTGTTTGCGATTTGTTGGGATTTTAGGGGTAAAGATTTTAAAAAAATATTTTATTAAAACGTTCCACGTGGAAATCAATGATGTTCAATGGATGTTCATATATGGCGAGATATATGTGTGCCGAAGCCATGGTACTGGTACGATACTGTATACGGGAACAAATAAACATGCTGACTACGGGGGAGAAAATTAAATTGTTTGAAAAACATTTCGGGAAAACTAAATATTAAATAAAAAATAATTCCTAAGCTTAACTAAAAATTATTGAGGCATGGCTTTTCAGTTGCAAAGGCAATAATAAAATTGTTTAGAATTTTGTAGAACACAAATTAATATTCTATCGAATTTATTTGTATCAGAATAGTTTTATTTTAAATTCAAGAAAAGTAGGTTTTTAAAATGACAGTTCTTAGCAGATGTCTACATCTAAAGAGAGTTATATAAATAACTTCATTTACTTTAAGAATAGTTAAAAATAGCTATATTTAAATATATACCATCCTAGTTCGATAGTACTTAAAATGAGCTTGGTTAAAATTATATACCACCTCTGTTAGTCGAGATTAATATGCATGGTAAGCGACTTATTAGGGTTTTAATAGCAGTGCTAAATTAGTTAATTACAGGTAGCTTACCCTCTGGAATATATTTCAAACTTGACGCCATGGCGCTTAAAGATTCTCTGGAACTGACGATTGGCTCGCTGAATGTCCACTTTGAAGCGCTCATCGTAGTCGGGACTGCTGGTGTCCCTAATAACATTGGTTTTAGTCTTAAAAGTTTCTTCCTAAAAGAGAGCAAATTAGTGTTAGAGCCTAAATCATAAAAGTATCAGACATACATTAAGAAGGGGAAACTCTACGCGCACATAGGTATCCACGTCTTTGGGATTGGTCACGTTGTAGTTGATTCCCCGGACCACAACAATTTCCAGTTCACAGTCCGTAAGATCCGTGTTGCAATGGACAATGTTAAAGCTACGCTTTTCATAGTGAAACTTTGGCAATGATTCATTCTTTCGCTTGGTGTACCGCACCAAATCCAAATCCTTCTGCACGGTTAGAGCCAAATTTTCGAACCGATTCATGCCAGCCACATCGCCCATTGCCTTGTGATGATCTCGAGTATTTTTGCACATCATCAGCTGCTTGGCCAGCTGCTCCTCCATGCGAACACCAATTTCGCAGATATCATCGCCCGGATCACATTCTTCGGCGGAGACTATGGCAAATGAGGCTTCCAGATTGTCTCGTTGGGAAGGTGGCACTGGCAGCTGCAAAAGAATAGAAAACTTAGGAATAAATGAAAAATCACCACGAATCTTACAGTGTTCAGATCCACAGGTAATCCGCTGCTGGCTGCATTAAGTAGCGAATCAAATCCTTTGTAGATCTTCAGGTACTCCTTGGCCTGATCAATCTCTCCCGCTTTTTTGGCCTCTATCGCAGCCAGCTTGAACTCCTTTTGACGCTCAAGAAGAAGTTTCATTTGCTGCTCGGCGAGATTGTTTTTCTGCTGGTTGCCAGACGTGCGAGTGGTCAGCTCCTTCGCCTGCGGAGGTGATGGAGCCTTTCGTGGAGCTGTAGGCGTCGTCGTACCGGAACTGGAAGGAGTTCCGCCGGCGGAAGTACTTGCCGTCGCTGGAGGCGATGTAGGGGAAGTAGGCAGCGAAGGAGTCGGCGCAGCTGGAGCAGCATCTCCTGTGGGCAGGGGACCGAAACCGGGTGGCACTGGCAGTTCATCATAAGGCACAGGTTTGCCCGCATTGTACAACTTGATGGCATCTTCGTATTGCTTCACAATCCTTCCAAAGCGTCTTGCCTTTCCGGTATTGTTCTCTGCCTTGGCAGTCGCCTCCACGGATTGGTATTTTTCCAAACGCTGCTGCAGTGCCTCCATCATGTTTGTAGCAGCAGCAGGAGCCGGAGCGGGAGCAACAGGTTCAGGAGCTGGCGCAGGAGTAGGTTCAGCAACAACTTCTGGCGCCGCTCCCTCCTTCAGCTTGTTCAAGAACTCCAGAAACTCAGCTGGCGGAGGCGGCATATCGCTGAGATCGACTTCCTGTCCATCCTCACACATCTTCACCACCACGTCGAACTGCTTGACCACCTTGAGGAACTGAAGGGCAGTAGCAGTGTCTCCGCTTCGCTTCGACTGCAGGGCAGCAGCCTTGTATTCGTTTTGACGGCTGCGCATTTGTGCCACTAACGGATTTTGAGGCGTTGTGGGGGCCACAGGGGTGGTGGATGCAACTGGTGACGTGGGAGTAGGTGGTGCTGGAGCTGCTCGACTCGGAACAGGAGGAGGGGAGGCAGGAGTGGATGGAGCTGGTGGTTCTTCTGCAGCCACTTGAGGAGCCTGACCGCCAGCGGGCTTAACACTGACTTCCGGCGGTATGTCATCCACGTTAATGGACTTGCCGGCTGCTGCTTGCTTATGAAGATCCTGTAGGGTCTTAAGACCCCTTCCAAAGCGTCTCGCCTTTCCGGAATCGCCAGCTGCCTTGGCATTCGCCTCGGCTTGCTTGTACATTTCCAGGCGCTGCTTGATGACACTCAACGTGTCCACAGTGGTAGTGGGCAGGAATGTCTGAACGGGCTCGTCGCTGCCAGCTGGTGGTTGCGCTGCAGGTTCCTCTTCCTCCGCCTCCACTACGCCACCAATTCCGCTCAGCTCGCCCAACAGTTCCGAGTCATGTTCCAGATTGTCATCATCATCATCGTCGTCGTCGCTTACATCACGCAAGCTGTCGGCAATCATTTTGTCCAGGTCACTGGCGGGGACCAACTTCGCCTTGGGCTTGGGTTTTGGTCTGGCTCCTCCTCCGCTGGCAATGGCCGCCAGCTCCGCCTCCAGATCGCTGTCGCCGCCATCGTCATCTCCGTATCCAGCGCTGGGATCGAAGTCATCTGGGATTTCCGTAAGGCCAAACTAAGCAAATGAAAAGAGAGTGAGAGTGATGACTCATAATTAATAAATAGACGAATCTAGTCTGTTTGTTTTTCCTCTTACCTGCGATAAATCGTGTTGCCTTCGCTTTGCTGGCTCTGGCTTCTTTCTGGAGAACATCCCGGATTATTAAAGGACTATTAAATAACTAAAATTGTATTCTGAAGCCTTTCAAATCCTTCAATTAATTGCGTCGCAACCACTCCGACGCAGACAACAATAACAGAATGTTTGTGGGGATCACTGTGGCAAAAGTAAAGGTGACGCAGGAAAACTCAGTGACGTGAGTCACGTCATTGGCGCAGGGCTACTGAAATTTAAAACAGAATAAATCTTTAAAATTTAGCTTTGTACTTCAATTATTGCTTATTAAATGTTTATAGGTCATAACAAGTCAAAAATTCTTTAAACGTCAAATTTTAATTTACATTTCAATATTAAGCTTTAACTTTCATAACGAAGTTATAATAATAATTAATAATCTAATAAGTTCATTTACCAGAAAAGATTTAGCATAATTATAGTCAAAATTTCTAGTCACCTTAAAAGCTGCACGTCATGCAGCGCTAAACTTTTACCGGGAACCAGGGCTGCGGCACAGTAACAGGTACAGGGCTGCATCGCCAGCTGACTAATCGATATCGCAACCTATCGATATCGGAGCCAGCGCACACATAGTGCAAAAGAGTTTGCGAAAAAAAACCTGGACAAAAAGGCAAATTGATTGCGAACCGCGCAGCTTAAGGAAGCAGGAGTTTCCCATCGACCTGTGCCGTGGAGTGTTCTAACCCCCGTAACTGTGGCGGCACCGAAAAGCTAGCGAAACCTTCGCCACTGGAGAGCTCCCATCTTCCACCTCCTCCAACTCCGTCTTGCGGCCAAAAGACAGAAAGGCAGCGCAGAGATTTTGCGGGGCAGCGGGGTCTGGCACTGGCCTGTTGGGGCTACTAGCGTGGAAATACACAAACGGATCGGATCGGGTTCCGGGTCCGGGTCGGAGGAACGGGGCGTGGCTCGCTAACCAGCGGCTTGGCAAACAAACACAACCGGAGGCGGCAACAAGTAGGCAGCAGGCATGGACGTGTCGCTCACTGAAGCGGAGACGCGATTCTACAGTGAGCTGTTCCAATGCTGCGACGTGGAGAAGACGGGCAAGGTGCCCATGCTGAAGGCCACCGAGCTCTTCCGCTCGGCGGACATCGCCAACGATATTGTGATTGAGGTAGGTCCAATTCGAGTGATCGTGTGATCGTGAGTGACTAATTATCTTGGGGGCGCTGGGCTTACAGATCACCGGCCTGGCGGGGATTCCCTCCACGGCACTGCACATCTCGCGCACGCAGTTCTACTCATGCCTGAAGCTGATCGCCGCCCATCAGGCGGCCATGCCGCTGCGCCAGGAGCTGATTTTGGCCACCTTTCCGATCCCACTGCCGCACTTCAGCTGGAAGGAGGCGGTCACGGCTCCGGTGGCCGTCGAAAACGGACTGGCCGCCTTGCCCCCGCCGCCGCCCACTGATCGCAGGAACTCGCTGCGTCGCAACTCGCAGCAGGAGCAGCTGCAGGACACCTCCGATGTGCCCAGCACTGACTCCGAGGTGGAGCAAAACGAATCCGTGGACGAGGCGACGGGCCACGGACGCGGCACGGATGGCAGCGGGCTCGTCAGCAGCAGCAGCCGCGAGAATGTCGGGGTTCGTACTTCTATCTTATCATGTGACATATGCAAATAGGCTAACCAGTGACCGTTCCGCGTCCTTTTCTTATCGCTTTAGCGACGCCGAGGCGGCGGTGCTGCCGGTGGGTCTCCCGAAGCCTGGAGCACCAACAGCGACAGCCCCACACCCACCAACAGTGTGGCCCTCTGGCAGGGATTGCTGGGCGACGAGCACCGCCAGCTGCTGGGCACGGAGGAGGAGTCCTCCGATCGCCACAGCAGCGACGACGAGGACAACGAGAGCGAGCTGGTTACCATCTACGAGATAACTCCGGAGCAGCGCGAGTACTATAATAAGCAGTTCAGAACGGTCCAAAGAGATCCTCATGGACTGCTATCTGGCCAGGCAGCAAGGTAACGATAATACTCTATTGAAATTCAAGTTTTCTATTTATTTTCTTCTATAAACACGAGCAGATAGCTATAACCACGCGTTAATTATTTGTTTCAGAGTCTTTTTCGAAAAGAGCCGCATCCCTGTGGAGGAGTTGCGTCACATCTGGCAATTGTGCGACGTTACACGCGATGGAGCACTGAGCTTGTCCGAGTTCACGGCCGCCATGCACCTGGTGGTTCTGAGACGCAACAACATTCCGTTGCCCACCAGCCTGCCCCACTGTCTGCATCCCAATGTGCTCCAAGCGGCTGTGGCTGGCAGTGGCCAGGGAGTGAGCTCCTCATCGTCAGCTGCGCTGCCTCAGGAGCCGCCTGAGGCTGATCTCCTGCATCTGAACGATGACGATGAGGACGACCACACGGACAATACAATCATAGCCGGCAATCTCAGCGGCGGCAGTGCCAACAGCAAACCGCGTCCCAACGTGCCCAGCGACAAGAACATCATGAATCTGAGCAGCATCTCCACGTCCTCGCAAGCAAGCAACAGTTCCAGGCGTGAGGCCACACCCCAGAATTCGTTGGCCAAGAACCGCAGCATCTCGAACTCACCGAGTGCGGAGAAGGCGGTGGTGGGAGCGGTTTCGTCTACGGCAAATGCTGTAGACGCGAGCAACGCCTCCACCCAGTGGACAAAGTTCAGCGAATCTCCCACAACAAGTGCGGCTCCGTTGCAGTCAACCACTGTTGTTGCCGCCGGAGCAGCCGCTCCTGCCGTCTCTAGTCCCGGGCTGAAGCCAGCCCTGTTCGACATGAAGCGCTCTGCCCAGGACGTGGTCTCCAATCCACAGATCCTGCACCCAGTGCCGCTAAGAGTGACACCCATAGGTGAGTAGAATAATAGGAGTAAACACAGCAATAGGTCGAAACAATATGGTTAATTCCACTTCCTATTTCCAGGCACCGCCATCGCTTCTTCGGCCGAGTCATCCAACGACAACGACAGCGTTGTGGTTCTGCGCGAGGACAGTCCCAAGGCCATCTCTTCGACCGCAGTCAACAATCAGTCATCTGGATCTGCTGTTTCAACCGGAGTATCGGGAGCTAATAGCTCCCATCGCGAGAGCAGCGATTTGCGTGCCATCCAACGGCCTCAGGCCAAAAAGCTGCCGGCTAAGAACAGTGCATTGCCACCGCCACCGCAACGTGAGCCGAGCATCGGCTCAACTGGCCCAAGTGAGCCTTCGGAGCAGCAGCCCAGTTACGTGGCATCATCGTTGGCGTCCAAGAAGGAGCCACCGCCGCTGCCGCCACCGAGGCCACATCGTCATGCGCGAAGCAGCAGTCTGGACTTGAACAAGTTTAAAATGGGCTCAACGGGCGGTGCCCAGCAGGCGGAGGTGAGTTATGGCCCATTGACCAGCAATTTACTTAACTTGTGTGTTTTAATCTGTGTCGTGCTATTTGCCCTGGTGATTACAGCCTTACAGGGAAGAAAGACTTACCCTTGTCTATCCAAGTCCAAAAAGGACTTCTGTTCATTAAGAAACTATTTGTGGTGTTGTCTTGCAAGAAGTTTAGCAATCGTTAAAAACTTAATTATTTTGAAATGAAATTTAATTCAAATTAATATTCAAGGGTCCGTGTGTTACCTATAACCATATTCCTAGATTAAATGGTTAGCACTAGCCATGAAAATGAAAATTGGGTGCAAACATTAAGTAGACTTTGCAAGGGTATCAACAAAAACTTCGGCCAGTCGAAGTTGCCTACTTCCTCGTTACCTTTGTTTGTTGTATTTTATTTATGTACCTATAACCTTTGACATGTATATAAATATGCAAACCCACTCTTTGTTAAGATCACTGCGCAGGCCAGCTTCGATATGCAAACCTCAACGGGGTTTGCCGATTTCACGCACTTTGCCGACGAAGGCGCCGCGAACGTCGTAAGTCCAATCCTAAATGTATGCAACTCGTAAAGCATTCCACCCAAATTGGCCGTAGATCCATTAGTGTCATGTGTCCAAATTCAGTAGCCTAACAATGTAACAGTCCACACAGTCGTATTTCCGTTTTGACTTATCTGTGCTCAACTTAAAGGTGGACGAACAGCAGCTACACTCCTTGCCGCCGACAGCACCTCCGCCGCAGGCAGCAGTGGTGCCGCCCACGAGGATTACACTTCAGCAGGCTCAGCAGCGCGTTTCCGCTTTCGAGGTTTACCGCAAGCCGCAGACGCCGCGCGGATCGCAATCGCCGCCGCAACAGCCACCACCGCCGGCCCCAGCTCTGGGATTGGCTGCCCAATCCGGCCAGCTGCCCAATGCCGAGAGCTTTGAGAAGCGGGTGACCGCCATTAGCGACTCGCTGCGCCACGTGTCCTTTAAGCAGGGACAGGCCAGCACCACGGAGGTGTTGCAACGGCTGCGGGAGCAGAACAACTCTCTGCTCCATCTCTGCAATGACCTAAGCGACGAGCTGTTGAATGTCCAGACACGCAAGGAGGAGATGCGACTCAAGCTAGAGGGACTGAGTGCCGGTGATGCCACTGGACGAACAAGCTCCTCCATATCCGCCCCGGTGACGGCGAATGTGACTGGTGGATCCTCGGGTTCGGCAGGTGCTGCTTACACCAACGTTTGAACAGCGAAAAATAATCATGTTTACTAGGGTGAATCGATTTGTTCAACAAGAATTGGAGCGGAGGAAGCTTCTTTATCTAAGGCCTTGCATCTCTTCTTTTATAATCTCTTAAGCCAAAAATTTAACATTCCTTTTAAAGTGTTACCATGTTTTTTTTTTTTCTTAACTAATTGTTGGACTTATTATAATTTTCCTTAGACTGCCTTTATTAAAACAAATATTTGGTTTGCAAAAATGCTTAAAAAAAATCTGATAGCTAAGTGTATGCGCTATTTATTTTTTCTGACCACTTATGTACAAGTTGAGAAGAACATTGGCTTGCTTTTTTTTTTTTTTTTCATTCAAACAAATCGATCCACCCTTAATGTTTAAAACTTATTTTGTTGTTTCTGTATGTTGCAAGCACAATTAACTAATCGGGGTGTTTACACAGCGATAAGACTGAGCAATCGTTCGAGTAAGCGACTAAAATTTCCGTCAAAATGTCTTTTTTCTAGAGAAAATATTTACATAGTCTGTGGAAAAATAATCACAAGATCAGCAAACTTCTAAATTCCCTGTATTTACATTGCTTACTCAAAAGTATGCTCAGTTTTAAGCTGATAAAAGTCAACCTAATGGAGCTGGTACCGCGTCCGTTTATGCATGGAAATTGCTAATTTAATTTGTAGGCTAGTTAAATCTCAAGAACACAAAACAAATCATGCGAGAACAGCAACAATAATGCCGCCTCTATAGATATTTATGCAGATCAATTTATATATGTATACATATATGTATATGTAAATTAAGAGATATATGTATATGGTATATGCGCTTCTCCTAATTGTTCGCTTGACAGCCACCCGTATCTCACCCTCACACTAGTGATTAATGAAACTGCCACAAAGTGGTCCAATCCCAGCTGTAATATTGCCTGCTGCGAAGGCATTTTTCTTTCCAATTTGCTATTTATTAATGTTTTGTGTATGCCTCGAAAAAGCGTCCCCTTCTATTCATTCCTTCAGTGAAAACTAACATAGAAAACAAAAAGAATCACAAAAAAAAAGAACCTAAAACAAAAAAAAATAATAATAAAAAGCCAGGCTTAATTTTTAAGTATTAGAAAAGTCAAAGGTTAAAAAATCGACAACCAATTCATTTCCTTTAAAGCTTAGCTTAGGTTTTTCAAAAAAGTACATACATATTAATATATTTTCTATCTGTATAGTGTACACGAAAATACAAACTACTACTTGATATTATGTACATTTACCAAAATTTCTTTCTACGACTAAAGAAAAAGAAAATAAGATTGAAACAGGAGACAAATTTAATTTACCCGGACCACTAAATGTGTACGTATATGCTAACTTCGAATTTATCAGATATACCGGCATATATCACTTCTTTTGCATACTTAAACCAGTAGATGTATGAGTTTTTCTTCAACTTGTTAAACATTTTCAAAGATCTACCACATAACACAACACAATCACACGAAAAACGAAACAAAACGATATGTAATGAAAAGAAAAAGTGATATTGAAACACTATGTAAGCATATTATTACGTGGCTGCGTAATCAATGTGTATTGTTTTGATGGATATACATCTCTATGAATAAAGATAAATGTATTAAGTTGATGTTAAAATGCTAAACAAAAAAAAAAAAAATGTAATAAAAACGAAAATGCAACGGAAGATTTATTAAATTCGATTTCGAAAGGGCGCCGATAGGCATGTGTCCAGCCCTGGCGATAACAGACGCTGGCCGCTATCGATTGCTCCTGCACACGCCGCAACACATCTCTAAGGCTTTGCGGCATTGAGCAAAATTTTTGCAAAAATTTGTGACTTTACGCAGCACAGCTACCTAAATGCTTTAGTTTCGCAAAGCGACCGAACAATAGCTGCAGGCCAGAGTTTCCGTGTACCGGCCGGGTGCAATTCGCAGGAGAAAAAGAGGCGATCCAACTGCTGCATATTGAGAGGATTGGGCAGGTGAGTGCGAGTCGTTGCTGGGCCCAAACTGGCGAAATTAATGTGTACCCCCATGCCGTTTCGCCTCCCACCTGCAGTCAGCCGATGTGTCAATGTTAATCGCGCTCTTCGCGCTTGCACACTTGCCAATCTTTCGTAAGACGCCGCCCCCAGCCTCTCCGTCGCCCCCGCCGTCTGCCACCCAGTCGCCAAGGTGTGGCACCGCGACCCATCCACCGCCAGCAGAAATCCGCATCAGCGCTCCGGCCATTGACGCAGCATCCGAGATGAGTAGTGGCACCGACCAGGATCAGCCCATAGCCGCCAACGGCAATGCGGCGGAGACCCAGGAGGTGGAAATTATGTGCGTACTGCTGCTGCCTGTTTCCCATTATATCATCTCCGTAGCTACAATATAACTATATTGCATTACCTCATCCAGCAACTTCCTGCCGCACGAGAAGCAATGCTGCCGCGTCATCAGGGCCAACCATACCAAGGTCCTCACCTCCGGCGGTGTCCACACACGCGGCTCCTCCAAGGTCAAGCTAAAGAACATCGTCGACTACAAGTGGGAGCGCAAGTACTACTACCCGGGACACCTGGTGGCTGTCCATCGCGATGGCAAGCACCTGGCCTACGCCATTAATGGTGAGCTTTGTTTATTCCCTAGGGAACATCATTAAGGGTTTTTGTCATTTGGCTTATTACCTTTTCTTTCTATTATTCGTTTCACATAAAATTCGCGATCATTAATAATCATTATTAATTAAATATAACTCTAAATTATGCAATATACATAAGTATTTAGTCTTGTTTCAAATAAACACTGGTTTGATTATGTGATTTCAAAGTTTATATGAAGGAATTGTCTCCTTGCAAGTTTTGAATGTTTACGTTTGTGAAAAGAAAAATCTCATGTCAAAGAAATATTAAGGTTGATTTATCATCAGCGTATTAAGATAATGTCATTGGCAGATTATAAGTGTTTTGGGAAAAAAAGAATCGGATAGATGTGCCTATTAGATTTCATTTTCCTATTAGTATTTTCTTGCTACAAAGGATAAATTGTCGTATTCACTAAATGATACTTAATTTCTCAGGACATTTTATTTGTAAAGCTTAACTGCTGAAACTATAAACCACATAGAAAGCAGCTTCTTAATTAATCAAAACTGCATTATTCTTACAGTCAACAACAAAGCCACTGGCATGGAGGGCATGGTGCGCGTCTGCAACATCAGCAGCAGCATGCGGGCTTTAATCAAGGGGATGAGTGGCGAGGTCTTGGATCTGCAGTTCGCCCACACTGACCGCGAACGCATTCTGGCTGTGATCGATGTCAGCTCGCTGTTTGTCTACAAAGTGGATCAAATCGAGGGTAATCTTCTGTGCAATCTTGTACTGAAGGTGGAGGACCCGATTGCCAACTATGTGCCGGAGTACGACATGGTCTCCTGGTGTCCCTACGTCTGCAGCACCAACTCAACTGTTCCGATCAACGACGAGGACGATGAGAATCAGCTGCTCATTTGGTCGCGAAGCTCGCAGTTTCAGTGCTTCCATGTCAAGATGATTGTCTCTGAGCATGGGGTGCGTTTTGCTTTAATTTCCAAGTCATTAATATATTAATAGGATGTTTTTTCCGAGCAGCGTGGTAAAATTCAACCGGGTGCCCTGGAAACTGGATATCTGAAGATCGAGGAGGACTCGCTGATCACCTGCGCCGCCTTGTCGCCGGATGGCACCACAGTGGCCGCAGCCTGCGCCGATGGCTTGGTCCGCTTCTACCAAATCTATCTGTTCGATGTGCGCAATCATCGTTGCCTGCACGAGTGGAAGCCACATGATGGCAAGAAGGTCTGCTCACTATTCTTCCTGGACAACATCAATAAGCCTGTTGAAGAGTAAGTATAATAAAGTAAAGAACTCTTCAAATTACCATCTTAAAATGTAGTGCTCACAAGAAACCTTTTAGAATGTAATTTAATTTAAACAACTCTCTTGTTTTTAGTTCCTACTGGCAGCACGTAATCACCACCAGCGATGCCAATACTGAGATCAAGTTGTGGAACTGCTCGCTGTGGGAATGCCTGCAGACTATTAACGTGGTGGCAAGTAATCCGTCAACAGGGCAACCCGGAAACTTCATTGCGGGCATCGATCGCAGTGCCAGCTATTTAGTGCTATCCTGCCTAGACTCGCTGGCCGTCTATGTGATGCAGATCGCAAATACTGCAGGCGTAGAGCGCAACGATGGAAACAGTGACAGCGAGGGAGATGGAAGCGACTCCTCCAAACGTATTCAGAACGTGGCCGAGTTCAAGCTCAGCTCGGGCATTCTCTCCTTTTCGATTGTGAACGCCAGCATGCGTCGAGTGAAGAGCTCCATCGAGAGCTACTATCCCATCGAGGAGCCCGATGACTTTGACGACGACACCAACTCCACCAGTGCGCTTGTGCTGCACATGTTTGTGGTGCAGGCCAAGAGCCTACAGGAGTGCCAAATCATTTACCAGCCGTGCGTGGCGGTGGCCGAGAAGCCAGAGCGACGCAGCCTGAGCAGCAAGCGTTCCGAGACGCCGGAGGATAATCTGCTGATCAAACAGGAGCCGGATTCACCGAACAACGGATCGGCGGGCACAGTGCAGCTGGATGCTCTGTTTGCCAAATCCGCCAAGCGATCCTCAACGGGCAGTTCATCTGCCATTGTGGCTGTGGCAGCAGCAGCAGCTGCTGCTCCTTCGGCCGTTCTGCAGGATGCAGAACTGGGCTCCGCCTATCCGCAACATGTGAATCTCATGACCCCGGATGCATTCAGTGCCAGCGGCACCTCAGCGGCAACTGCTGTGGTGGTGGCCTCCAGCACCACGACTACGACAGGAACTGATAGCTCGGCAGCCGGCGGCGGCGGAAATGACCGATCGATTGATTCGGCAGTACTGCAAACACTTCGTATGCTGGCCACGGTTACGTCCAAGACATCGGAAAACCAAAATGCAGAGGTACTGCTTAATCTCATGAACAACACACTGATTGAAGACCGTGAGCAGCAGAAGCTGAAGGAAAAGCTCGATGCTCGCAAGAAGTTCGTTTCCATCGATCGAAATCCGGAGCGTAATGTGGCTGAGAACTTGGCAAGCGGCGGTTCGAGTCCGAGCCGCGAGGTGCAGGAGATAATGGCCACTCAGGAGGATGCCGATGCCTATGAAGCGGAGCTCGAGAATCTGGATGATGATGATGACGATGAGGAGGAAGAGCTGGCCATCTCATCGCCACTGTTGGAGGCAGTGGATGGTAACTGGCCCATTGTTAAGTTGCCATCGCTTACCAACTCTGCTGAGCTCCAAAATGCTGCGCAAATCATGTCCCAGGCGGTGCAGAACACCAACAATGGCAATGTGCCGCCCACGCTTGGTGGTGGCAGTAATAACAATAACACCAGTGTGGCCAGCAACAGCAACAACAACACGGCCACAACGCTGAACACGAGCAACAGCAGCAGCAACAACAACGCAGGCGGTGCTGGGGATGGCTCAAGTGGAAATGGAGAGCTGAATGCCAAGCTGGAACTACTTTTAGGTGAGTATTTGTGATAAAAAAGAACTTAGTTCAATAAAGAAAGCTATAGTCGAGTGCATCGACTATTAGATACCCAGTCAACACTACAATTAAGAGCGAGCGGCACTTTTTGCTTCCGCTCTTTCAGGCAAACTCCGTTTTTCAAATATGCAGAGTGACGTCATAATTAAAACTTTCCAATTAACTTCAAAAATAATGGTTCGATTAAAAACATTTTTGGTGTGTCGATAGATATTGATCGACTTAACATATACCGCCCAAGAACTGGCAACTACCATATAGATAAAGAATATATATATATATATGTAGGGATTAAATAATACCCTATTACACAACTAATAGCAGGTATAATATTATGGGATTAATATGTTTATCGCATAAGTAAAATTGCATATAGCCACAAACTCCCCTTGCTTTCTTTTCAGACCTTGTTAAGGCTCAATCCAAGCAACTGAACAAACTGGAGCACGAGGTCACCAAGCTGCAAAAACAGCAGGAGGCGGTGGTGGCCCAGAATAGCAAACTGGATGCTTCTTTGGAGCCCAAAAATGTCAATCAGCTGGCATACAAAATCGAGATGCAGCTGTCCAAGCTGATGGAGCAGTACCTCAAGCGATACGAAAATGAACATAAAAAGAAATTGACCGAATTCCTGGCGGCGCGGTGAGTTCGGAAAAACTTATAGATCAGAGAATGTTGTAATCCAAACAAATCCCTTTTTTACAGTGAGAGTCAAAATCGCGAACTACGCGACTCTGTGCTTCAGGTACTAAACCAGTACGTAATGAATCACTTTACGGACATTATTGGCAACGTTCTCAACATGGAACTGCAGCGACAATTGCTGCCACGAGTGAATGCCAAGATGGATCAGCTGCAAGCCCAAATGCAGGTCGAGATTGTACAGAAGTTGAGCGTGTTTGACAAGACGGTCAAAGAGAATATTGCCCAAGTATGCAAGAGCAAGGTATTGCATCATTTGAAACCCTTTTTTTATGGGAGTTCGTCATTAACAGTTTACTATCAATTCAATAGCAATTTTTGGATACCTTTGGCAAGTCTGTGTTGATTGGCGTGCAAACCAGTCTTCAGACCGCGTTCATTGAATCCATGAGCAGCACCTTGATTCCAGCTTATGAGAAGTCCTCGCAGAACATGTTCAAACAGCTGCATGACGCCTTCAGCGTGGGCATTAAAGATTGTGAGTATAAGATTAAAAAGGGCAATAATATTAATAGTAAAATACGCCTTATGACTTTATTGAAAGACTAGTTGTGTATTATTGAGATGTAATGCCTGTGAACATGATTTAATTTATTGGTACCCTACTTTCTTTCAGTCATGGTCCAGTTCAATACCTACCTGCAGCACATGCCACAGCCCCAGGTTGTGGGTGCCAACTCCGAAGAGCTGAACAACAAGCTGACTATGCTGAAACAGCTAGTGGAGAGCAGTCTGCATAAACATCGCACTGAACTAACGGACGCCATGCTGGAAACGCAACGAGAGGTGAAGAGTTTGGAGATATTGCTGGCACGCCAGGTGCAGGAAACGATCCGGATTGAGCTGCGCAAGCACATGGAGACCCAGAACATGGCCATGCGTTCGCAGGCAGCCACACCGGCACCCCCGTACGACCTGAGGGACAGCATTAAGCAGCTCCTGCAGACGGGACAGATCAATAAGGCCTTCCATCAGGCCCTACTGGCCAACGACTTGGGCCTGGTTGAGTTCACACTCCGACACACGGACAGCAACCAGGCCTTTGCTCCCGAGGGATGCAGGCTGGAGCAAAAGGTTCTGCTGTCGCTCATTCAACAGATATCCGCTGACATGACCAATCACAATGAGCTTAAGCAGAGGTGTGTTAAGAAAGAAAGCGAACTAATTTAGCTTATCGTATTAATATACTCATTTATTTGCAGATACCTCAACGAGGCTCTACTGGCCATCAACATGGCTGATCCAATTACCCGCGAGCACGCCCCCAAAGTGCTTTCCGATCTGTATCGCAATTGCCAGCAGTTCATCAAGAACAGCCCCAAGAACTCGCAGTTCAGCAACGTACGGCTGCTGATGAAGGCGATCATAACGTACCGCGACCAGTTGAAATGATATCAAGAGAACTTCAACCTGGCCAGCGGCTGGTACTGATAGACTAACCATCCGATCCCGCCTGGCCATCCGATCCCCATCCAGGATAGTTAATCTAGGACCACACACACACACACACACACGCATTAATACATACACGCTTGTAGTTAAGTCCAGAATGCAGTTCATCCCTGCTAAAAAGCTCTCAGTTAAAATTTATTCTACGCCTCTCATTTTATTGTTTATTTGTTTTGTGCGTGTTTTGTTTTAAGGCTTTATATCTTATGTTAATGTCTCTATATCGAAACTGTATTAACCCTAGAAAGATTTTCCTAAAAATGACAATATTGTTTTTTTATAATTAAATTTTTGCACCGATCTGCGAGCAGTTCGCCTGTGCTGCCTTTTTAGTTTCGTTCCATTAGGCTTTCTTTTTATAATAATGACGCTTACTGAAGAAAAGAAAACAAAAAACACTAGAAACTGAGCTGTAGAAATAAATAAAAATGATTTCCAAAAGAAAAGAAACTTTCGATTATGACATCAGACGAACAACACAACAAACAATTTTGATGATTGCAAATGCAAAAACTACAAGTAAATCGTAGATATTAAGCTAAAAACAAAATGATTAAAAAAAAAAACTAAAATTTATAATAAACAAAAAATAAATGTATGTACTTGAAAAATACCGAGAAATAGTTTTGTGTCGTTTTCACATTCCTTTGGTCATGTGTATAGTTCCATTTAGCTTACCCTCTTAGCTTAGCTAGTAAATGGTCATATATTTCTCATTGTTATGCAAATCGTACAAAAATCTTTCGCTTATTGACTAAAAAACACTTAACTATTTTGATATCCACAGCGATGAAAAGAAAGATTACCAAATTTAAGCTCAGCTCAGCAGTGCTAGTAGCTCCGATGTGCGCTCCAAGCACTTGCACCCACAGGTCGCACACACCTGGTGTTTCTGTAAGAAAAATTATATATATATGTTTATTTTATGGTATGACTAGCAAAAAAGATAGATGCAAATCCCTGAAACATTTCCAATAAAGGCCTGTTTCTGACCCTTAACACTTTTAGAGTTGCCTAAACCATATGACCTTTTCAATAAAAACATTTAATTATTTAAAAAATTAAAAATAGACGTAGTTATGCATTTATAGGTAACAGGTTAAAGAAGTTTCTTGTAGTTTATTTAATTTAAATTCTAAAATTGTTGCAAACAAAACAAAACTAAGTTTTTGATTAACATTTTTGAATTAAAATATTTTTGAATATATTTTTTAAACAAAAATAAATGTTTCTTGTAAAAGCATTTTTTTTGATTTGTAAAAGAATCAGAAGGCTCAAACAAAAAAAAAGCAATCAAAGTAAAATCTAATAGTAAGTCTTAGGAATGGTACTCACCTCGAACCACTGCATCATGTGATCCATGTGACCGCCATGGCCACAGGCGAGACAGGCGTTGGCTGCTCCCTTCACGGGCAGACGGCAGAGGACACAAAAGAGTACGGGTCGCTTGCAGGGCTCGCACTTGGGCGTCCGCTTGGGCTTGGCACACGTGCCGCACTCGGTAACGAATTCCACACCCTGGACGGGCGGTGGCATGTTCTGGGTGTGCTTGAGGATTAGGGCCCGTTTCGAGAGCAGCTGCCAACCGAAGAGAATTTCGGCGTACGATCGCTTAAACTGATCGAACAGTGGCACCTTGGCGCGCCTGATCAACGAACAAGCATATGCATCCGGCTGGACCTGCTGCTTCACCTCCAGATCCAAGGAGTCGGACCAAGAGTTGCTGCGCAGTTGCTTCAATTGCTGGCCAGTGATGGATGAGAACGATGACTTGACGTCTAGCGGCAGCACCGTGTGGTACGGAGAAATCTGTGAGTTCAGCTGCGGCGGAAGTCGACTGACCATATCCATAATGACACCACCACCCGTTGGACACTTGTCAAACAAACAGGCCAGCAGGACAGCTGTCTGTATGTCACCGGCGCTGGCATAATGCATTATCAGCGATTCAAGGAGGGATTTCTTGAAGGGATCATTGTAGAACACCAGCTCGTTGAGCGTCTCATGAGGTACTTGGGGTGTGGCTATTAGTTCGGCCAACAGCCACACGGGCACCAAATCCAAGCGTCCATGCTGTCGGCAAATCTCCCCATTCCTCCGACACGTCTCCGCTATGTTGTGCTTATCCAGCGAGAACTCCCTGGCCATGCTGCGACTAATGTGAAGCATACTACTGGTGTCGTATACGTGAACCACCGGACTTCCATTCATCTGCCGGATAGCACGCTGTTTACCCGGTTTACCCGAAATCATTCGCTCCTGCAGATAAAACGAGGCATTGGCATCCCGCTGGGCCGTGGCCATAACATTGCCCAGCAATCCACTGCCATTTATGGCCGAGAAAGTCCTGGGCGTGAGGGCCGTGTGTTGGCGCAGGGTTAGCCGTTTGTTGTTCACCGGCTGGGCGAAGGTGGTCAGCATGCCAACGGCATTGAAATGCACCCCCGATGTACGTGGATATGGAATGCAGGCATCGTGCAGGGTGCTGGACAGAGCTCCTTCCAGCCGAGGCGATTGCAACAACAGTTGACTACGATCCGCTCCGCCCACAGCTGCCACCCGTTTCTTCATGGCCGCCACCAGGGCGCGAAGACACTGCTCCAAACAGGTGCGTGATTTTTTCACGCGCTGCAATGAATTGCAACGCAGCACCTTAAGCAGAACACCACTCACTTCGCTGGAAAGCGTGGTGCCTTGGCAAAACTGAAAATCTGGCGGCGCACTGGGACTTGGATACGAGGTGGCGAAGGTCACCTGCAGGATCACTGTATGACCGCCGGCACAAATCTTGAAGCAGGCGTACCGCTTAATGGCATCCAGCGTGTCCACCTCCACGTGTGGCATGTTCGTGTTGAGCAGCGAGAACTCGTGGTGCAGCGAACAAGTGGGCTGATCTGTTAGAGACCTGGCGATGTGCGGCTCCTCACGGCGATAGTAACCACCGCCAAAGCTGGGAGAGCGAGCCATGGGCAGCGTGTTGCATGCTCCGTCACCCGTGGAAATGGGTAACGAGGCGGCTACCAAAATTGAACGTGGATGCAGGAACTCCGGTGGAGTAGGCACTCGCAACTCACTGAGGTCCGGCTCGAAGCGGGATTCCTCTTCCTCGGCAGACGGCTCGCAAAGTTTCAGCATATTGTCGTCGATTTTCCACACTCTCAGGGTGCGATCCCTGGACCAGGTCACCAGTTCCTAAAGGAAACCTCCATATATAGTTTCGAAAATAAGAGTGTGCATTTGGTATTTACTATTTCTGTGGAACTCTCGCGATTGGGACGCCAGGCAAAGTCCAGAATGACATCGGTGTGACCCACAAAGGAGCAAATGGGATCCGTTTGCTTGCTGTTGCTCCAGAGTAGCAAGCTATTCTCGCCGCGACCCAAGTGGGGCACCACAATGCTCACTAGACCGTTGCCAATGGGCTGCATTAGATAATTAAAGCTAAAGGTGCATATCTTATACAAATAAGTAATATATATTACCGTGTATCTTGCTCTCCACACGGGAGACATAGTGGTGATGATCTTCTCCGCCCGGCGTGGATTGCAAACATCAAAGTACTTGACCGTTCCATCCTGACTGGCGGTGGCCAGGCAGGTCTCCCTTTTGTGGCTCCAATTGATGCCGTGCACTCTATTCAAATGCGCAGTGATGTAGTGTGTGGGGCAGCTGCCCTTGCGAATGTCCCAAATGCGTAGATCTCCATCGTGGGCGGCAGCCAAGAGGTTGCCAGAAACGCGATTGAAGCCCACTTGTGTGGCACCGGCTAAGGATATTACAATATTGAACGTATTAGAGAAGCCTTCAAACACTTTTGAACACACTCACACATGCAGACGGCATTCAAGGACAAGGCTGGTTTCCTGGGTTCCCTCAAGTCCCAGATGTGCGAGAAGGTGTCTATGGAGCAGCTGACCAGCAGATTGGGATCCTTGCCGTGCCAGTCGATGTCGGTCACGGTGCGAGTGTGCCCGCGCAAGGACATCTCGTAGTGGGGCTCCGCAATGCCCCAGCGCACAATGTCTATGTGCTGACTGGTCTGGAATTGGTAGGAAAACAGGAATAGATTACAATAGCCCAATATTAACATATATGTATGCCTCACCGCTATGGCGCAGTACTCTTTGCGACTGGGACATATGGCGAATTCCGCCACTGAGACCTCATACTTGGACTGCCGCTCGTGTCGGCGCAAGGAACCATCGTCCTGTCCCAGGCGCTGCAGGGCCAGGTGACCGCGTCCCGCGAGGAGCACCCACTGGCCGGAGTAGTCCACCGACATGGCCGTGGCCTGGGAATCGCGATGCTCATAGTATTTGTTGCTCTGCCTGATGATGTACGTTTGCTCTGGGCCGGTGCCCCCCGATCCTCCGGCTCCGCCGCGTTCCCCCGGACGCAGTGTCTCTGTGGGTGGCATTTGGTCTGCTACTGGGAGTGCTCAGACAACATAAATTCTACTATTTAATCCATTTTTGTAACGAACGAAAAGAAAACGAAAAAACTGAACTGATAAGAACGATGGACAATAACAACTAGAGAAGGAACAAAAGTCGATCATTATGCGATACTATCGAATGCAACAAATGCATCAGGGATGGATTGAATTTATCGTTTATCGAAATTGTCGGTTTTATTTTCAATCCATAAATGTTTAGTTTTTAAACTTACAAATATTTCACGAAACCAAATCCTTAAAAACCAAATCCTTAAAAAAATGTGAAATTTAGAAAAACATACAACAAGGTTTAAGTGAGAGGCAGACTTTCTTGTATTAAAGTATAGCTGGCATACGTATCGTATGAGTAATTTTATTGAAACTTTGAAAACATCTTAAAGCGCTAATAAAAATAAACCCTCTTATTAAATAAATATTTTTAAATTGTCTCATTATTTATTTTCGAATGGTCAATAAAATATATAATTATAAAAATTATACTAGATATTAAAAAACATTACAAAAATATACTAAACATTGTTTAAAAAAATAGTATAGTTTTAAAGTCCCAAAAGGCAATTATTTATTTTACCGTCCCTTTTCTTGATTTTGTTATTTTTAATTTAATTGATTTGTAAATCAAAACCAAGAACCCAAGATCCCGAGTTAACAATTACAAGCCACCATCATAAGTTCGTTTATTTCCTCGACTTCAGTAATAGTTTATTGTTTATTTTACATACACAAAGTAATTCCGCGGATATTACGATTATTAGTATTTTTGTCAGTTTATTGTCCTCTAAGTAATTGGGAAATAGACAAATTCCGCTATAACTACCATGGCTATATAAGTAGGTGCATAAGACTGGGAACTCCTTACGGCAAAGGCTAAAATTGGATTATTATACAATACAATCGTCGGCTATTTCATAGAAATAAACTAGGTTTTTCTTGGCTAAGGCTACGTAAATGGGTTTCAAGTCTTTGACGTCGAACACTCCATTGAGGAAAAAGGTTCGTAAGCTTATCTATGGCAATAGCAGAACATCTTAAGGGCCGGATCTTTGAGGCAGTAGCTCTGGCTGCCGTACAGATTCAACCGGCTGATGGTGCCCGTTAGGACGGTCGTGTAGCCCGTCATCCGCACCGTGGACTCAAAGACGCCCAAGCCGGGCTTCGTCTGCAGCCGCAGGGTAATGTCCACCGCATAGTCCGTGGATATGTTCTTCACGATCTTCGAGTGCGGCGCCGCAATCAGGGCCTGCAGTATGGAGTTCAGGTAGAGGGTCCTGCACTGTGTGCTATCCTTCAGTCGATTGTTAATTAGCCGCACCAAATACCTCGCTGCCCGCTGCACACGCTGGTCGTTCGTGGGCAGCTCCTGTCGCTGATGGCAGGTGCACCAGTGGGCGGCAATCCCAGCCTGCTCGCACGTCCTGGCCGCCGGAATGGGCACGAACAGGCTGATGCCCCGTGGCAGTGTGCTGTCCGGCTCCTCGAGCTCAGCCGATCTGCGCAACAACTGATCCGCCTCCAGATCCCGCAGATTCAGCAGCTGCACCATTGTTGCATGCACATCGAATGGTGTGGTCAGTCGGCGGGCATTCAATCTTAGATTCGCTATCGCCTCCGGATACCGTTCGTTCATCCAGGGCGGATAGAGCATTATCATCAGGGGCTGTCGCTCCTCCATCATGCCCTGGTAGGTCCGACGAAAGGAACCCCATCTCAGTCCGTGATCTGAAAGCAGCATCACCACCGTGCGATTGAGCACTCCCGACTCTTGCAGCTGCGTTAACTGCGTCAACATGGCCTTGTCCAGCAGCGAGGGAAAGTTGAAGTAGTCATGGGTTAGGGCCACGGTCCAGAAAAAGGAGAAGAAGAGCTGGCCGCTCATCCGCGGGACCAGTTTCCTCATGTACTCCAGCAGCACATCAGCCGTCCGGCGGCTGCCCATGCACAAGTGCATGTTGAGGTCCTTCTTAAAGGCCACATTCCTCTCCATTTCCATGATCATGGGCCGCAGATAGTAGTCCGTGGGCTGCTTCCTGAACCCGTTCTGGTTGTAGTTAAAGGACGACAGCAGTGCCACATCCTCGGCGAAGGCGGTTCGATAGCCAGCCTGCTGGTAGCGTTTCCAAATGAAAGAGCACCGATCGTAGGACCGCAATGTCTTCGGCGTACAGGCCAGATTGAGTTCCTGGTCATCCAAGCCGCTCAGCAGGGGCACTATGTTGGGAAAGGTGTTGTCGCCCACCTTGTTGTAGCCCCATAGCTCCACGTGGGACAGGTGCTTCCGGATGTAGTCCGCTGTTTGGCGCATCTGGCGCAGGAAGTTCAGGTGCGACAGGCTGTCCATGCCCAGGAGCATCACCGACAGACGTTCATGTGCATCCTTGCTCTTGTTAAAGCTGACCCTTTCGGTTCCGGGTTTAATTGATGCTCTCACTCGTGGCTTGTCCACCGCAAAAAAGTGGCAGTCTTTGTAGAAAAGCCTGTCCAAGGAATCATAGCACCACATGCAAATGAACTCCGAGTCAAGTGGCAGTTGAACCACTTTGTCCAGTTTGAAACTCACAGCCGGACTGTATGTGTTAGCGGAGTCCGACTTGCGTTTAACCTCCGTGAAATTGCAGCTCACGGAGGACAGATCGCTGATGTTATAGTAGGCGAGTAGTTCGCCGGCATCTAGATTGAGCAGCAGCTGCCCCGGCACCGAGTCACTGGTCCGGACCAGTGCCCTGTTGCAGCTGTACGGACGCGGCTTGAACATGAACTGGGCAATGGTGTCGTCGGTGACCTCGAAGTGCGGCATCCGGCAGCCCGCCGTGTCCACGAAATAGGCCGTCGTCAGATTGCCGCCGTAATGGTCCTCAAGGCGGGCCATGAAGTCGAAGCCATCGCGGAAACGGAGCAGCTTCGTCCGGAGGTTGTAGTCCACGCACAGGTAGGAGAACACGCACAGGCAGAAGATCACAATCACAATCTTCTTGAACTGACCACGGTTCTTGTTCATGTTGTAGTAGCGATAGTAGTGCTGCAGGTCCCTCTTGGTCATAAACTTCGGATCCAGCAGGTATTTGCTTCTGTTGGAAAACAACACGATTGTGATTAACTTGATTTGTGTGTCAGGCAAGAAAAGCCACGTAGAAGTGTTTACAATAGGGTCGAGATCTGTCAAACATGCCTTGAACATCGTCTAGGTAAGCCGATATGAATTGATTGGTTTTAAATAATATTTATATATTAAATATGTTCGGTTAAAATAAATTATTGTTACCTTCACAAGCTAGGTTCATGTTCTATTAACCTTGTGTATTTTCTGTATTTTTGATAAATAGTTGAAAATTAAGCAGATATGCAGTGTGTTGTATAATAATTTAAATAAAAAATTAAAATGTATTCATAGTCCCTATTAAATTCATATTTTTTGTATAGACTATATAAATTATTAACTGTGGTGCTTTCCTATACTTCTTTACAATTCCAAAATTTTCTACAATGAAATTGTTATAAACTCAGTCTAACTGGTTTCTTAGCTTTGAAAACAATTACTTAATTTATTTTAAAATTGGTGAGTTTCATTGCCTTTGAACTTCACTTAAGTTCCTCTTATAAGCCGATGACCTTTCAATGATTACCGCAGAATTCTGTTAGGTTCATTGTATTCTCTTAAAAGCTTAACAGTTTTTTATGCTGTCAGCCATTAATTAAGGCAACAAACAATATAATGAATGCCCGAGACAAGAGAGAAGTGTTCCGAGTGGCCACTCAGTCGAAAGTCCTTAATTTGCTGCCCACCTAGGCCATCCTCAACCCACTTTTAGGCCCAACAACCCACCACACCCTCCAGAAATGGGGTTCCTGTGTCAAGAAATACCGGAGAACGTGATGCTGTCGATGTATTCCGATTTAAGTCGAGGCTAGCTCATGAATATGCAGCCGAGGAATGCCCAACAAAGTAGGCAATACAAAATGAACATACAAAACACTGTTGCAGTGTAAGAAAGAAAAGAAACACTGAGGAAAAAGAGCTTGACTTAACTCAATTAGCAAATGGTACGATTTTAGAGTTTTTAACAATTTTCGTGGCATTGATATTAAGCAAGTTACAAGTTACAAACCAATTTTAAAGCATTTAAAATATATTTTATTTTGCTTTGAACTAAGCTTTTAAAACTTTTATCCAGTGTCTAAAGACTACGAGGCTTGCCCTTGTAAATCCAAGTCTACGAAGGTTTGTTATAAATTTCATGTTATAAATCAGAAGAAGAAGATTAGGATTTAAGTTTTATGCCTAACCAAAATTAAATTAAATTTTTATACAAAATTTAAACATAAATTAAGGTTCTTTTCAATCTATCAAACTCTTCCTGAAGTCGTATATAAAGTTCTGTTCAGTGTAATCCATTTTTTTTCGGGCCAGGTGAAATCCATTCAAAAGAATTTTCTTTCCAATCCATCCGATTGTGGACAAAAACAAATTTTCAATTGACACTTGGAATTGCATTTTGCTCGAGCAAACACACGGTGGCATCAAAGGTATAAAGGATTAAGGATAAAGGGGCATGTGAAGGGGAAGTGGAAGGGGATAAGCGTTGAAATGGCATTCGGCTTGAAAGCAAACAAGAGATGACACACAATGACACACCTGTGCTCAACCCCTACCCCTTCCTCCCCATTTTTTTTTTGTTATCCTTTGATGTCTGCCCATTTTTGGTACTTACTCATAGCTCAAGTCGCCGTATTTTCGCATGTCCTTTGCCGTGTAGTAGGTACGCATCTTGGCGACACTTGCGAATCGTGATGCGCCCAAAGTCCCCCCGTTTGTATCACCCTAGTGTCACCCCCACAACCCCCCCTGCTCAAGTCCTTGACATCCTGTTTGCTTTTGTAGTTAGTCCGCCTTTTGTTTTGCTCTCCGTGCTCTGCTTATTCCGCTAATTGTTTGTGGGCCACATTTTATGCACTTTCGATACAACAATTTTCACACGACTGCACTCGCTCTTCTGTCTGCATATCCTTCGCTCTCCGCCCTTGTTGTTTTTTTTTCCCCCAGTTTGTGGTGATGTTGTTGTTTTTGTTTGAGTTTTCAAGTGCCACGCTTTCGCTGCGAATTACTGCGGATTTGTTTCTGTTTCAGTTGGCTCCTCGTCGCACACTGAGTTTCGCAGGACTCGGAGGCTGCGGGCCTTCAGTTGACTGGAGCTGGATTACTGCCTCTCTCTGGCTCTCCCTGTGTTTTGACAGTACCGTTACTCGGGTGGGTGGCTTGGGCGCAGGCGCGTGTCCGTGACAGATGCTCCAGGGATGCTGAGAACCGGAAACCACACTCAAAGAAATCAGGAAAGAAGTTTGTAATTAGAAAAATTCAAAAAAATTATTGCCAATAATTTTTTTTTTTAATCTGTAACAATCTATTGAAAAATAAACTTTTTCATTTAAATTAATTTAAGTTACATATCGAAAACTGAAGCCCTGTTGTGAAGACATTTTTGTGTCCCGTTAAGTGGTAAATTAAAAATGTATTTTTTAATTTATATAGTTTTAGTAAATTTAATATATAAATGGTTAAAATAGTTCTTAGTTAATTTAAGATCATTAGAGAGTATGAACTTAATTGTGAGTTTATCTTTTGTGGTAACAAGTTCGGATAAAATCATAACTTCGTTCAACTATAACTTTATACTTATTTAAGTATTTCATTCAGAGCTTAAGCTGGAGTCATTAAATTATACACTAAATAACAAACAAAACATATATACATATATGAGTATTGACTTGTTTTTCTCTAGTTTATGGATTATTGGCTGGCCTTAATTACGATTTGCATGCTGCAATGACCCACACTGGGTAATTAATCGCTGGAATCCTTTTGCTTAGAAATGTTGTTTGGCCAATGAACCCTGATTCACAAATCTCCCGCTGTTCCTTTGGAGAAAATCTATATCTTTATTGTGGAAGAAATTTTAACTCATTTATAAGAAAATAGTAAAAGTTTATTTTAAATTTAAATCTTTAAAATTTCTTACAGCAGTTTTTTGGATTAATTTTAATCTTAGTTACAGTTTTCGTATTTTTCTTAATTTAATATGTATATTTAAAATTGAAAACTTATTGCACTGTTCGATATACATAAGTAGAAGCTCTAAGATCTGAAATATAATTTAAAATATAAAAAGATATTAGATTTAGATTTACTTTATTCAAGCTTTTCGGAAAGAAAGGTACTTGTTTTCATGTTTTAAAGTGATGCAAATCTTACATTTTTGCGAAAAATATTTCAAAATATATAATGTGCTGTAATCCGAAAAGAGTCTCTTATTGAATGTAAATGCACCGCATTTCAAGGGTTTTTAGCATGCAAAAAAACTTAATAGGCCCCCACACAGGCAGCCATTCAGCGCCAAAAATGGGAGGACACCTGCAGCGAGGAGTCAACTGAGTTCGTGGCCATTCAGGTCATCATTTTTCGGGCTTAACGAGCAACAAGTGGAGGCGAATCGAGCATTCCGCTCATTAGGCGAACCTACCGAAAAAGCGCAACAGGCTGCAACCACACACACACACACACACACACACACCCATGTCCTCCCACACACGCAAGGCAGATGTGTGTGAGTTAATAACTTGGCTGCAGGCAGGACATGGATTCTGATGTTCGATAATTACAGCAACAGCCATTGCCAAGGAGCAACAACAAGGACGCCGAGTGGGGGGGCTCAAATCGTAAATCAAAGTATGAAAAAAGCATTTCACTGTTGGACCAGCTCCATCCCGATTAACAAGCGTCTATAATGCTTCATTACTGTAAAAAAAAAAACGAACAGAAACAGCAAAAAAGCCAGTGAAAAGCCAAGGAATTGGCTGCTATAAAAGCGTCAAACGTATTGGGCCAACGCTTCAGTTGAATTTTCAAAAGTGTCGCACGCAGGACAGCCTTGATATTAATTAGTTTCCCGCCAGGAGCATACCAGAATGCATCAACCACCTGGGCAGAGACCAGTGCATGCTGCCAGGCGTCAATCTGCCAGGAGGAGGAGTCGAAGTCTCGCCAGGAACGAGAAGTGCCCGGCCGGCAGAACCTATCACCTGCCAGCCTTGTTGATTATCCTGCTCGTCCTCATCCAGAACTTTGAGCTGCACATGTGCCGGCAATTGATGAGCTACCCGGGCGTCAAACGATCCCAGGATCCCAAGGTCCTCACCATCGGTGGCAGTGCAGCCGGAGAGGTTGCATTGCCGGGGGCGGGCGCTGGGGATGACAAGCGGGCGGGCGGAAGGTCACCACCCAGCCAGCCGGAGGAGATATTCAGCGCCCCGGCCGACGAGGGCTATGACGAGTATCCGGTAAGCGAAATCGCCTAAATTTTTAACAAAAATTCCCGCGTGGGTGGTCACTGCTGGTCCATTTTTTTTGATTCCCTATCACCTTACACACAATTTGTAATTGTATATTTTTCATTTGATTGCTTTTCGGCTTTGACCCTAAGCTACATTTCTCCCCGAAAGCTGACCTGACGTCACATTATTTTGATTATGCCAGGTGCATACTAGTGGTGGGCCTAATGTTGGTTCTCTGGCCAAAACATTTTTGACGCGTGGGAAGTTGGTTTAAAGTACTTGGAAAGACGCGTGGGAAGTTAGTTTAAAGTACTTGTAAAGACATTAAGCTAATTGAAAGTGATTAGACAAAATAGTAGTTTCAACAAAACAGGTTCACATGGAAATATTTTTTTAAGGTTCTAGGTAAAATGATTAGATATAAAGTATTAAATAAACAGATGGTTTTTTACTAGTTTAAAGAGCATGATAATAGTGTATTTTGATATGTCCCCCTTTGTTGCATTCTTTTCAGAACTTCAGAAATGATATATACATATATATATATACATTTATAGTTCGTCTTAAAAAAGGTTCTTTTCAAATTATGATTTCGTAAAGGATTGGTGATATGAAATATGACACTTCCATTGGTGTAACATTCCATTGAAACATTTTGCCCGAAAACTATTTTCTTTCCACCTTTATTTTCATTAACTAGTTTTTCTCCCTAATAAACTACAACATAGAATACGTTTACATAAACATTTAACATTTGTTCAGACCACTTTAATATTCAAACGGTTACAACTTGGTTTTTCACAAGGTTCTCCTTGACATGGATAAAAGGATTGGTAAAATCTCAACAGGGGATTTTTTACAAATAATAGTTTATATGGAAACATTAATCATTCTTACTGAAAAACATTTTCAATTTAGTTACACACCATTGAAATATATAAATGGTTTAATTATATTTTACAGAAAAGTTTTTATAGAGCGCATTGTTTGGGTTTTAATTGGTTATTGATCTGATTTCCAAACTTAGTATGATACTATATAATTATTTTATTTACTTAATATTTTTACACACATATAGATGGTGGTTCCAAAGCGTGCTGCCCTACTGCTGGATCGGCTAATGGTCGCTTTGCATCATGCCCTTGAACAAGAACGAAGTGAGCAACGAATTGGCGACTTCTTCGGGGACAAAAACATGCTCAATGGCAAATTGGGCGAATACCACAATGGATTGGAGCCTCATCAAGTGAGAGAGGATGGTAAGTGTGGATATGGATTATAAATAAAGAACCTAATTGAACACAATGTGTAATGCAGGAATGTACAGCGATGATGATTCGGGAACAATGTTGGATTATGATTTCAAAGATTTGAATCAGATCAATCGCGCCACTGGCGAAACAGTAAGTTGGAACATAAAACCTAAATTGCAATATAAGACATAAAATTAGCAGCGCGATGTGTAAGAAAATTTCAGTTAATGCCAAAGAGCTTTCAGAGAAGAGCGGGCGCAGATCGATCTGGAACTTCCTCGTTAACCGGTTCCCCACCTGGTCCCCGGCGAATCCCACCATCCGGATCCGGCGGTGGCCGAGCGTACTGGCGTTGCTATTTCAATGCCGTCAGCTGCTTCTGAAAAACACCAGCAAAATATCCGCCTCTGGAGTGGGCTAAAAAAGCTCACACAAATAATACATAAATCCCAACTGATCTCCAGAGTGGTGTTTCTCAAACTGTTCAATGTCCATTTGGTTGCTGCTGTGAGAGTTGTTCGCGCCATTAACTGAAATCCCCAGAGTTCTGCAATTGTATCTAGTGGTATCTGTATCAAGTATCTGTATCTGTAACTTTAACTGTAACTGAATTTGTATCTGTGCATTTGTAACTCACTGTGAATCTGCGTTATAAATAAACAACCAACGATAAGTCAAATAGCATTCATAAATAAATTAATTCAAACACCCATATTCGTATGGGAATATAAATTCTATATATTTGAGGGTAATTTCGGGTAGACAGGTAATCCTTCCTATCCTGCCTAATTCTGACTGACATAGCCATAAATCGCAAATCTAAACAAATAAATTGCATGCCCTCAACTCGTGCTCCATTGCGATTCGGGTTGCAAATTGTAGGTGTGCTCCAAGCGGAAGTACATTTACTATCGGTCGATATCTAAATCTGTATATACTTTATAGGGCGAGGACTTTAGGTTGCATGGCTTAACTGATATACTCAAATGATTGATTATTATTAGTTAAGGTAAGACAGTTTAGTTTATTTATTGTGTTATTATAGCTCATTACCGTATTATTGCATATAAATTTTCAATTATTGTTCTAATATTATTTGTATACAAACATTGCATTATTAAATCATTTTAAAAATTGATTTAAAGCGCTTAGCAATTTTTGCTCCATTTAATAAGAATACCCTATTGAGAAGTTTAAATTATTTAGTTTTCCTCAATTCTGTAAGGTAAGATTTTCCACATTGCTACTATTTCTGCTTTTTATGCAAATCAACCACTCGAACTTCTGGCAAACTATCCACCGCCGATTGCCAACTCAAAGTTAATGCATAATATTAGCTCTGGGTCAACTGCCTCTTCATGATGAACTGTTAAACTAAACTGGCGATCGGTTTAATGTGCATAGCACGTTTATTGCCTGGCCACCTTGGCTGCGAAGTCGAATGGCAAAGTTTTATTGGCCAATAGCGGCTATTAATGAGTTTGTTGGAGCACACATTAATAGACTTTTATGTACATCTAATTGCCTCCATTAATTGATGACCCGGCTGCGGTTGACTTCAACTATTCGCAAGAGCAAAACTTGCTAACCAAAAACCTAGAAATAGTAAATCCAATACAACATTTTTCGACTATTAGATACCTGGCAACCAAATAAAGAAAATACTTTTGGTGGAATCGGTTTTATAATCGTATTATTTTAAGTACAATATAGTCAACAAAATTTTATGATTATTTCGATAATTAAATTTAAAGTTTGTGTAAGTCGAAAAGGTTTAATTGACACTAGAAATTATTAATATTATATTATTAATATTTACAGGCTAAATTAATTTAATAACTAGAAGTCTCCACAACTCAAACTTATTTTGGTTTATTTTTGATTTAAAATTCTTTAATTTACAATGAATAAATTTCCCTGCTTTCAGCGGCGGAAATGATTAACATTCCAGGAATGCTAGGCAACCTATATTATTCGATTACCGCGTGTTAATATCTTTATTTGTGTGTGTTCATGTCATAATCTCACTTTTGCACATGGCGCGATTTTATTATCGAATGGCCATAAATCAATGGCGAACGTAAAGCCACTCGTTTAGCCTACGCCTACTGTCCAGTGCATTTCGACTCTTTTCATGTAATCTCTACGTCATAGATACTGGGCCGCTAAGTATGCAACAGGTTTCGTACGCGTCGAGTTAATCAGCAACAGGTGCCGTTATTCTACTGCTGCTACTCACCACGCCAATGAGGTGGGAGTGGGTGGTGGTTAATCGGTGGTCCACGTACTCGCCTCGCAGTGTCCATATCCGTGTGGTGAATTAATATGCCGCATGTTGCTCATACGCCCCGTTGTACGCTTAGAAAGCATATTCAGTGTTGACATTTTGGATATGAATTCGAACTGGGGATGCTCTAGTCGAGGAAGTAATAGAAAGTCAGAAAAGCATTTTCGAACATTAAATATTTTTTTGTTTATTTATATTATTAATATGTCTTAAAAATACAGTAAAAGGAATTTGGTAATTAAGATCAGTTTAACTCTAAAATTTACAGACCTTATTAACAGAAATTTTAATAAATTATGTAATAAGTAACTTAAGTAAATTTGAAAAAACCGAAAGATATCTTAAGAAGCTTATTTAATTCAAGATTAATTCAATGTTAAAATTTATTAACACGCTATTATTTTAAGATCTTGTTATAGAGAGATAAAATCAGTTAAATTTAAGTTTTCCCATAGTAATTGGTTGGCTTGGGAGCCAAAAATAAATTAAAATAAATAAAACTTGTTCTCTGTATTTCTTAATTAATTTTTATTTTAGATTATAATATACTTGGATTTAAATCCGTTAAATGAATTTGAGCATTATCCTTAAACGCTGATATATGCATATCATATTTAATTTTAATTAAATGAAGTTTAATTTTAACATATTTCACCTACCCAGATTAACTAGTCTTCTGTAGTTCGTCGGTAAAACTCCGTTTTTTAATGATCTCTGCACCTCATGTACCCTCTGCATATGCCAGGTACTATGGACAAGTGTTGGTCCTGCAGTTTCGCTTGACATGAGGCATAAAGCTTTGCCTAAGCAGACGCCCCCAAACGAATTACCCCAACCACCTCCCCTCAGCCCCCGTTTTTGCCCGGCAGCTCGTGCTTCCTGCTGCTTCTGCCGCTGCCGGCGTCGCTGCCTTGGGTGCTGTTTGCTATTTTGTATATAAAGCCCGGTAGCAGGCATCGCCAACATCGAGTTACCAATTTCCCTTCTTGGCGTTCACATCGAGAGCGACAGCAGCAGCAGCAACAAGTAAGCAACAAGTCGAAGGATCAGATCAGAGTTTCAACCATTTAAAGTCACAGTTGTTTGTACAGTTCGCGAAATTATCAGATTGGCAAATTTTCCCGGCGCCAGATTTTTCCAATTTACCGAAGCCAATTTAATTGCCGGCATTTTCCCATCTCATCCAGTCGCAAAGTATCGGTGAGTATCGAACATGTGTGTTTACCTTTGCCAATTGGGCCTAGGCGATTAATCGAAATGAGCAGTTATGTGTCGCCCAGAATTAATTTGTGGACGCGGAAATTGTGCCACAGGTGAATTATTGCACGGCGAGAGAGTTATTGCCGGTGATATCAAATCATGTGGGTTTCACTCGAAACATCGGAAAGTAAAGTTAAAATATTTTGATATTAAATGTTTTAATTTACATACAAAAAATAAGTTTAAAATAAATTATTGCAAAAAATATAGAAAAAATTATAGATACAAAATGTCAATAAAATAAAATTAAGTTAAAAAGCTAGATTAAAAATGCAGATGTCACATAGGTCAAGCTGAAAAAAAACCCTTTCAAGTAATTTCTGAAAAAAAATGATTTCCAATCATATTAACTGCGCCTTAAATCTTTACGCAATTTTAAAAATGTTCATATTTTATGAATAATTGAAGCCAATTTGTTTGTTTGACTCAAAGCTGCTCTCCCTAAATTGAGTTCATAAAAGTTCCAGCAAATTGATGGACCTTAAACAACATTGAAGGTAAAGAAAGGTTCGTTTTTGCCCAGGAAAACTCCCACAAGTTGACGAATATGTGCAATTCATAGGCTATATACATTTCCCACCCCTTCCTCCTTCTTATTGTAATGTATTTTTGTTTTGAATATGCCAGAACAACCTTGGCCCTAGGGACTTTCCCGGGGCCACCTAATGACAGAAGCTAACAGGAGGCACGGTTTCATCTGGCTCATTGAAAATTATGTGAATTATTTATGAAGCGTAGAAAAATCAGGCAAACGCACAAGCCAAGCCATTCACTTCATTTGATTTGGACTTCAATCTCGATTCGAGTTGCTGATAATAAATAACTTCACTTGACTTGGCTTGTCTCGGGTTGGTTTGCTTTGGTTTGGTTTGGTCGATTCCCGCCGAAACCGCAATCAAATTGCATTTAATATTTATTAGAATACGCCTACAGTTTGCATGCCTTTGGGTTAAAGGCATCAATGAGGCAGATAATTTTCCGCCGAATTTTCGGGGGAGAAATGCGTAGGAGAAGGTCCAGTTTTTTGTTTGTTTAAATTATGTTTAATAATATATGTGTATCAATTAAATATTTAACCAGCTTCAATTACAGCCAGCCCACAATTTAGCTCCAGGAGCAGCTCCAGAAGTATTTATTTTTGAAATTCCGTCCCACGTTTTCCGCAAATTGATACAAAAATGTACGCGAGTTGCAAACTTGTTATCAAATTCGGTAAATAACTCTTCCGCTTCGCCAAAGCCACTTTGAACCGCATTTTCCACAAATCAGAACGTAACCACAACACGGATCCCAAAGAAACTCGATATAACTTCAAGTGTTCCACACCCTCGCGCCAAAGTGAAACATGAAAAACATTTTAATACTTATTTGAAGATGTCTGAAGTATCCAGTTTTCGGTGACTGACTGACGTAATTTTAATTTCTCCCTCAAAAAATATCATATGACCAGATAAATCACACGGCCAAGGACATGGCCATCGTCCTGCCGGCTCTTGTCAGACATACATTAATGAAGCCCACGCCAGGTCCTTGTGGCAAATATTTGACCATCGACATTTGTTCTTAGCTAATTTTAAAGTTCCTTTCGCCGCAAGCGAAAAATTGTGACGAAAAAATGAAGGGAACTCAAAGTGGAGCCGGAATTAAGCCGTCGGATTAGGCAGGATACTGGGGCAGGCACTAAAGACCCACGTGAAAATTGCATTTTCTTTTTTTCCACCCTTTTTTTTAGCACTTGCAACTCTTGCGCTGCGACAGCGAGATTAAATTTCCAATTAACATTGGAGCATTATTTATCGGTGGCAATAAATGTGTCCTGATTATGTTTGGCTTTGGCTTTGGCTTTGGCTTCTGCTCTAGGGTCTGGCGTCGGTTCCTGCTAAAGTTCGCCCCGTAGCCTCCTTGTCATTAGTTTTTATTTATCACCCACTAACCACTAGCTGCTTAATCTAACAAATATTTCATGAGCTCAAAGTTGAACAGACCTACCTGGTTGTGGGCATTACAATTATCTCTGTCTGCCTATATTCCCCTGTAAAGTGTTTTAAGAGTTTTGCCTGCACTTTGGCCAATCAAAACACGGAAATGTTTCCATATGTCCGTTTTGCTATAACCTAATAAATATATATATATATATATATCAATGTGCTAATAGCAGGAATTAAAGTGACTTTTTTGAGATAAGAAAACAAAGTGAAAACAAAGTGATTAATATGACTAGTAAAATTGCAATAAATTAGTTCAACATTTATATCAGATATTTGGAATCAAAAATTTAATTAATTGAACTATGTTTATGCTAAATAAATACAAATTTGATATTGACTTAAAGGAACTTAAAATTTTAAAATTTTCAATGTATTTAGCCATCTTTGAACTTTAACATTCATGTGATTTAACCAACTATCGTAAAGAAAAAAATGCTTTAATGTACATTTAGCCTTTTTTTGCATTTTCTTGGAAACAGTAAGTTAATTTGCAATTCTGATTTTTGTAACCATAAAAACCTTTCTCTGCCAATGCATGCACATTAGCAGTTGGTTGAAATTGAAGAAGGAGATACTCCTTTTACAGGACCAACTAGGAGTAGCTACATTTTACGAGCTGCAGCAAGCAAATGAGATAAGTCATTAACATTTACGGCCGACATCGTTGAGGTCCTCGACGGGCCACGTTCTCAGTCTATGGCTTTTTATGCCAGCCACAACGATTCTGGCCCTCGTTTACCTGTTGCGTGCTGATGATGATACTGAAAGTCATTTGATGACCTCATTTTCACACAGACTAAACGAACGTATCTCCGGGATTTATGTATGTCTCCGTTGCTTTTTTCAAGCTGCTGCTGTTTATGAATTCATTTGCTGTGGGTGAGGTTTTCCTTTTGATTTCACACCCTCTTCAATTACCAATGATGTCATAATTTATGTTATATAAGTAATTAGTTGCTGATTGTTGTTGCCTAAGAATTTTTCCGGGAACTGCAGTCATTTATTTGCTTTTACCTTTGATGTGAATAACTTTTATTTGATATGTTTAATTTATGAGGATGAAATTGGGAAGATAACAAATGAGAAGAACTATTAATATTTTGGCAATTTATATGCACATAATATAAATAAATGTTTGCTAATACCCTAAATTCACTTGTACTTTGAGTAACTTGTTTGAAATCTTAATTGATGATTTAAATAATGTTTTATTAATTGGAAAAGAAATGGGTCATACCAAAAACATTAAAAATGTAGTAAATCTAACAAAACTTTAAATACGGTAAAACTTTTATAAAGCTTGGTAAATAATAAAAAAGTTGAAATTATATAAATATTTAATGTTATATTTGGGCAGCTATTATATTTATTTGTACAGTGGCTTTTAAAACTTCATATATTTTTATTTAGCTTTCCTTATTTAACCAAACAACCATAAATCCATTTCTATTCCACAGTATAAAAGTCTCAATTTAGAAATCCAACCAATACATGTGATATATTTTATTTATACATCAACTCTTGACCTTTAAAACTTTTGAAGAACTGATTTTGTAACCCTTCGCTGAATCCATTTTCATTGAAAGTTACTCAATAAGTGCTCAGAATCATAACAGGGACCCATAACAACTCGAATCACGTTCATTGTCAGGTCAGCTTCGGATGAAATCAATTAAAGTTTGGCCCACAAGGCTTAAAGGCCATATGTCCGGGCTATTGTGTGGCTGCCACACGTTGCACCATCGGCGCCATTGTATTACGTGTGAGTGGGGCTGTTGCAACGCTTGAGTTGCAGGTCCATATCCGTTTTTAATTGCGGAAATGCACTTAAGCCGGCCTAAGGTGAAAAACAGGAGTCTGAGGCTGAGGCAGCCAGTACTCCGCTGCCACCCTTTCAGAAATGCTCGTCACGTTTGTGGCAACAAGTGTTATGATTCACTTCAATCTGCTTTGTGACGAGTCCCTTCGAGCAGCTCTGACGCAAAAAACATATATAATAAAACAATAAATACCGGTATAAAAACAATTCCACTGAAATCTGACCTTTAATTAAAAATGTGGCTAGTGGAACTTTGTGGCACTTTTTTGTAGCCATTGCATTGCATGGCCCCCTTGACAGCACTTTGAGCTTGGGGATTAGTCGGGGATAAAGCCGTGGCTTTTCCCTTTGATGTTGTGCAAACATTTGCATTAATTGGAATCCCACAAAAGTGCCCAGCTATATTGCCATTAAATAATTTACATTAATTGGCTTAAATGGGTTGCAAATAAAATAAGTTTTCAAGCTGTCGAAAGGTGACAAATCATCATAGCGGTTTTACAAATTACTAAATTTCATATTGGCACAGCAGTTATTTTAACTTATATTTCATCAAAAATATTATAATGTTTAAATATTAAATAAATATTAAATATTAAATTAATTAAATTTATTTTATGGATAAATTTTCAGTATTTAAAATGTATGAATATAAGAGTTATATACAGAAAACTTTATATTAACCTTTTAAAATAAATATTAATAAATATGAAAATTTGAAACAAAGGAACAAAGCGAAATTCTTACAGAAATCACTTGTATGTTTTTAAAAAATTAATAAAGCAGGAAGCTCCTAGTTCGTAATAAATTCACATAATTTTCGGATTAAAAATATATTGCATAGTGTATATAGCATACTGATAGCAGTATAAGTGATTTAATATAACTAGTTATATCTAGTCCTAATATATTTGTGTTTTAAAAATATTATAACTATTTTAATTTTGTCTTTCAGTTGAGAAGCGCTTCAAAATGATGAAATTCGTGCAAATATTATTGTGCTACGGCCTGCTCCTCACTGTGCTCTTTGCCCTCAGCGATGCTCGACCTTCAGCTGCTGGCGAAGCTGGACCCGTGAGTATAGCACCTTAAAGTCTGTAAAAAACAAAGATTATGGGCTAATCCATTCAAGGATTCGGATGGACTGGACGGACAGGAGGCTGAGGACGTTCGTGGGGCCTACGGAGGAGGCTATGAAATGCCAGCCCAGGCCATCTACCCAAACATTCCCATGGACCGACTGCAGATGCTCTTCGCTCAGTACAGACCCACGTAGGTGCACGGTTTGTAGGTAACTCTCCGATCATTGTCTAATTTAAATAGTTACAGCGCCTACTTGAGAAGCCCCTCCTACGGCAATGTGAACGAACTTTACCGGCTGCCCGAGAGCAAACGTCAAGTCAGATATCGGCAGTGCTACTTCAATCCCATCTCCTGCTTTAGGAAGTAAGTTCCCAGCCAGCAGATTGATTGTCCGCAACCAACAGGCTCTTGGATACATTAACAATTCAAGCATTTCAACAAACCAAAAATGAAGTTTAGCATTATGGATCACCACAAATGTAACGCAAATATTTAGTGCAATTAAACTAAAGCTAAGACTCAGCTATATCCAAATCTATATATATATATACATATATGTGTACACAGAAATCCAAATAAGTTACTTAACTATTTAAATGTCTAAAAATGAATGAAAACATGTTCCATTGTAGTTACCAAAAATAATAAATTATGTATTTATTTGAATATTAGCACAAATGTTAAAGATTATACTATTTCGTTTCTTGATTTTTGCTTTGCATATGGTGTGGTAAAATAAAATTCAATGCTTCCCCAAGCTATTCAAAACGTATTCGAAATAAAAATGTGCTTTTGTAAATTTAAGTGTTCCAGCTCTTGTATAATAAAACAAAATATAAAATAACAAAACTTAGAATGCGAACTTGGAGTCATTTAATACCTACAAAACACTATACATGTAAAATAAACCTCTAAACTAAAGTTATAATTATATACGTATGAAATAAATACGCCCAAATGTTAAAACAAAAAATGTTGTACCTTTTAGTCAAAGAGGTGTGTTATCTAATCATTTTTCATTCCTTTCTAGTGCTTTATGTTTATAGAATCTTAAACTTTGTTATTAGAGGTTTTTTAAAAATCATTTTCACTTAATTTTTAATAGAAAGTGTGGCTTGCTTTAAAAAATGTGCTCGTTACTACTTTGGAGCTATCAAATTCTAAAGGAGTAAAGTAATCCAAATTGTTGACTCTAGCCATATTGAGCAATACACGATTTGGATTAGATTCAAAATCTTACAATTAATTAATCTCACTTTTAAAGGTAACATTTTCGGACTTTTTGGTTTGTTTAGCTTATAACAACAAATATTGAAGTCTTGCGGAAATTACAAGGGTCAAAAATTCAGCTTTTAACACTTGTCCAACTTTTAAGATATTGACTTAATGCACATTAAGCAATTGTAAATACTTGTCAATTTAAAACAACAACTCTGGTTTGTTACCAATTCGTTTAATTTATTTTATTTATAAAATTAAAAAAATGTGTAATATTAATATATTTGTACGTTTACTTAAACTACAATATGCTGAGCTTTTAAAAACTTTATTATAAGAGTTTATTATAATTATTTTTATTACTTTTTTATTAATATTTTTTATTTTTGCTTAGCAATAATGGTGAATAGACAGAGGTATCTTAGTAAATTTTAATCACATTTAATATTTTATGAAAATACAACTTGGGCTTCTGTTTTGACTTAGCTTAAAATAGTCTGTTGCCTCTGAGGCAGTATTCTTTAATTTTTCGAGGAATAGAGTCTGAATTCTTTATCACTAATTTTTTGGGCCCTAAGGTCCTCGCTTTCCTATTACATTTTTTTTGGTTTGATTGCTCAGATGTGTAAACGCCTCTTCTCCAGGTTCTTGGACTGGCACTTGCCGCCACGTCGCTCCATTTTGATGACCAACCGATCCGGGGTGGATATCTTGTAGCCATTGCACCGTCGATAGCGCTCCTCGATCTTCAGCGATGTGGCCACCATGAAAACGGAGAAGACCAGGGCAATTAGATAGCGAACGATTAGCATAATGTGACAAATGCTGCGTGGAATCAAGACTGTTTGACTGAAGGGCTGCACTGCTGGATTTTATAGCTCGAGGTGTCCGTGTCCGTGATGTATCGATTACCTGGCATTTCGAGACCCTTCCTTCCTTACCCTCCAGCGGATTCCAGGCTGCGCTGATGGATTAGGACGCGATTTTATGGCCGCGTCGCGCCAATAAACCATTCCGTGCTAATCCATTCGACCATTTCCACTTCCTCTGCTCGAGGTCTGCGATCCTAAGCGAATTACCCAGATGAGCACACTGGACCAGATACAAAAAGGGAAAACTAATTGCCTCGACTGATGAGTGGAAGTTCCGAGAAGGAGTCACAGGGCGAAGCTACCTTTTATGATCCCTTGCCTCACTCTTTTTACCATTAGACATTTTAATTGTTAATTTTTGCAAAAAGCGATGGGATGGGTAGGGGGAAAAATTTAAATAATGGCCAAGCTGCAGGCATCGGGCAGCAGCAACGGCAGCAGCAACGGCAACAGCAGCGGCAGCAGCGAGAATCCAGGAATCCAATGGCTACCTGCATTTATTATCTCCCCGCCCGTTGATCTACTCGGCCCGGCCCGAGTGCCATCAACGTGAAAACAAGTGGCAACAATTTTCTATAAATTGCATTTGTGCAAAATTAAGTTCAATCTTGGCCGAGTCGCCAACCAGTAGCTGTATCTCTTCTCGGCCAGCATCCGCTCAAGTCACCCAGCATCCCGATCCCGATCCCGATTCTGCCCCCCTCCCCTCCTGCTCCATCTGGTCTTTCACTGCTGGAGTAGCCAAACTCCATTAACTTTGCAATTGGCCACCATAACTCGTCCGTCGCTCTACCGCCTCCCTCCCCCCTCCTGCCACCCCCTTTGCCCAGTTGCCGTCACCTTGCCGCCCATTTGGCCGCCACAGCCACCTCTGCCTCCACATTCATCCACATCCCACAGAGCACAGAGCACAGCGCACAGCACACAGGGTACAGACCATTCCAGTCCAGTTCAGTCCCGGCCCCATCGCTTGTTAGTTTTTGCGCCAGATCGTTTATAATAATTCGTATGCGAGTCATGTCATGCCCCTAAAGTGTATCTGCAACCGCGCAGTCGCCAGTTGCCAGTTGCCAGTTTCCAAAGGCCGCTGGCTGCGCCTGCGCAGTCGCAGTCGTCGTCGCGCTCGCCGCGCATATCTGTATCTAGTTGGTGGCTCAAAATGGAGCTGGTTGCGTGACACGATACACGGGATACAAATATTAAGAACTCAAAATTTACTACTGACTCCGCTTCATTTGACTGAAATGTTGTATATTTTATCACTTATAACTTTTAAAATATTGTTAACACATGGTTGTAACGAAAGTAACTATATTGCAAATTCCGTCAATATTGCAAACAATTTGTTTAAACATTTTAAAAATAGTTTCTGTTATACAATAAATACTACTTAGTTAATGGTATTTTCGGGACTAAACCTATATTTTTAAAGGCAGTAACGAATCAAATCAATTTGAAAGCTAAACAATAAATAACATCAATTTTTTTCCAAATCCAAGCTATAAGTGAGATCTTCAGTAAAAACTCACTTTATCTTCCAACCCAGAAATTCGGGGCATTTATTAAGAAATAGTCGGTCGATTTCGGTTAAACGTCTCGATAACCAGTTAAAAAACCATATATGGGAAATTATTGAATGAATGCAAATTATAATTTTTATACAACTTAAGCGGTTTATCCTTCAATGAGAAAAACTTAGGTTTCAAAAGTTTTTAAGCAGCACTTATAGACGACCAACACATTATTGTTATTTCTATTTTTTTTATCAAATTTGTCCTTTTTTATGGAATTAAGTAAATAGTTGAACATTCGGAGAATTATTTTGTAATATAGTGTTTTTATTTATTAATATTAATAAATGGTATTATAATGAAATCGGATAGATTTTTAATTTCACATTTCGTGGAATTTTTTAGCAGTGTACCTTTGTTATATAACCAATTAACAAATCTGTCAGACCAAAGAGCTTTTAACTTGAGTAAAAGTTGTAAGCCTATAAGATTAAATACTTTAATTAAGTGAAATAAATTGATTTAGTGATAAACAAAATGATTAAGTGAGGACCCTAATTAATAAACTGTATTCTTTATTTTTAATTTTACAAAAACGACCTGCCATGCTGACCCATCCGTAATCTCCCAGTCACGAACGGTGCTCATCTCTGGCCAATGGAGTGGCAAGTCTTGGGATCGCCTGCTCTCGCCTGTCCCGATCTGGTCAACTATGCAACCGGCAACCGGCAATAGGCAATAGGCAATAGGCGGCCCAAGCAGCCCAAACAGCCCGGTGACTCGAACTTGACTTCACCTGGCTTGATCTCGCGCCTGTTTCTTTGCTCGCATAGCTTTGGGTCGCCACCGGTTGGCTCTTACTCCAACTCCAACTCCAGCTCCAGCTCAAGCTCCAGCTACCCGATCTTGCCGATCTCCACCCGGTGATCTCCTTCAGCTCGTTGTCATACCACTTTATCTGCGGCGCTTTGTGCTGGTTTTGTTCTATTGGTAAAAGGAAGTTAGAAAAATGCTCTGGATTCAGGGATGGGGCCAGCTGAGGCGGTGGCCTTAAGTGAATTGTGCTGGATGCCAGCTGGGCCTGGTTGTGATCTCAGGAAGGGAATCTGAACATGGATTTGTTCTGGCCCAATATCATGGAACTCTAAAGCAGCCGATATTGATTTGAGTTGGCAACAGTGAAAGTTTGGAAATAAGGAAAGTTAATCACTATGTCGGTGACTCAACTATAACAAATAAGAGCAGTTTTTATTGTAAATATGCCAAAATAAAATACTATCATTTATATTCCATTTAAAAAGAGAAAAGAATAATATTTATACATAAGAATGTTTATTGTTAGTACTTTTTTTCCCATGTTATAGATGTTCAAAAAAAAGACAACAAAAGTGACATCTATGCAATTTTCTAACACATCATAATCCCAAATTGAGTGTCATCGAAATATATTCGGGCATCATAAAACACTTTTGACACTGACTTAATTTTTGGCTATGAGAGAATTCAATCGTGACTCTCAGTAGTTGCAATGCCCCCCCATCATAAGATTCCCAAAAAGGGCAGATGCACCAATAGCAACCAAAGAAATATGAAATACCAAACAACTTGGGACAACTTACTGCACTGCGAATTTAATTTCCATAAATACAATACCTATAACTTAAAGTTTAAGTGTTTTGAAACCAAAATACCAATCATGAAATAAGTAATTAAAGGTAATTGAAACATCAATTTGTTATAATTATCATGCTTGCAGGATTATACTAGTTGTATGTTTTTGGTTGCCTGGCAAATTGAAAATAAAACCAATTAACGTAGAGAACTATTTTTTCACGTGTGATCCAAATGGCTTTCGAACTCCCAACGTAACCGGTAGTCGGTTTCGTGGCTCCTGGCTGGACATAGCCACATGGCCATGGCCTAAACTACCACCTTGGCCATTACTTGGCCATCGCCAGCGTCGTCGTCACCATGTCGTCTTGGACAATGTAGCTATGTGGCCATGTTGCTATGTTGCTCTTATTTCAGAACATGACCAGCGTCCAATGGGAGGCCACGGAGGAATGCCTTAATTCAGGAATTTAATGAAAAATGCTCTATGAAGCGCTGCAGCAAATTAAAAACGGAAAAAAAGCTGCAGCAGCAGCCAGGAAAAGTTAAGCGCACAGAAGCCATCGAGGAGGAGTGGAGAAACGAGAACAAAAAGGTTAAAATTAAAATCCGCGCTCACTTGTTCTTCTTATTTAAGCACTTTTTTTAGTATACCCTGTTTCATTAGATGGACGGGGCTATCTGATAGGAAATAAAATTAATTCGAGCTATGAAAAATGTGGGAAATAAATAAAACGATGTTGTTTGGAATAGTTTTTCTTACACAACACAAATATTACCAAAGATATTAAAATCCAGAAGGGCGTCTAAAAGTATGTAACAATTTAATTTTTAATCGAAATTACTATAAATTCATTCCTAAAGACTACGTAGTATTTTTACTGCCTACTTTTAGGCACACTAATAAGTGATTTTAAAAACGTATAGTTTTCTGTGGCAAATTCGAGTAAAGACAGGAATAAGGTTTTTAGTCTTTTATACAGAAGGAGTAATAATTTAAAAGTCATTCCTATAGGGTATATCCAACTCGATCACTCGTATCCTGCCTGGGGCTCCTGTTTCCATTTTTTTAACTACTTGGATTTCATTCGAGCGCGATTCACTGGCGAATCGGTGGCTGTGAGAGCGGTGTGAGATCGGTGGCAGGTGATGCCGATGCCGTTCAACTTTGAGGTTGAGTGGCTCTTGATGCGACCGAGACCGACCAAAGTTGACCAGTTCTCCGGGCGAATATGTGTGTGTGTGTGTGTGTGTGTGCGTGTGTGTGGAGTGGTTGCTGCTCCGCGCGGAGCGTTGTAAATTACATTTTCCAAATGCTTTTGCCATGTCGAACCAAAAAGCCATGTACATATGTGGCATAAAGGAGCGGCTTGGCCTGGCTGTGCTTCCGTTTTGATTTGGAACACTTGTTGCGTTCGGTCCGCGCTCTGCCTCTGGCCTTATAGATTTGTCCTCTGGCCAGAACGACAACCAGAAACATTCATTCCTTGGGGATATGGCCACTCACAGATACACACGGCAACCCGATGTTCCTACATGGATTCCTACATGGCATTTGGGATGCACCTTCTTGATTCTTTTATTTTTTTTTTTCGGCCTCCCCTTCTCGCCGTTGCGTATTTAAGCGTTTTGTTGTTGCCTTCGGATTGGGAGGCTGGCGTTGATTATGTTGTTGTAGTTTGTTCAGATTGTTGTTGATTTGAGTGTTGATTGTTGTTAGCAGAATGGGTTCGTCCCTCGGAGCTGTTGGCTTCGATTAGCTGAAGCCACCAGACCCGCTGGGGATCGCTGACAAAGGTGTTGCAGGTGAGCAAAATGAAAGAGAAATATTTTATTGTCTAAGTCGTTTTTTTAGAGTTTTATGTGTAACTTGAGAGTTTGAGACCATTTTTCTTTAATATAATGCACTGGTCTAAATAAAGAAGTCACCAATCTAATCACTAGATTTGTACTTAATGCAGTACCCAAATAATCAAACGAATTAATTCATAAGGCTTTTATTTATTTTTTATTTTTAAAATTACAAAAAAAAATTTTTTTTATTGAAATTGTTAACACAAATAATTATTTTCATTCTTTATTTTAAAGAAATGTCAGTATTAAAATTAAATTGTATTTAATTCGATTACGTAAGGACTATCATGAACTTGATTAAACTTAGTTTAGACAGAAATTCCTTTGTTCTTCTTTTGCTAAAACAAAGATTCTGGTTCCAGGATTTCGTAGGTGGGCAGTGGCATGACTTCATTGCCAAAGTAGTTGGCTCCACCGGCAGCGATCTCGGGCTGAAGATCACTGTAGAAACGATCGAGGAATGGACTCCGGGACATCATCATCTTGGAGCCGACGAAAGGGCGCTTCTTCAGGAAGAAGTTTCGCTTGTGTGGCCTCCTCAAGGGCGATATCTGGTCCATTATTTCGTTGCTCATCCTCCGCTCCGCCGGCAGGGATGTGACCTCGTTGTATATCGATGATCGGGACCGGGGTCGAGCCCAGGCGATGAGGACCAAACAAACAATGACCAGGATAAGGAGGGCAATTTTAGAGCTCGACATCTTGACTGCTTGGCAGTTGTGATCTCAATGTGTTGCAGTAGTGACGGGCAAGGGGAATTTATAGCCACAAAATGTCACACAGGTAGCATATATGGTGTGACCTCTAAGTACTTTATAATGATGGCATGTGTTACTGGCTTACCTGGTTTTACCTACCTTTTATTACCAACAAACGTCTGCACTTTTGTTGGAAAATGAATTCTGGGATTTTACAACGATATAATATTCGATAGTTAAAAATTTGATTATGAACTAGACGTGGCTCGATTTGTAAGAATAGAAAAATAGAATTTAATTTTTTTTTAAATAGATCAGAATAAAGCTTAATCTTTATTAAAGATGTATGATTCTGCCTCATAAGGAAAAAGCAAGTTGTAGCTAATTCAAACTTCGAATGTAATAAAATATACCTACGTTATATACACCGGGCTTATGTATGGTTGCTAATAGAGTTTTATAAACTCCCTGAGATTTTAAAGCATTTTATACATAACTTATTTAAATGCATTTCAAAATTAAATAATAAACTGTTTTTGGCGTTCAATCGCCAATTGAATTGCATAAATGCCTAAATAATTTTACGAATGGTCTTAAAGGTTGCCGGCTATTTAGATAAACGCTGCAAAGGATTGAGTACTTTGAAATCCATCAAAACCCACAATTTCCTTGGCCATTCCACTCGGAGCCATCACTTAACCCATCCACCTCATCAATCTCGGACATTTGGCTAACTATCCGCCAGGCGATTCGATTCGATCCGACTGGCACGGAGTCACTTAGAGTCGGCGACTGCGACTGCAAATGCGACTCCAATCCACTTCATTCGAGGCAAGGCATCAAGATCGGCTGGGATTGGATGCGATGCCATTTCATGTTAATCAAACAACGAAATCCATCAACAGGTGACACACACCGCCAAGTGGGCGGCAGGAGGTGGGCTGCCTTAAAGGGGGTGGTGGTGGGCAGCCGCGACATCCAGCAGACATGTCAGTGCGATAATGGTGCTACTTCTCCCTCAGCGAATGTGTGTGTGTGCCTGTGCGAGAGTATCTAAAACAACTTCATTCACAAAAATCGGACCAACAAAAAGAGCAGAAGCAAAGTAGCCGAGTAGCAGAGTAGCAGAGCATCTGCAAAAAGGAAGCTGGGCCATTAAAAATATCTTGTGGATGCCACGGCGAGGCAGATAGCAATACCAGGCAGCCGCCAACAGAAGATGCATCCGCAAAGACAGAGGCAGAGGCAGTGGCAGAGGCCACTTGGTAGCATCAACATCATCATCATCATCATCATCATCGGTTTTAGACGCGGCTTTAGCTGCAGGAGCTGTGGCCACGGCCTCAAAAGCCGAAGCCCAAGTCGCAGCTGCGGGGGCGGTGACGTGGCGGACGGGGCGGGACAGGTCGCCGGTCGCCGGTCGGTTGGTGGGCATCCACAGCCAGGGGGCAGCCAGGGAATAGCCAAGAAACATACGCCTAATGCCACAGCCATCGACATCCGCCATTTAGCTAATTAACCCAAGAGATCTCAAGGGGGTTCTGTTCGAGGAAATGCAAATAGATGCTTTAGTATATAAATAAATAATTCAAGGAAAATGGGAAAATTGCAAGAAAATAGGAACTGCTATTTTCATTCGACTAAAAAAATGTCATTTAATCTTTTTAAAATTTTTTAAGGCGTATCAAAAGTAAAAAAAGGGAACATTACCCTTAAAAGTTAATCTTAAATAGTATTTTAAAAGTCCTTAGACAGAGTTTTGAATACTACAATATTTAATTGAATCGCATTTGTTACATTAATTGAATTGTTTTTGCGTGAAAATAGGTAACAATTTTCCTGATTTGCCTTTAAAGGCGCCTTTGAAATAAGAGGTTGAATGATATAATTGATAAACGTTTTATTAACAGTCTAGACTATTAAATAACATTAACATAATAAAAATTGAACAAATATCAACTATTTGATGGTTTGTATGTTAACCGATCCAAAAAGAAATGGAGTCTATGCATCATATTTAAAAAAAATTTACCAGTTCGTAATTTATTGACATGTTTTAAAACCACAAAATGGCAAAAAAACGTTTCAAGAGCCTCGAATTCTTTTATTATTTATAATAAAATGGTAAGCTAACGGGGGCTTTGATATATAAGCTTTTGAATCAATATCGAGCCACTAAAATGGGAACCAAAGGGTTAATCGATTTTCCATCAGTGTGCTTTTCTCCCTCCAATCGTTTAGCTCCTTCTCGCTCCCACTTCTGTTGGCTTCTGACGCGGTTTCTTCAGCTTCTTAAGCTTTTGCTGCTGCTGCGTCTGCGCAGTCGCAACTGTCTACATTTGTCGGCCTGCCTTCTCTTTCCCACCTTCCTGCCGCCCCTTGCCCCCCTTGCAACGGGCTGGTCTTGTTCTTCTTCAGTCGATTGGATGTCCAGCTTTCAATTTGCAACATAAAGCATCTTCATCGTGGGCCGCATGAATGGGCAAGTGACTGGAAAAGGGGAGGGAGTGGGATTGGGATTGGGTGTGGGCTGGGAGCTGGTTCTCCACCTCTTCTGCCACCACAAGCCCCACATCCCCCCGATGATCCGACAATCCGGCAAAACGACAGACAATCCAGCAATCCGGCATTGACGGTAGGCACTCAGGCGTGCCCTGGCGGTAGTCGCTGACCTTTATTGATTGCTGTTTGACCTCGGCAGCTATTGTGGCTGTTGCCGTTTTCGCTGTTACTGTTGCATCTCCTAACCATTTGTACTTGGTCGATCGCTGGCATAGATTGCACTTGGCTTGCACCTCGGCGGGGGCAAGGGGGCGGGGCAGTGGTGGGCGGATGGGGAGCGGTACACGCCCACCAGCATTGCCGCTTTGTCGTTTTGTTTTCTGACTTTCTGTGCAGCCTTCATTGTTACTGCTTTTCTCGCCAGTGCACTAAAAATTATAGTAAATTTGCCTAAAAATTTGTTAATAAATTTTTAAGCGAACAAATAAAACTTAAATAATTTGCAACAAAAATTCAAACTGGCTAAAAAACTGAAGAATACCTTTATCATATTTCTAGATGATTTTGTTTCAATATTATTTTCTAAAATATATCATTAAACTTATACAAAGTTTTGTATATTTAATAAATTTTAATTTAAAAAAAAATTATTAGTTGTATAAAACTATTGCTTTACATATTAATTTAATATAAAAATTAGCAACAGAGGTAACGCTTTTTGAGTTTTAAATGCAAACATTTCCTTAGATTTTTAATTATTATTGGGATATTTTTAAAGAGGGTGCAACATTTCTCTCTCTGTTGCCACTGTTATTCTTGTTATTGTTACTCCATTACCTCGTTCATGGCAGTTAATTTATATTCGATGCATCTCTCTGTCCTTTTCTTTGGGGCTTCGATTTTTTGTAGTGTTTTTTTTTTTCATTTTAAACTTCCTTTTTGATGGGTCGTTGTTGTTGCTGCTAGCATAGCCGGCGAAGGTCGAAGTCGGTCCTCTTCGTCGGTCGTCATTGACGCCTTTCCTTGTACTTAGTCTTCCATTTGCCATGCAAAAACAAAAGACAAAGGCAGGGCAACAATAAACAAGCTAATACGCTGGATCTAGGCATTTCGACAATTAGATACCTGTTGATATTATCCAATGGCAAGTTAAAAAAAACCGATTGTAGAAATTCAGTCTGCAATTTTAAACATTTTTGAAAGGTTAGAAATATTAAAAAATAGCTTTAAGAACTAAAATAAATTATAAATAACTAAAAATGAAAAAAAAATGAATTTCTGTCTTAATATGATAAATGATTAGGTAGTACTATTTTAAAATAAGTGCATTTAAGCTGACTCAACTTACTTTTACAAAATGTAGACGATATTATACCCCTCATGTACCGGGTACTAAAACGCAGCACACTTTGGAAGCCTCGCTTTGTTTGGTTTCTATCGTGTAGTTTGTTTTGTTTGACAGTTTCTATCTGGAGGGGCTATCAAGAGTCGGGGCTGGCGAGTTGGAGCTGAAGTGGGAGCTGGATCTGCAGTTGGATACTGCAGCCGTGGTTGCTGTCGTTTTGTTTGCTTAATTGTTTGGTTTCCCCCATTTGAATGAAGGTGGAGCCCCTTTGGCAGGGAAAATCGTTCGCCTTCATTCCATGTGGGGGCGATATTTTCCAGGGAAATAAATTAGCTGATTGAGGATAACCGTAGTTAGTGGACTGGGATGGGATCGAATGGCAAATGCAAATGCAAATGCGAGCGGGTGACGTACAAGTGAATTATCACCTCATACATTGTGTCTCTTCTGGAAGATACCTCCATCTTGTCGTCCTAATGGGGATCTGTGATGATCCCATCGGAAACACGATTCGCTCTTGTTTTAATCACATACCATATCATTATTTAAAGCGCGTTTTAATCTTCCTCTGCTGAAATGAATCTTGTAAAAACTATAATTACACTGGGTTACAAATCGTATGGATTCTTCGCAGGCAAACAAATATACTTTAAAATATTAACAAATATATATACACTATATATATATTATTGGTTTTTAGTCCAAATCTCTGTCTCGAGAGCTATAGAAGGTGGAAAATTAAAATGTTGTATGAAAGAAACATGGCATTTACTGTTATTATTTTATAAATGTTATTTTTTGTATGTGATATTGCTTAAAACGATTTTAAAATACTTTAAGTATAAACTGTATAACAGGCTATGTAAGTTAAATTCCACCATTGCCTATATTTCAACCCTTTTTAAACAAACTTTTGCTTTTGTTAGCCAGTGTAATTATTGACCGGTCTTGCCTTAATATCAGCAGCAAATCAGATCACTTCATAATGATAATAATCACTCAGCAGAAATAACCTGCTACACAATAAAGAGTAAATCTTAAGAGCGCCGCTTCCCTGTCCAGATCTCTTAAAGCAGAGCGTGCCAAATGAAATTCATTCATACAACCAGATTTGTTGTTGTAATCCCCACTTATCGCTCCCAGCGCGAGAGAGAGAGCGGGAGAGTGGTAGAGAGTGGTAAAGAAAGAGAACAGTGAGGCCCCAAAAGTCGATTGATCAGTTGCTGCTGCACAGTTATTTTTCCAAAGCTCTCGAGTGCGGTTCGATGCGGAAGCTTTTCGTGGCCCAGCCAAACAATAATAACAAACGTAATTTAAACAATTAATCAAAACGCGGCGATCGATGGATTTTGTTGTTGCGCCTGCAGGAGAAATACAGACAGATCGAAATGTTTGTTTAATTGCATACCAGCCGCAGAAAACCAGCGACGATACGACAAGTGCCAGTGAATTATTGTACTTAAATTAACGTACAAATGCCAAAGCGCGTGCGTGTGTGCGTAGAGTCCGGCAGCCCAGTGTCAGTGTGTGCGTGAGCGGCTTTATCAATTGCTCCACATAAAAGTTTTCATTGAAGTGTTTGACAGCAAAGAATTTCAAATTCCAGCGTGGAAGAAGCAGCAGCAGCAGAGGAAAACAAACAGGGAGGCAGCTTAAAACGGTAATTAATATAAACACACTCTTGATTCGGCCATAAACAAATGATTCAGCAAATGTCCACCGCAGCAACTGTAAATGCAGAGACATTTGATTGAGCCGCAACCGCCACTACAGGCACAATTACAATTACACTTGCAATTACACTTACATCTGCGGGTGACAAAAGCTGTGGCGACGCATGCTTGCAATTAGTGGCTAACTGTTTCGGTCCACCTCCGGCTCTCTTCGGTGCTCCATTCTCTCCCGATCTCCGGCGTTCCCTTTGTGCGTTTTATTTGCTACTCCCCCACATTTCTACTGTGAAGTCTTAACAGAGTGACTGATATTTGTAGGTATTTTATTGTTGAAATTTTTATGTATTTTGACAGTTAGAACCCAATACTTTATTATGTTAAAATACATTTGCAAATGATATTTATTTTAAAAATGTATCGTAAACCAATCACAACGAATTGTTCTAAATTAAATTGTGAATGTAAACGCTTTGCGCCGGGTCCACCTGTACATCGCTTGGCCTTTATGGTCATGCCTTGGACATTTTCCAAAGTATTATTTGCCATTTTGTCGCTTTCATTAATTGGCCTGCCTGTGAAACGGCTACCTGTCTCCTCTTGTAGATATTGTTGTTTTTCGCCAGTGACTCTCTGCGGAACGGTAAGTGCAAATTTAACGCTCTCTCCGCGGGTCCGTTTACAATCCTCTCTGGCTCTATCTGCCGTTCTACACAGAAAAATGTATATGTTAAAATTATAGTCAATTTAGTTATTTTACAATTCATTTTGGACCAAATATGTTAACGCACTTAAATTCAAATTTCCAAGCGATAATGCCATTCAGTTGAAAATAGCAACAATTTATAATGTTATCTTACATGAACAAGGAATATCTTGATCTATTTGACCTGTGTTTTGTGGTTGCACTGCTTTGTTTTCAGTGTAGTCGTCTCGGGCACTTGTTGCTTGTTCATTGTTTTTACAGTTTTTAAGTGGCGCTCATATCCGGCGTTTGTGGTTGTTGCTGTTTTTTATTTTTACTTGTTTGCGTTTGCTTTTGGGCCTGATAAGCGCACTCACCTTCCCCGCGCCCTTTCCCACCCCCAACTAAACACTTGTTGTTGTTTTATCTCCGCTTGCCGTTTTTGCTACAGTTTTTCGTAAGTGAGTGCGTGTGTGTGTACTCTTAGCTGCATTTATTTGCATTTTGCATTTTTGATTACAACATTTTTTTATGCGCCTTGCACTCTTTCTTTTTACCTATTCGTTGGCCTTGCTTTTTCGATTTTGCCTTTGTTTTCTTTTTTTTTAATTTAGTGGTTCTAAACCTTTGTGATTCAGTTAAAGTTTGTGGGCAGTAATGTCCAACTGTTTTTGGCCCATGGCTCATTGAGTTATTTGGATAATCTTCTAAGTGGAATATGTTTTTAGTTTATACCTTTTTTGTAACGTTCTAATTTAGTTGTAATATACTCTCAAACCCTTAAGTTATCATGAACGCATAAGGCTCCCATAGATTAATTTTGATTTGATGTCCATTAACCTAGCCATTAACCTAAAATAAATTCGTTTTCTAATAGTCAGGCCATTGACAGTTGTTGCTAAATAATTTTTGACTTCTTTAATCTTAATAAATATTAAAACCATTTAATGTCAATTTCAACTAGGGAAGAACCAAATAACCAAGTCGGTGAAAGTATTGTCTGGCGGAAAGATATTGGTAATAACAACGAGCAATATTTAGCAACAAAATGTTTTTGGCCCAAAGGTGTTGCTCTAATATTGAGTTTCATTTGAATAAATGCCTTTGTAAATATTCCTTAGAAAATATTGACGAAAGGCAAGACACATATGCTTATTTTAAATGGAAAAGCCAAGAATTCTTTTCATATAAATCACAATACTTTTTAACGTTTCTAATGTGTGTCAATTTTTGAAGGTTTCCTTGAGCTCGTGAAGTCTTATTAACCCCCATAGGACATATAAGGCCATCTGTTGATTAACCGATCTCTGAGCGACTGCAATTCATTTGCCCGGTTGCAGTTGATGTTTCAAAGTTCAGAATGTGAAAAAACACATTTCGGTTCGCGTTTAATTAAAGTTCAGCACCTCACTCAACCCACTCGACTAAAATCACGACATTTGCGATCATTAACACAGGCACACAGCACCAGCCACAGCAATATAGGCACACATGCGATCGAGTGTGGGCGCCCAGATCGGCACTCGATCATCTGTGGAAGCTGGGACAGACAAAGTGGATGCTTTATGGAGAAATATGATTTCATGTGGCGGCTCGAATCAAACAAATAGCGAACTTAAGCAGTAACAACAGCAAGCCATATTGTGGTGCTGCGGTCAGTGATTAACCTTAAGTTCAAGCAGCGATCTTTGATCTGTCAAAAGATCAAATTATGAAAACGTACTACACGTCGGCAACAAAAAATCAGGGACCATAACAAAACGCGGTCGATCGGTTCAATTATGGCAGAGAAGTGATCTTCGCAGCGAAAAACGCTGACGGAATATGGCGAGTACATAAAGTAAACTTCAAGTTAACCATGCTCGAGGATATCTGAGATCGCGGCGGCGGCGGAAAGGCAAGTTCATGTGACAAAAATGTCACAGTCAGCGAAAAAAACGAAAAGACGAGCCCGATCGGTTTACTCAACTCCCAAACTCATCTCATACTGAAACAAGAGGGGACCGATCTTCTGCAGACAAAAGAAAAAAATAAGGAACGCCCTCAATGCCCTCAAAATGATCGTCACTTGCTTTTTATTATTATTATTATTATTTTTCCGCTTTATTTCGGGGAGAACGGGTTATGGGATGATGAAGTTGCTGCGCGGCGGAGGTTCGTTTGTCTTCGTCAAATATTTACTTTGGAGTCCGCTAATGACATGAAACGGCAGAACTGCCAAGGGAGACGGCGAAATTGTGATTTGAGCCGCAGGAAACTGTTGAATTTGTTATTATTAGCATTAATTTTTTATATATTTTACGATGCCAAGTTGGGGATTTTCTTTTTGGCTTTTTCGGCGGGGTCTTTATCAAGTGACAAGACGAATTGTGAGGTAAGCAGTTATGTGCCTGATTATGTGATGATACCTGAGCCATTTCTCACCCTCAGTGTGTTTTTGCGATACACTTTTCAATGAGCTGGCAAATTCCATTCACAAATCGTTGGCTAAACGGAAGTTGAGACTCCCCGAAAAGGTCAGAAAGATTTTCCAGAATTTCTTCAAATTCCTACTTAAAATCTCGTTCTTCGCTTTGGATTCCAATGAAAATAGAGTATTCCTAGGTCAGCATAAACGAAATGGATATTTAATCAGGGCTGTGCGTGCTTTTTCCTCTATCTAGAATACCTCTGACGTTGTGTGACGTTGGTTTGTTACCATTTTTATTCAGCTTAGCTTATTGGTTCCAGACGCATAAATTATCATCGGTAAGCTTGACCAATCCGAGCTTTGCCCAAGCCGTTTAAGATTTAACAATCATTAAAGTTTTTCTAAATTTTATTACAAATTTGTGGCTGTTCTTTTTCTTCTTTTTAGATTATAGCTGAAACGTGCTAAAGCTTGCATATATTTTTTATAATTTTAGATTTTTTTTGGTTTAAAATATAAATATTTATATTACGGCTGTTTGTATCTATTTTATGTGTTACAGGTTTTGTTTTGTTTGGGTTGGGATTGGATTGGATTTCGTAAATCTGAGCGTGTTTGCTTTGGTGGGTCAAGAGTTGAAAGATGGCTTTAGATAAGTAGACGAGATGTGAGCTTGTTAAACTGCTAAAATATACAGTTCGCTGAGATGGAGGTCAATGGGGCTGTGGAATGTGCTTAAAATTGGTCTGGGAAATACATTTGTAAAAGTTTAAAGGAGGTTTGAAACGTAGTTGGCTAAAAGCTCATTGTTACTAAAATTGTTTTTAAATTAACATACCAACCTGTGTATTTTAAAAGACCCACATTGATAAGGTCACAATCAAAAGCAATTGTAATTAAGAGATACAAAAAAAACATCTCATTTCTCGTCCTTTAAAAATTAAAAATAAAGAAAAGTGCAATAAAATGATATCACCGGGTGATAATCACCCAACGATGAATTTTGTTAGCAATGGCAATGACAATACATTTAAGGATGTTTCGGAGCCTTCAGGTCTCCACTTTCCAATATTGCAGCACGCAAACAACACGTCAGTCATGACCATAAACACTTTGGTTGTCCGCTTCCGCCTCTCTTATATTTGACCTGCATTCCCTGGGCCTTTGCAGGTGTCACTTTTCGAGTACAGTTGCCACACGACCGACCTGACCCCTCGAGTTGGCCCATAACGATCTTTGTCGTCTCGACCAGCACTTCTCGCCTTAAAAGTTTTCGCTCGTTCGTTGATTTTGTAGCTGCCATGTTTTTCGGCTCACATCCCCGGCGACAGGCTTCGCCTAAACTGGTGCAAAAAAATGAAGAAAACATGCAAAAAAAAAAAAAAAGAACAAAACAGAGCTGAACCCAACACGCTGATGCTGCCCACACGCCTCGACATCGACTTGACTTGGCCTGGCCCGTCTCAGATCCCAGGTCTCAGGTCCCTCTACCCAAATCCCAAAACCCAAAGACTCTGCAGTCAGTCTGTCGTCTGACAGAGTTGAGTTGTAGTTTGGTTCACAAAAAATGAAAATGGCAAAAAGATAAATACATTTTGTAAGTCTCTACAGTGCGGACAATGACAATTTATCAAGAACATAAAATACGATATATACTCAATATTTGAGCTACTAAAATGAAGCAGAAGCTTAACAAATACTATAAAGATTATTTTTATTATGTTAAGTAAAAGAGTTACATTTTTGTTGGCTTGCCTTAAAGTCTGGTTAATATATGACAAATTTATTGTTATATTTAAAGATTGTTCCAAAATAAATAAATTTTGAATTTGAATTTATAAATAAACTCCTTTTAAATTATCTTGAAATATCAACTATAAAATCTAATAACATGGATTTATAAAAATTTTAATATTCCTCATCTTTAGTTGAGTTTATAATAATACTATCTCCCTATATAATTTGTTAGTTATTTTGTAAGCTAAACAATTTCAGTAAAGTTTGCAGACGACATGTAGTAGATATTGTAGTTAACTGTTAGTCATAAATCGGCTGAAGACGCCAAAAATGTCTTTCCAACTCGAAATGAAGTTGAAACCCTCCAGTCGCATTAATGTGCTGGCACGCACTGTATGTCCTAGCAATTGGCAGACTTAGCTAAGATCGAGGCAGCGTGTGCCGCACAACTAGAGTATATAGTCTACAAGTATCTATATCCACGTATATGCCAGATACCCCCACTCGCACTCACACCCTGGCGCTGACTATATTCAGATCGGTTCAAGCTCTCGAATGAAGTGAACTCGAGGCGCGCAATATGTCGCTGTCATTTTGGGGACACGTCTGCATGTGTGTCGCCGATCGAGTATCTGTGTGAGTGTGGGCCTGCGTGCGTGTGTATCTGTGTGAGGGCAAACGGGCGTTCGTTTTTGAGGTCTGGGCATCGGTCGAGATGTCGGTGTCGATCGGTCGGTCGTTCGGTCGGCCGCTTGGCATTAGCATTTTCAGTGTTGCTTTATTTTTAGATGCGCGCAAAAAAAACCAACAACAAAAACGGCAACAAAATTGCAAGTGTCTGCGTTCGTTACAGTATGCCTGTGTATATTTTCCTTCAATATTGCTCAGAGGTGACTGACTGATGGACTGATCGACTGACAGACTGCCAAACCGGCGACATTTTTGACATTGTGGCCAACAGCGCCCAAAAGACATCTTGCATCAAATACAGCTGAGGTTCTGTTTTTAAGGGAAAAACCGAGAAAAAAGTAAAGACTAAGTTAAAAGGAAGTAAAACTTAACTCAAAGCATTTCCAGTAGAAACAATTAAACACAAACACTTTCGAGATTGTTAACTATTTCATAACCTCTCAGAGGGTCGATAAGAAAATAATTTTATAAAAGCTTAAAGCTTATCAAGCCCTGGATAATTTTTGTCATATCTTATGATTAATAATTTATAGATCACTTCAGCAGTGAAAGGATTAATTACCAATTTATCAAATTGGTCATAAAAACATTTTATAATTCCTTTGCAATCATTTAAAAATTTTTTATAAACATTTAACCAATATTCCAACATATACTTCATAGCCTGGATATATTAAATCACATTTTCATAGGCCTAATTGCAATGAATCACTATTTTTTGCATATAAACTAAAACAACAAAAATTGTTAAAGTTTAAATTCATTAACACCAATAAAGAATTTTATAAATTTACTTTTAATAGCGCAAATGTGTAGGTAGTCGAAAATGATAAAAGTGATAAAAATGCGACATTCCTATTGAATCCAAATAAATATTTCTACAAATCATGTCAAACTAGATTAATTCGACTTCTCAAGTCAACACCTTATTAGTGAACCCACTCCCATCTCTCCGAAAAGCCTATAAAATCAAGCGGAAAGAATGATTACTGGGCTGCACGGTGACAGGTTAAGAACGTGTTATCCCCGATACTTTTGTCTTTGTCCATATGCAGTGCAGGTTTTACCAATTTTTCGGAGTCACATCGCTGGCTGTGGATGTTGGATGTTCCCTGCAATAGTGGTTGCTGTTCCTGGAGACGCGTGTTGGCAAACGAGTCAATTGGTATGAACTGTCGAACTGTCTTTCGTTTTCGGGCCACAAAAGCGGCATCTGCATCCGTCTCTGTCGTGCGGCTTTGCCCTCTCTTTCTGCCGCCTGCGATTTGGCAAACTTTGGAGATCGTCCCACACAAATACGGCTGGAGCCTCGGGCAATACTTCAACACACCTTGACTTGCCCCTCATCAGCCAACCTGGCGGCATTCTGTGCTATCTTAACTCTCCGAGTTGTCAACTGTAGTCACTGTTGTTATTTTATTTATTTGTGGAAGACACAGCGCCCTCTCACCTTGCCCCAGGTAAGCCTTCGCTCCGCTGCTATTTTCTCCCGTCTGGTTTTTTTCATTCTGCGCTTTTTCACATATTTGATTCATTGATGTACTGCGTGGATGTCGTTCGTTATATGTGGACTTATATATGTATGTTTGTCGCACGAATATATGGTCTGCACCCTGAGAAAATATTCATTTCGGTTAAACATGATTTGCTGTTGCTGGTTATAAGAATGTGATTTAAAGACCCAACCGGATATACTGCATTAATATATTATATTACAATTTTTATTTACTTGGAGAATTCCCTTATAATTCCTTTAATAATTAGTTTTAAAAAACTAAAGTCTCAGTCATTAAAGTCAGTTAGTGTTTCCAGCCACCTGTACATCAATGATTTATTGCTGATCTACAAGTATTATAAAAAGTAGTTGCCAAGTAGTTGAGCAAATTGTGCAATCTAAAAAGTGTCAAAAACAACAGCAGACTAACACTTGTCTCCAAACTAAAAAACATATCAAGTCGCGTAAGGTATCAGCAAACTGTGCAGTTACCGCGAAAGCTTGAAATGTAGTATTAGTATTTATTACAATTAAAATACAGTTTTATAGTGGCTTTAAGAATTTATATACATTTGTCTAAGATACACTCAAGTTTTGTTGCCTGCGTATGTCTGACGGATTGATAGATACGTATCTTATTATATTTACCTATTTATCTAACCGAAAGTTGGCTGTCATTTGACTTTTTGCCTGGCCAACATATACGATGCTTATATCGTTTATATATGAATATACATATGTACATATGAGCGGCAGAAATGTATCTCACAGATACTTGAACGAGCCAGGCTGCCTTTTGTTCTTCTTGGCAGTTCGGAGAATTTTTTTTGCGCTCAAGCGAACTTGCAAAAGATCACAGACCTTCTGACCTCTCGCTCTCTCGCCGAGCGCCCTGCAAAAAATAAATATACGAGCAAAAAAAAAAAACAGACCTGAGTTGGGGCTGCCAGAGATACAGATACCGAAGTACCACAATATATGCATGTCCCCTTTGCCCCCATGCCGCCCCCGCGCCCCCTTGCCACCCCCTCCGCCGATGTCGTCGCCGTCGGTCGCAGAGTTCTAAAAATATTTCGCCGCCAACTCAGGTCGCATCGTCGGTCGTCGGTCGTCGCCGAGATCCCGTCATGGCCCGGTCGCCTCTGTTCGCCTTTTTGGTCTCGTTTTGGGTTAAGTGTGCGGATCTCGCATCTGTAGCCTGGCTATATATACGAATGAGTCCATACCTATATATTTATGTATATATTTCTTAATATACCCTGGCACAGGGTAATACCATTTGGCCCATAAGATTGCATTTGACACTCTATAATTAATATAGTCGAGTTTCTAAACCTGTAATTTTCCAAGCTCAAAATCTTTGTACTTCGAATTGTTTTTCTTGGAAACATGGAAAAGAAAACCATAGAACTCAAAGCTGTGAATAATGAGTTGTTTTTGTTAATATTTACATTTAATTTTTAATCAAAACTCTTTGCCTTGACCAATTTTGCAAAATACTTTAATCCAAATACTATTTATATGCCGCATTCACTAGCTTTTAAATTGAGAGAGGATATTTAAGTAAACTATCCTAAACACACTAAACACTATTTATATGAGAAAGGAAATTTAAAGTATTTCACTTTAAAATAGGCTTATTTTTAAATGAAAAGATCATTCCAAGAGGTAATAAGAAATTTATTAAATCTTAACAGTTTTAGGCTGCCAGCTCCTGTGTTAACTGTAAAAGAGTAACCAACAACCTATTATTATTGTAAATACCGATCAATTATTGTGCCCTTGAAGTGTACCTAGAATTTCGGATTATTAAATGATTCATGCGATATCATTCCTTTCGTTTGACGTCTGTCTGCGACTCTTGAGGTTGTTCAGGTCGTCCAGCTTTGAGGCAAATCGATTTCGATTTGCAATGAAATTTGTCTCTCGATAACGAAAGTTTCCGAAGCGGAGGAACAAAGGAAACAGCGATTTTTCATTAGAATAATGTGATATGGGCAATTAATATGCATATGTTTCCTATTCGACCGTTTGTTGGTTTTGTAGCGAAGTTCAATCGAACAACAACTGGGCAAATAGGAAAGTGCAATGCAACACCGCCAGACAACAACGAAAACAGCAACAACAACAACAACAACAGCAGCAGCGAACAACTGCAATATGTCTGCTCCACTATCGCCCTGTCCCGCTTCCACGCATTGCCACCCACTCCCCACCTCCTTTGTTGGTTTTTTTTTTTGTGTTGATTGACGAGTGACGAGGCCAAAGTATCAAATGGCCAGCGACGACACAGATATGCCTCCGTATACAAATACAGTTACATAGCACGCCTACACTTTGTTATCCATCAGAAACCTCCTCCCCTCACACCTACCCTCCCCCCTTTCGACCCTTTTTGAGGTCTTCTGAAGTTGTAAAGTCGCTGATGTTGTTCATTCTATGACTTTATCGCCGCTGCGCTTCTCTGGCTCTCTCGCTCTGTCGTCGTGCCAGCGCATTCCCACTGCCACTTGAACTCTGACCAGCTGACCTTCAGTGAACCCTTTTCGATGTGTGTATGTGTGTGTGACTGGGGGTGTGGGCGATCGGACAGGAGAGGGAAATAGGCAAAGAGAGCCATGGTGTTCGGACCGCAGAGCATTACATACAGTGGGCTCAACAATGTTGACTAAAAAACCATCATCCAGTGAAACATATTCAATAATCACTGTACTGATAAGATCGGTCTACAAATGGCCAAAAAAAATTGATGTAAAGTAGTTAATTAATAGTAGTTTAAATTCATACGCCAGAGACACGATTTTTTCATAGCAAAGAATATACATTTTTTTTTAATTATTCAGTTTTTTTCATAAATACTCTAATCCAAAGCTTAAACACTTGTCGCATGCGCACGCCACTTCACTGTACTGATAAAGCACCACCTAATTTCTCTTAGGCTACGCTCTCTTCGTTTCGTTTGTTTTGCTACACAGCTGTTTTTCCGGCTCTTCAATGGTTGTTCGTTCGCCCGCTCTCTTTGACCTGCACGTGTGGCCGCTTGGGGCTTAGAGTATCTGTTGCTTTGTTGTTGTCTCTCGGTTTCTTTTTATACTCTTTCAGAAGGTTCTATAAACTTCGACATATTAACCGAATTAAAAAAAAAATTTTTTGTTTCCGGCTTTTAAAAGTTTTGTTAGATAGAGGTTTTTATTAAAGCCTTTTTAAGTAAAATCATTCAAAATATAAAATAGCATATATCTTACTTTTTAGTTTTGCAGTGCATAAAAATTCTAAAAAATCCTAAAAAATGATTACCCTATAATGTTTATATATCCTAATTTGTAAGACAGTGCGGTACAAGATTGTTTTAAAATTGTACGTTGTTTTAGAAAAAATTTCTTGGAAAAAATTACTCATACGTACTGTTGCCGATTTTGTAGTGGAGTAGTCCTGGTTTTATGTTGAGAACGGTTTTTTTTTTGTTCAAATTTATAAGTGACATACGAATCGAATAAGTAATTTTTTAGAAAACTTTGCGACTTACAAGTACTAAAAAATAAAATTAATTTGTGAGGGCATTAGAACTTCGGCTCGACAAAACCAGTTCTCTTCTCGTTTTGTTTTCTTATTTGTTGGGGGCGCTCTTGCGCTATCTCGAAATTGTGTTCAGTACGACTTCGTTCGTGCGGCGGGTAACTCGTGCGAATGCGAAAATAAATAACAAAAGCCGCGGTATTATCAGTGATCAAGAACTCAACGATCGACGGATTGACGATCAACGATCCCGAGCCCAAACCAAAGCGCGCGTAAATAGAGAAAACACAATTCAAGAGGATTGATAAAAAAAAAGCATACAGAAAACGAGTGACGGAAAGAGTGCGAAAGTGGAGGCGTTGTGTAAAAATGAAAGATTAAAAAGTTCAGAAAAAAATGCGCTTACGCCGGTCGCAAATCACATAACCGTAACGGTAACAGTTTTGCCAGGAAAAAAGTGAGGAATAAATTCACAAAAACGGTGCAACAAATCCCAGCTAAAAATAATCCGCAGAGAGATAAAAAATCACTCTGACATTTTTTTTTTTGGGTTTTCGCTTTTTTACAACAAACTCACGTGTCTAACGACACTTTGACAACACAGATACAAATCTGTTTGCGAAGCTGAGCACGTGACCACCAATTAATGAATGAGACAGTACCAGAAGGGAGGGATAGATAGAAGGAGAGAGCAAGAGAGCAAGATAAGTGATAACGCCGCGAAGGTAGAAATCCCGAATCTTATGCAAATCGAGCGACAAAAAGTGAAACGCAAATAATCAAGTTTAAAAGTCAAACGTCACAAACCAAATTAAATAAACAATGCTTTAAAAGTTCATAGCTACAACGCACAAATGTTGTTTGTGAAAACAGTTAAAAGCAAAGCTATAAAGGAAATAAGTTTTAAGCAAAATATAGGCCAGAACTAAAAAATTTTAAATTTTGTAGCTTAAAGTTTTGTAGTTCTATGAAGTACAAACTAAACAAATAAATACAATTAATTAAACAAATACAATTTAATCGCAGTAAACGTAAAAATAACACTTTACACCTTCTCTAGCCGAGTGACAAATAGGCAACAATTAGTCAGTCTGTCTCATTATTAAGTGTGTTTAGCAACAAAAAACAACGAGCAATCAACGTCAAAATAATCAAAAAGGTAAAAATAAAATTTCAAAATGAACTGGAGAAAAATCCACTACACTCTCACAAAAAAAAATCATTAAAAGACATAGAGACCGAACGAGAAACAAATGCATAATATAAATGCAAAAAGCTGTTTAAATATTTGATAGCCAACCGAACGACCTTAAACTTTTCCTTTGTTATGTTCAAGCAGAAAAGGTTAAAGTTCCGATACAGTTTTAACCAGGTCCCAAACAAGTTAAGTTCTCATTTTGGAGAGACGCTAGTATTTTGATCTAAATACTTTTTTTTGTTTTACCAGATTATTGTTTTATATATTTAAAACTAATCACTTTTTTAGTGATTTCGTTTCTTATGATCTGACTTGCCAAACTATTCAGTCAACTATTAAATTTGTCATACAAAAACGTTATTGTACAAAATTAATAAAGAATTATAAAAGATTAAACATTTGGCGAACATTTTATTGAGTATTAAAAACAATAGTTTTAATTTATTGTTTGATTTATAGCAAAAAGATGATTTAAAAAAAAAAGAGACCGCGGGTAGGTGCGAGGTGAAAAATATAAAGTCGTTTTTTAATGATAAAATTAATGATAAAACTTATCTTAAGTGTGAACTCTTTTACTCATTTCCCTTTTTGTGTCACAATTGACAGCCAAATTCTGACAAAATCATTATGGCAGTATTTAGTTTTATTTAATTACCCACATCCCAAAAACAAAAAAAAAGAATGGCAAGCTTACACTTAAACACCAACAATTATAGTCGAAACACACACGCGGACACATTTGACAACCAGCAAATTAATTAAGCAAACACCCAAAGACAAGCAAGCCCACAAAGATACATAGATACAAAAACTACATAAAGCCATAATGATTACCGTAGCTTAGACAATACGAACAGAGATAAATTAGCAGCATAAATGGTCAAAACAACTGAAACGGCTAACAAAACCTGGCAACTTAATTGAAGAAGTGGTCAAGCGTAAAGTGTTAAAATAACTTTATAAACCCCATGATTTGTCTTTGCCGCATGTCTCTCTCCGCTTTCGTATTTTACCCACTATTTATTTCCTGCCTTCACTTCGATTCACTTGCAGCAGCCAGCAGTGCGAAAGAGATACCCGCCGATCGCCAGAAAGAGAGGGCAAATCGAATTGGTTGACGACCGCGGAGGTTTGACAATATGTTGAGCCCCCATAATGAAGGAAATTGATACGGAGACAACAGTAGTATGGCCAGCCTGGTGTTATTCCGGTAAGTCATGCCGCCTCACGGCCCCCTGTTTATATTCATTCGCTTCCCAACTCCAAAATGGAGTGCTTCGTAGCATTATGACAACAATAGTGGTTCGGGGAGAAGGGGAAAAGTTGTTGAAAGTTCAGCTATCGCTTTACGCTATTATTTGTGTGTCGCTCTTAATACCCTGCACATTGTTGGGTCTTAAAACTGATCCATTGATCTCGAGGACCTTTTTGGAAATGCAAAGAATTTTCGAGTGATCTTCATATATTTATTTTTAATTTGAACACTTAGCTAAAATTTTGTTAGCTTCCGTTTAAAGTTCCCACAAAAACTAATTTGAAGTCATGACCAATATTAAATAAACTCGTTTTTCAGTGAAGCGTTTTGTTTCTAAAAAAAAAACCTAAATATATATTTTAAACTATTTGCCGGCTTTGTAACTGGAAGTTATGACTCACAGGGTATCGCAGAAGTTAACTAAGCCCCACGACTTCCCTGCAGCATTTCTATTTGTTGTTATTCATTTTATTTGTTATTGTGCGCTTTTTTTCGGGCTTAAATTTCTTACTGCTGTGCGCTGAAAGGCCGATGGCCATTGTGGTTTTGGTTGTTGGTGCTGTCAACGCCTGGTCAGTGAAGTTGTGGCCTACTGTTTCTGCTGCTGCAGTTTATGATCAAACGTTTTATGTTTCTACCCTCCTTGGCTTGTGTTTTTATTAAGTGTTTTTCCCGCTGCTGCCGTAAATTTGTCTCACCCAGACCTTTGCCTTTGCTTTGGGGATTTATATGTCGCTTTGTTTTTTTTTTTCTCTCTCTTATTTATATTGACATTATTTATGGGCGTGTGACACTTTGCTGCTACTCCGTGATAGATTAATTAGATTGACTAGTGTTGGTCGGTTTGGTTTTTTTTTCGCTCCGATCTTTCGACGTTTCACTTGCTCGGGAGTCAAGTATTTGAGCCATGATGTCATGGCACCGTATCTTGTCTCACCTTTGACTTTTGCTTTTGCTTTGGTCACTCGCAGCCAGCATGCAAAAACGAGAATTTCTGTTCGACATGCACATTGTGAAACACAAAAAGTTATAATGCCGAAACAACAATATACACAGAATCGGTAAAAAGTAAAAGGCAGAACTGAAGTCGCGAAAAATAATTATCGAACAAGTCACCAAACCAGGGAGAGAATCGGGTATTTTTATGACGTCAGAAATGGTTTACCAAGATGTTTTTAATGTTCCACAAGTTTTTAGCGATATAATTATTGCGGTCTTAAATGATTATTAAATGTCTTTAAAATATAACTATTGAAGAGTTCGCTGACGCACGAGGTTTTTTTATGCCTTTTCTTATCTTTTAAATCTGATCTCAACGTCGATTTTTTCATAATAATGCTAATCATTAAGAGATTTATTGCTGCAGGCCCTGTATAATTTTTTAGACTAATTAGCATAATTTCAATTTACATTAAACTGGAATAAACTCAATTAATCGGGAATTCAAACATTATTGTTCTTTTATTCATTTTTCGATAAAAAAACACTCTACAAGTAAAAAGGTGTTTAAAGGGAGATTTGAGGATAAAGAAGGATAATATTTATGTTATTTTTTAGCAAACTGTACCTGAAACATTTTCGCAAACTCCTGTTGAGTGGTCAACCTTTTGACCATGCAAAAAATCTGGCTAAAGCCGCTCCCAAATCGACGAGTTCATCGAATATTTCTGTGTGTCAAATTAAGCATTCAGCATGCAAATTTTCATTAAATAAAAGTAAATTCCCCTCCAAAAATAAAAAGGCAACCGCAATTTCAATGCGTCTCTCGATTTGAGTTGACTTTGACCGGCTCCTCCAGCTCCTCCACTCCAAATAAGGCAAACGGGAAGGGACGGATGCGGAGACAAATGAACGCCCAAATGGCCGACAAGTGGCGATAAATAAAAAAAAAACGAAACGTATCGAGCTGCAGCAGCTTTAAAATAAAAATAATCAGAAATAAAAATAAACAAGCAACTGATGCCGAACAGCGGCGAAGACGACGACGCCGATGATGATAATGATGAAAAAGATCGCTCGCCGGGCAAAATTAAAATGCAAAACGAGTCAGCACCGAAGTCTCACCGTCGGGAAGTCGCCGAGGAAAGGGCAACCAGGCTAATACTGAAGCCGGCAAAATATACAGTAGTAGCTCGAAATAAAGGACCTACAATTGGTATATAAAAAAGTGTGTCTTCTGAGATGGATTTCTTTTTCCTTTCTAAAGTTGGTATTTCAAGATACCAAATAAAATGTAGATTTATTAAAGCCCAAAAGGGGAAGTGAGGAAATATTTTTTAAGATTTAACAATGTACTTCTATTTGGACGACATTCTAAAACCAAATAACATTTAAAACTATTGGTAAAAAACTATTTATCAGACCGTTGGGCATTGTTAAACATGTATTAGGAAATACGTTTCAGTTAAAAGTATATTAAGATAATACTAATACTATATTTAAAAAAAAATGAGGATATTGTGAAGACTAACTTTATAAACTTCTTAAGTCCAGACTTTTCTTTTGTTTTTTTTTCCTTTTTTGTTACTATTTAGTAACACTACTATGGGCTTAAATTCTGGATTTCAATATTCTAAAATCTGAAAATTAAGTCCTTTACACTTTGTAAGGATTCACTGTACCCACATAATATCAATTTGAGCAGCCCGAGCTGCTGGCAAAGGTTATAATGCATCTCCATCTTCGCCGTCGATCCGCTGCCGTTGTTCTTGTTGCCTTTTGCGCTTTTCACTCGTTGGCACTCCGCTCAGCTTGTTGCTGTTGCTTTTCGCTTTGGCCGGGGCCTCTTTTTGTTTTTGCCTGACTTGACTTGACTCCGAAACCTTTGACGCGAACTTATGCCCTGCGAGTGGCCATGGAATGTTGACTTGCTGTCTATCTGAAGCCGAGAATGGCGAATGGGAAAGAGTCGCAGTCAGGCAGAAATCAGAGGGACCACGAAATGATGAAGTCGGGGTAATAAGAAGCCACCGTTTGCATTAATGCGATTTGTAAATACACTGCACTCAGGGTTAAATATTTTACTATATAGATTCTATATAGGATGCTTTTAAGATTATTATGCTAGATCGAGATAAGATTTTATTGCTAGCTCATAAAAGTTTTTTTTCTGCTCAGAACAAAGCACAGAGAGTTAGCCAATGGTACTTAAAATTTAAACATCTTAATACATTTAAATATCTTAATACAACTTAATTAGAAAAGGCCCTTAATTAATTTCAAGGTTCCTATATATAAATAAAAACTATTAATTAAGCCACCCTTACTTTAGCTAATCTAATGAATTTTTGTTAAATATTTAAATGGCTTGCAGTCATTTTAAAAAAAAATACATTCCTAAGTAATTTAAATTAAGTAATTTTATTTAACTTGCAATCTCGGCAGCTTGTTAGAAATTTCTATTAAAGGCATATCCTTTTCGAAAGGGCATCAGTTATGTGAATTAAATAATGCTTTTAGGTCCTCTGTATGCTTTATATGCCGATGGCGTGCAGTAAGTCGCCAATGACTTTAAAGGCGACTGCGCAGCAGCTTCACCCCTTCTGCCCTCCGCTATATCCCCCCCCTTTAGCCGTACTCCTTTGGTAAAGTCATCCTCGTATTTTTTATGTGTGCTCAACTTTGCACTCGGAGCAAAGTCAAAACGACTTGGGACACGCACACTTGTTGCTCTTTGGCATTGGAATTGCCTTACGTGGCATGCAAGTTGAAGCACATTGCACGTTGCACGTTGCACGTTGCGAGTTGCTGCTTCTGCTGCTGCTGCTGCACTTATTTATTGTTTGTTGTTGCCGTGGTTATGATTTGCGATTTTTTCCCGCATATCGATGGCCACTTGGACTGGCTGCCATCTCCCCTCTGTCTTTGCCCCTCCTAAAATCCCTCATGCCCCCTTAGCACGGTAGCCGCCGCAGGGCGCAATTATGCCACTTGTCGGAATTTCACTCAGACTGAAGAAAAAAAAGAAGAAGAGCAGATAAAGTCGACGTCGCGCCGCCGCAGTAGCTTACCCTCTTTCCTTATTCAAGTTGAGTTGGGGTTTCGCTATTGAGTATATAGAACAGTGGTCACTTCCTAAATTTATTGACGGACAACGAAATAGGACATATTTATTTTATTAAATTGAATAGAAATTAGATAATATTTTATTTCATTGTTGTTTCCAAATTGACAAATTGTCTTTTATTATTTACTTAAAGTGCTTATCGAATTTTAATCAGTAGTTATTACTTCGTTGTATTATTTCCAGATATAGTAGGTTTCAAAAATTAGCTTTCTAAAAAAATTACTTAAAACCAGCTCTACTAATTCAATTCATTCACTTTTAAAATCCTTTTAGTCCACTTAACTTGTTTAGAAATGAATAATTGTCCCCTGAATTCAGTACTCGAGACTTTACTGTACCCGGTACTGGATATGTGCGGATTTAAATTCATTTGTTTTGTTTCTGTTTCGGTCGCAGCTTGCGAGCCTAGAATCGCAAATGAGCAAAACGTGTAAATTATACGCGTCGCGGTCACAGCCCAAAGCAAATAGCAAAAAAATATCGAAAAATTCCGCCTGGTTGCGACCCAAAGTAGTAAGGTAAGGACCGAAGGTACATACTTACTTACAAACAGCGACACTTATGTATGATTATTGGCTACCACTCAAGTCGTTGGAGTCGAGTTCAGTCAAAGTCGAGCTCTCAGAGCTTAGTTGTTGTCACCCAATGTGTTCAATGGGTTTTGGGCGACACTCCCGCACAACCAAGCGACATTTATTCATCAACCAGTGTGTAAGAGGTGGTAAAAGCAAGCAAACGATCGATTCTTATCGGTTTGGGCGACAAATCGATAAAATAACTCCCACATCGATATTAGATTTAGCTTAACTTTTTAACGTTTTTAAAAATTTCAATATTTTTTGACTTTTTATTTCTTGTTTGCTTTTTACAAACGTATGAGCTTTAATGA